GGGGGGATTCAAAATGACAACTTTTTCACAAAAAATTTACTTTTTCAACTTAAATTTTGAAAATGTTCCGGAAAGTCTGACACTTTTCTATATATATTAAATTAAAGCTAATGTAATCTACTTTGTTATGTAAAAAAAAAATTTCGGACTTTATTTTGTCTTCACGGTGAAAATGGCTACCAAATGCTATTATTGTGTGAAAATTCTCAATTTTATTTTTTACATTTTTAACTTTATAATGCTATAACTTATTGAAAAGTGTATTGATCAATATAATTTTTTTATGGGAAATACTATTTTTTAATAATCCCTTTTTCATTCGACATACTTTATCTTAATCAGGATATTAATAAGGAACTAGCAGTTTATGAAGCTTTTGGAATAATCCACCAATTTTTTAAAATTAAACACTATCTAAAGATTTGCATCGAAGCGTTTTTTTTTCATAGTGATTTTAATCACTGTCAGATATCATTATACTTGATCCAACTATGCCACGTCACCACTGTGCCGCGACCCCCCTGTGCTGGGTTTTTATTTTTTAATTTTAATTTTTTAATTGTTATCCATATTTATATATCATATGGTAACTAATAATGTCTTTGAATTAAAAAAAATGAACTTTTTTATACATTTTTTATACTTTTTTAGAAATGGGGTCTAATAGACCCCCACGCGACTATGAACGTTAAAAATAGGTACATGCCTGCTTAAGGGTTAAATAAGTGGTCCACGATAAAAAAAATCACCTTGTATACAAATATTTTTATTATGAAAGAAAAATAATTTTAATATCCCAAAAAGTTTCATCTAATTTAATAGTATAAAAATTTTTAAATTTGATGAGAGTATAAACATCATAGACAACTTACTTGCTGTGTAACTTGGTTTCGGGAATATTACAAAACGATGACTTGGTAATTTTTTAGTTGTATTAGATACTATATATAATGCAGTACTATCAACAAGAGTCTGAAGAGCTAAAAATCCTGAATAAATATAATGAATTGCCGGACAAGATAAATCATCTTCTTGCTCGTTATTATGGTGATGTCGGTGAAGAATTTTTTTTGTAAACTTATTTGGAGATATAACTCGACATTGGTGATCATATCCATAAAGTTTGGAAGGCAAAGGTGAAGAATCGTAATATGGATTTGTATAAATTTCATAGCTAAAAATTAAAAAATAATAATTTTATTAATTCTTTATATAGTTAGTTTGTTGTGATAAATTTAATTGCATTGTACCATCTGAATTCTTATTAAGAAAAAATTAATCAATTTAACAAAAAATTCGTTCATATAATTTCTAGTCTTAAATATTAATATTATTACAGAGTAAACTGTATTTAATATTGTACTAAATATCACTTCATTCTACGTGTATTTTAGCCACTTGGAGGATATGAAAATAATTATTCATACAGATAAACGCCCAAAACTATAAAAAAGACTATTGTTTATTTAAAATAATATATTACTTTCAATGAACTCCGATAAATTATAATGTTATATTGTTCTATAAAAACAAGCCTTCTAAATAAAGAAATTTAAAGTTCCTACAGTAACGTTCTGATGGTACAATATTATTTGATAACATAATAACCTCAATGAGTGATTTAATAAGTCAATATATTCAAAAAATAAACCTATATAAATCTTTTCAGGATTTTTTCTTTGAACGTCAAATATCTCTTTTTTATCATTATATACACTGAAATTTATCTTTTCTCCCGTTCGTTCCATCCATAAATCATTCATATTTTCTAGAAAATTCTATAATTTGTTAATTAAATTATGAATATCATATAAATTTACACGACAATCTGAAATGCATAAATTTTTATAAACACTACATTTATGAAACAGATGGACAAATGTTGCGTAATCGATGTAATTGAGTTACACACGAATATACATATATTTTCTTAAATTTAAAATAATTTTTTTTTTGCGCTTCAAACTTTTTGTTTAGGCAAGGCAATCTGAATCTGATAAAGCTCAGACAGAAAATCTATATATTAGGTTTCACAAACCACATCTAAATAAGTTAATCTATGTAATTATTGTGAAAGTATGTATTAATAGTTACTTTATTGGATTCTCTAATCAAAATTTAAAACAAAAGAACTGAAAATCAACTGTTGTCAATATCTCCCCATTCACGAAATTACAGAGTAGATTATATCATTTAATTTAAATTAATTACGAAATCACACAAAAATAAAATAATGAGCAAAATCTGTTTATGTCTAAAAAATATAATCACGGAAATAACAGTATAAATTTTTATTTTAAAATGAATTTTGATACATAATATAAATTCTAAAATAAAGTTTATCTCATTTTTCATAACTAAATTTTGACAGTATACTTTTTAACATATAATTTATTAGTTAAAAAGGATGATTGATGTAAAAAGACGGTGAAATAAAATATTATCATTTTTAAGTTATTCATCAATATTATTTTATTTTATAATTTTTACTCAATTTAGTACTATGATTTTTTTTATACAAATAGTTTAGTTATATTTTTATTGGAATTTAGCTTTGAAACGTTCCAATTACTACCATTTAAAACATTTTCTTTTTTTTTGGTTTCCTGAAAAAATGTAAGTTTTGACGTGATCATCTTCAAACAAAAACCATTCAAATATTCTTTGCTCTTATGAAATACATTGTCATTTATAATATTAAAATTATTGTGAAACTGTGACTGATCTTTTAGCCAAAATATTTTTCGATCAAAGTTATTAGTTTTTAATTAACTTACAATAACTTGAGGTGTACCAGGTGCAACTGTAACATTTCCGTATAAATAATTATATATATCAGGTGATTCTTGAGGTGTTGTTACAGAAGGGAAATTTGGATCTGGCATTAATACTTTAATGACTACCAGTAAACATAGTGTATAAATAGGTAAAGCGATCTCCTAAGAATATTTAAGATAATTAATTTTCAAAAATTTGTTATTAATATCATGTGATAATTTCTATATAATTACTTACTGATAAAGTTTTTTTTAATTCTCTACGTTTTAGTAGTATATTTCTTACGGTAGTAGCTTTAAGTTGGTACCAAAATTCCAAATTTATAGGTATTTTCATTGTAGTAAAATTTTAAGAAAAAGTGACTGAAATGTTTGAATTTTACATATCAACTGTATGCATAAATTGAAAATTATATTGATTTTACAGTTGAAAAAGAACTTAGGGTTTAACTTTATTAATAATTAATAAATAAATAAGGCTACTTACAGGGACTTTTTCTTTTTAACTGTATCTGCTCAATACCTATAATTTAAAAAATACATCTATAAGTAGACATGCGTCATGCATATTATAACACAATGTTTAATAATTTAAAAAGGTCAATATAATGAACTATGAAATAGACAATATGTATAAAAATATTTTTTATTTATAATAATTATTTCATATTAAATCATAAACTGTTTTGTAGTATCGATCCTAAATGGGTAAAAGAGCGTAAATAACAATTTCACGAAAATTATATATGTTTTTAAATATTTCTAAATTTCTGATTAATCGATCTGTTAAATAATCTTTGACATTATGGGTAACCTAAGTGCGCTTTATTAAATAAAGCATTTAACTGAAATTTTCTGTTAAATGTTTTGTCATTTCTATTATGTTAGAGGAAGTTCGAATAAAGTGGATAGATTATGTTTATGAGCAATATAAAGTACAGTATTGTTATCAAACTTCTTTTAATAAATAATAATATTGTGAAAATATCTAAATTTTAAATTCTGTTCTTGAATTCAATTTTATATTTATCTGTAATAAGTTAAAGTAACTTTCAAAAATAATTAGTCTTAAAATTATTGTTATTAGGGCATTCATTAATTTTAACAATATATGAAATCAATCACAGACTCAATCGAGTTACTAAATTATTAATTAAGAGTAATCGAATGACTAGTATTTAAAGAATCACACTGTAGTATTAAACAACTTTATAAATTTTTATGTAAAAATTACAATATTAAATTATTCAATAACAATTTAATACTAAACTTAATTACTATAATAATTATTTATTCGTGTATTGTACTGTTACGCAGATCTGCCGCGAGAAAGTCTAGTTAAAAAAATATCATCACCAACTCTAGTCTCTATTTTAAATTGTTAATACCTTCCAAAATACTGTTCTAAAAATTGTTATTGATCGGTCATTTTCTTAATTAGATCATTATCTAATAAAAAAACTAATGTAATGAACTCCTAAAAAAGTTTAAAGCTTTATTTCGCAATTATATGAAAAGAATATCAGTAATAACGTCTTTATTGAAACTTTCCAAAAGGAATGTGTCAATTGTAAATTTTTCGGTTAAGCAATATCGGAAAGCTGACTGACCGCAACTATTGTAAACCAGAGCATCGTCAGTCTTTTGACTACCGTGATCTATGCATTTTATGTAGCCGTATTTTTTTTAATAAACTGAATTAATATTATATCAAGTGCTCGTGGTATCTTATTATTTTTTACTACACTCGTAACATTTGTTAATTATGTGTGTTGTCATTTAAAAAATTAAAGTTCTTATCTTTATAAGCTTTAAAGGATGAACATTGCAGTCATCGCTATGATTTAGGAAGAGAACCAACAATATCCATCAAAACTTTTTCTAATACTCTTAATGATATAGCATTAATGATCATTGGTTCCTTATTTGATAACCCTTATTCAGTTATAACATGATTTTATATAGTTAGATACTTATTTTCTCATACTATTCTACGATTATTTTATCCTGAGTTTTCCAATGCGATCTAACTCCTTGATGACCTGCAAGAGTAGTATCGTGGAATTTTATGATGAATCTCCATTTATCTCCTAGTGTCAGTTTATCCTCACTGAACATTGATGGCAATACTGGATTCTTGAAAACTAAATCTAAGCATAGCTCTGTCTTGATTCCAATTGAGCTTATCTCATTGTAACAAAGAAATTAAGTCAAAATAATAAATTTGGAAATGACTGAATCACACGTTATAATTACTATTAATTAGTATTATAATGCTTATATTCTTATAAAATTATATTTTATATTTTGATTGTCGCGAGTAGTCTTACAAAAATCATGTTATATATCAGATAAAAATTAAATCAAAACTATTAGCAAGGCTGGCAACATTATAACCGATGTATGTTATCCGTCAACTACCCCGACGTCTAACATGAAGAGGAAGCACCGCGGTCACCATCCATTAATAAAACCGGAAGTCTGATGCGACCGTGACAATCTAAATTAAATCTTACTTGTGACATAACTATTTGAGTTTTACTGGCGATTTTTCTGGTAAAAATTTTTTAGATTTAACAATATTTTAAATAATATTTCATAACTAGTTTTTTCGCAATAGGTTACTCTTGTAATAAGATATAGAATATACCTAGTCATATGGACTAGATGTACAACTTCCGTTACACTTTTCTCTTGATTTAGTAGTTTTTCATTTCATCCAACTTTTCTTCCAAATTGAAGTGAAGTTCCTTTTTTCATAAAGAAGTCTTAAAACAAAAAATGATAAATACCAATCATAGTCTTCTTCACAAAAATTTACTATGACTTCCTGAACATTTGCTATACCTGATTTTGATATCTTCACTGCTTGTAGAAAATAATGTAGGTTTTCTCAAACTGTTGTATTTCAATAATACTAGAATTAGATGTCAATGAGATGGGTATATATGAGTGGTCCTCATAATCATCAAAGTATAGTGGTAAGTAAAAGTTTGTTCCTTTGATTGAGTTCTGATTGTAACGTGTATACAACCAAGCGCATCAGCGTTAGTATTATTTTACTATCAGGCTTGTAATAATGTAGGCTTGTAATCATGCACAATGGTTCGTTACTACTAAAACTTTTGGTCAAAAAGATAAGGGTGGAACTATTTAATTTCATTATTGAATGGAGTTATGAAAAAAGTTATGGTTATCCATTAAAGTTTTTTCCTCAGTATTTAGATGATCAATTTGAATACATTCTTTAGTAATTTTGATTTTAAGTAGTTTTGATCGTTGATTACTCAAAGAAGAACTGTTATCAGAAGTAAAAATATAAAACGACTTCAGTTCAGTCCATTTGTCGAATGAAAGTTGATACAGAGCGAGATTCACACAGAGATAATATTGATATTAGCGGTTGATAATTTGTAATATCTTATGATTGTCAGTACTTTACCGCACAATAAGTTGTCTTCTATACTTTAAAATTGATTGACTAAAGTCGTTGCTTCAGCGATGTCATATACAGAAATACAATTAAAAGATTAAAAGCGTGAAAATGTTTCACATAATTTTTCACATGTAAAACGCAAAAATTTTGCGAAATGGCCCTTCTGATCACATGAATGTCAATTTGGATTTTGATGTAAATGGTTGTAACACAGGTGGTCCTTTCGGCTTTTATTTAGGTATTGCCAGGCACCACAGNACACAGGTGGTCCTTTCGGCTTTTATTTAGGTATTGCCATAGTATTTCTTATCGGCTCTTCGTTACGGGCTACTTGTATTGCTTTACCCAACTTACTAGGATTTCTTGCTCTTATGAAATCCTTTACATTCCTAGAGCTTTAAATAAATATTTTTATCATTTGATTATTAATTTCACGCTCTATTACTTCAATAACTTTTGCCGGTTGATCCGTTGCCTCTAACTCAATCATTTGAAGTTTATCATAGAATATGATAAAGTATTTCTCCTGGTGATTGTTTAGTCGCATACAATTTAAGGTATAAATATTATGTAGTTAACGAATATTATCGTTGATATAACTGCTACCACTTGCCATCTCATTTAAATAAATAATGCATTAGATCTAGTAGAGGTTTATTTTCACTTTTAATTATAATTAAATTTTTTTATAAAACTGTTTTTTCATTATTCTATTATTATTCTACAATGTAATTATCGCATTTAAAAACAATTTTCCATTTTGCATATATTTAGAATTTTTTTTTAGCTAAAATTAAATACCGCGAATTTGGGAGAATTTCTTGATATAAATAAAAATTCTTAAAACAATTGGTTATTTTGGACAGTAACCAAACTTGTAGTGTGAATAGAAATAATGAATAAATATAATTGAAAAACCATAAAATTATGACTAAAAAAAATAATTGAAAATTTAAATTTTTTGATTGAATTTTAAAATACAATATATTATAGTTGAATTTTAGAAATTATTGGATCATTTAACTTGTGTTCCAGTATGGTCTAGCAGTCTAGTTTTTACAAGTAATAATGTCAAGATTAATTTTTAAACATATTTAAATATTTATTTAAATAATATTTGATCATTTTTTTGTTATATTCATTTAAAATATTATTTATATCTAATAACTTAACTGAGTGTTCTTATTTATTTCAACTGCCTGTCTTTATGGCTTCAACCAGAAGCATTACTACTAGGATTCTCAGGTCTGAGCCAAGAACAAATATAAATTACGTTACTTGCGGATCAAATACTTGGTCCGCAACAAAACAATATACAGTGGACCTCCGGTAATCCGGCGTCCCTTGTAATTCGACATGTCTATTATTATTGGGTATTTTTTTTACAATCTTCGCTAATGTAGATAATGCATGATTGAACAGGTTACAATTGTGCCATCACTATTGTGCTCAAAGTATAGATTCTTTGTTTACTGTTTATTCATTGTGTATTACGTATACGTACCTAGTAAATTATGTCGTCACAAGCCCAGAAGCGAAAGCACAAAACACTGAAAATTAAAGAAAAATGTAATATTTTAGACCGTTTAAATCGTAATGAATCTTTTAGTAGTTTAACAAGTGAATACGGCGTAGGCCGATCTACAATTTATGATTTAAAAAAAAATCATGAGAAGATTAAAAACTTCGTATCAACTACTGACTGTGGGCCAGGCAAGAGACGGACACTCAGGAAAGCTGAACATACAGAAGTGGAAGAAGCTTTGTACATGTGGTTTCTTCAGGAAAGAAATAGGCATGCTCCAATTTCGGGACCCAAGTTGGCCATGAAAGCTAAGTTTTTTTTATAAAGAAATTATAAAAAAAGATGATATTGTGGCTAGCAAGGGATGGTTAGAACGTTTCAAAAGTCGTCGTGGCATACGTTTAATGACTATAACAGGAGAGAAAATTTCTAATGATGCTAACTGCATAGAGCCATTTAAATTAAGATTTTTGCAAAAGGTGAAAGATATAAATCTTAATCGATCACAAGTGTACAATGCAGACGAATCAGGACTTTTTTGACATGTGATACCAAACAAAATGTTCGCTTCCTATAACGAAAAATCGTTACCTGGGCGAAAAGTAAGTAAAGAGCGTGTAACCATACTACTATATGCAAATGCTGCGGGTACACACGCGCTAAAAATGGTGGTCGTTGGAAAATTTAATAAACCACGTGCATTCAAAAACATTGATTTACCTGCACATTATTATGGTCAAAAAAGTGCGTGGATGACAAAAGACCTTTTCAAGACGTGGTTTGATGAATGCTTTGTACCAGAAGTTAAAAAATCATAATTTTCCTCAAAAAGCGTTATTGCTTATTGATAACGCTCCCGGTCATCCGCCTGAAGAAGAACTGACAACTGAGGATAAATGCGATGTTTCTTCCACCAAACTGCACTGCACTGATTCAACCAATGGATCAGCATATCATATACTTAAAGCAATATTATAAGAAAAATCTACTTCTGAGAGCTGTATCAAAAGATCAGCCAATAGAAAAAACTTTAAAAGAATTCAATATGAAAAACTTGGTTTTTGCTCTTTATCAATCGTGGAATGCATAACCTTCGTCAACTATTACATCGACTTGGGAAAAGTTATGGCCGGATATAGTCACCAGTCCTAGCAACGATCCACAAATCAGTGTAACTTCTGGAGTAATAGAGAAAGTTATTGCTGAAACACAGATAAGATCGCAAGATTTGGAAATCTGGTACCATGGAATGGATAAGGAGGAAAATATATTTTATGAAATGTCTGACGATGAGATTATAAAAGAGATATCTAGTAATACAACCATAAATCAGGAAGATGATGACGACGTAATTGCAACTACTCTGCAAATGATAGCACAAGATGCAGCTTACGCCTTTGAACTGGGATTGCAATGGGCTGAGGAGAATGGTGCATCCAACAACGAACTTTTACTTTTAAGAAGACTGAGGGACAGAGCATTGGTCTCGCGTTTCAATAATGTTAAACAAAAAAAAATTGATTAATATTTTCATGTTTCATAAATTCATATCATGATTTTTATTCATAATTTTTGACTATTTTAGTATGTACATTAGTTTAAACGCAATTACATTGTAATTGTATTCCTTAATGTAAAGTTATTGTTTTTTGTAAGTTCATTAACATTAATGATGTTAATTTTATAATAAAATGTAAGCTTTCTATTGTGTTGATTAATTTACTTAAATCGACATACATAATGAAGCATGATTTGTACTTCACACCAGGGCCTGTCAAGACAAAATCTTATCTTTGGATTTATGATTTTTCGGATTACAAGGTACCCTTTTTTAAAAAGTCCCGGACTATAGGAGGTCTTAGGGAATACTCTATAATCCGACAAATTCGATAATTCGACACTGACCTGCAAAACGTTTGTCAGATTACCAGGGGTCCACTGTATATCTTTTTTGAATTAAAATTTACATGAATCAATTCTTTTAGCTATCAAAATGTAAAGCGGGCCATACACTATCAATCAAAGAATGGCAATCGTAATGAATGATAGTTCGATTGATGACTGATGATTGACATACACATACAACCAAGAATGACAGTTCTCATAAAAAATTGAAAAATTGCTCGTCGCACACTTACACGTGGACATGCCGGTTTTTGACTGATAAGTCATCAATCAATCCTATACACTATCATTCAGGAGTGCCAATCTACTCGAATGACAACAAAAAATCAAACATGACTGAAATTCGTCAATCAAAAAATTTGATTGTCAATCTACATCATTCTTACCAATACACAGTCAGTCTTGACTGCCAATCAAGAAGACTGTCATTCAAAATGCATAGTGTATGGCCCGCTTAAAGTAAAATATACAGTAGTTATTATTCGAATAGAAAATACTGAATATTTTATTCCTTATTCCTAAAATGACTCTTTAGTATAAAATCTCTTAACTTTAATATATTGAAACAGATAAATGGTTTATTTAATAAAAAAAATTATATGAATAAAATTTTTTGTAATTTTTAGTATCATATTGTAAAATTAAAAATAAGATCCCACTTTTAGGAATTTTTATTTCTAATTGGATAAAAAACATTAGTATTTAATTACATAATATTGTAGTTTTAGGAATCTAATATTATTAATTCTTTTGATATTTTGTTTTCAATTTGAGTAGTATCGATACTTTTGTGTCGATAATTAGTATCAATATAAGTATAGATTAAATATGCATGTGTATTTAATCTATGATATAAGTGTATTTAATTAAATACCAAGTGAAAATATCAGGAACTAACTTTCAATATGAGGTTTCAATCTGTGGTTTTACCAAACGCTAACAGTGCTATCTATGTTATAAGTGTGTTACACTAATTGAATATTGAAACTATTTATGTTGGTCATACTATATACTAGTTTTTCGTCAGCAATGTTGGCTAACATTTGAGTACAATATCCATGCGATCCTTTTTCCGTGAGATATAACCCAAAAAATTCATCTCGTTTCATCAACTAATATAAGATTTTAAGTAAGTATTTATGTCTTTAACGCATTATCTTGTAGTACAAGTTCACTTACCGCAACTCATTTTAGGTAAGCAAGAAAAGAAAAATGCCAGCCAAAACAACTTCTGTGAAGAAACGGGTAAGCGGTTGTCGTACACATTTTTATTTTCTTCAAAGTACTTGTCTAAAATAGCGTTGGACGGCTTATTTAAAATACATTTTATGCTTATTCAATTTTCAATTTACTCCACGGTTAAATTTTTTTACGTAATAGTTTGTTAAATAGTAATTTTTTTTTTTTAAATTGTGTGTAACGATCAGTTGCAACTATTTACATTTCCACTCGCCTTATAATTATCTATTCCCATGACTTTTAGTTTCGGTTGTTTTATATTAACTAAATTTCATATGAAGATTTTAAATTACCAAAATGTATTGTAAAAAGTTGTTTTTTAATCAATACTAAAATATTTTAAATCTGTTTTTTATGATAATAAGCATATACATAGATGTGTACTTTATGATCTTTATAGCAATGTATAAAGTCTCTGTTATGAAATATATTTGTTTTATATATTAATAATACATAAATAATTGTCCCAAAATTTTTTAGAATTAAAAAAAATGAAACTACGATTGCACTTAAGGATAAAACTAAAAATTAAAATTAACATTTTATAAGGAATTATATGAGAATTATTTATATATCTATAAATAATTATACTAATTTTTTTTTTTGTGTGTGTATTCAGAATTTAAACATACTAATAATGTCATAATTAAGAAAAATATAACAACAGGCAAAAATTTAGTATAATAATAATATTTTCATTAAGTATTTTTGTATGTAGCTTTCATTTTTAATTTTAGTAATTTTTAGATGCCCAATAATTTTTCTCCAACTGCACTTATAACGTAACTAATAATTGTAAACTGAAGTATACAAATTTCATATATTAAGGGTTATAGCTCTAAATAATTAATAGTTAATAGTACAAAAATGTTATAGGAAAAAAAACTTTGTTAAGTATTTTCTAATTATTATTAAACACTATCAATATTACCCTTTTTTTGTTTCAATACAAAATGAGGTGATAAGCTAAAAGTAATTTTTTAATTTTAAACCTTGTTTGTTTTCAACTATTGAAAATATATATATATATAAATTTTTATTTTTTAAACGAATTTAACCTGAGCGAACATCATTATTTGATTCAAGGTTGTAACTATAAAATGAATAATCTAATTGTTGCAATTACAATTTATAGTTAATAGTACTTATCTTTAATCTTAATTTAGTTGAATCATAATTTTTAATGCACTATCATTAATTGTTCATTCACTGGAAAGTTCTAATTTTTAACATAAAATACATTATATTAATTAATTATAAATATTTTTACATTTATAATACTGAAAATTTTCAAGACAACAAGTTAGGATTAATTTTTTGAATGTATCAAAATGTAAATAATAAAAGACTTAAAAAGATTTGAAAAAAACATTTAGAGTTAAAAAACATAAATTTTATAAGATAATTTACAAATACAGGTAGATTATAGCTTTTTTACAGTGATGTTATTCAGATATACATTCTACATTTCCAATTAGTATACTTTTAAATGTTAATTAACTACATAGTGCCCTATAAACTACTATTAGGCATAAAGATCAATATGTAACTAATAGTAATTAAAAAAAAATTCAAACTTAATTTTTAATAGCAAGTAATTGAGTAGTTTATTATATAAAAATAAATTATTTACTTTTGTAAATTATATTTTAGTTTGTATCTGATGGTTTATTGCGAGCTGAACTCAACGAGTTTCTGACAAGAGAATTAGCAGAAGATGGTTATTCAGGTGTAGACGTTAGAGCTGCTCCTTCTCGTACAGAAATAGTTATCTCAGCTACTCGTACTCAAAATGTTTTGGGAGATAAAGGACGTCGTATTCGTGAACTTACATCACTCATTCAAAAACGTTTTGATTTTAAAGACAAGGCAGTTGAATTATTTGCTGAAAAAGTAGCACAACGTGGATTATGTGCAGTTGCTCAAGCTGAATCTTTACGTTATAAATTAATTGGAGGATTAGCAGTTCGAAGAGCGTGCTATGGAGTTTTGAGATTTATCATGGAAAGTGGGGCTAAAGGATGTGAAGTGGTTGTATCTGGTAAATTAAGAGGTCAGAGAGCCAAATCAATGAAGTTTGTTGATGGTTTAATGATTCACAGTGGAGACCCTTGCAATGACTATGTTAATGTTGCTACTAGACACGTTTTGTTAAGACAAGGTAATTTTCAATTATACAGTTGATCTAAATTTAGTAATGCACTCATTTTTGGGTCATCCCATGTGAAATCACCCTTCTTAAAAACTAGGTTAAAGTGTACAGCTATTGGCATATTTTATCAATAAACACCAGTATTTGGGTTTTTATGATTAATTATATTTAAAAAATGAGACAGGCTTTATTCATTTTATATTTTTGCCAAAAATTTGATTTTTACTCAACTATTAAATGTTACTACATATTATATAGTTAATAATCAATTAATTAAGGGATCCTTCAAAAAAAATGTCAATAATTTTATATTATATAAAAAAAAAATATTTTATTTAAAAAAAAAAACAATGTATTTAACTTCATGAATTGTTATAAAATATTTCACTTATTAAATATAGTTCGAAAAATTCAATTTTTGTAATTAAATACTATGTAATAGATTAAAACCTAAGTAATTCCTTAAGGTTTATTACGGTTTATTTACTCTATTGAAAATTTTAAATTTTTCTAAAGAAAAAATATTAGATTCCAAAAACTACAATATTATGTAATTAAAAAATAATGTTTTTTATTTAAGAATAAAAATTCCTAAAAGTGGAATCCCATTTTCAACTTTATAATATGATACTAAAAATTACAAAAAAAATTTTATTCATATCTTTTTTTTTTATTATTAAATGAACTATTTATCTGTTTCAATATATTAAAGTAAAGAGATTTTAGTCCAAAATTCTATTGTTATTTAATTGTTTTAAATGCATTAGTCTTCATTTTTCTATACTGTCACCTAAACTAATTTTTATTGATTAAGGTAATGAACATTATTGATCATCTAGTGTTGACAATTTTTCTTGATAACTATCATAAGAAATAATTTATGGGCTATCAAAACAAATTGTTGCTACATTAGATATTATAAAACCTAATAAATTATAAATTCTTACTTGAAATCCTTACCTTTGAATAATCTTTAAATGTCAAATGTTAAACTATTTATTGGATAAAATAAATTATGAGAACAAAATTGTTGTTCTTTTTCTTTTTATCAAATTATTAATTTAATAATAGTGGTTCTCATTAAAAAAAATATATTTAATTACATATTAAAAATTTTGGAACCTAATATTTTTTCTTTTCACAAAGATTAAACATTTTATTTGGAAAATGATTGTCTTACAAAATTTCAATCGCCTTATATTAATATACCATGATAATTTTAAGTAATTATAATTGATATTATTCAGGTGTATTGGGAATTAAAGTTAAAATCATGTTGCCATGGGATCAATCTGGCAAACTAGGACCTAAGAAGCCATTGCCAGACAATGTCAGTGTTGCTGAGCCTAAGGAAGAAATTCTTCCATTAGCTCCCACTAGTGATATTAAATCTAAACCAGACACGATAGCCCCAATTCCTGTTGTACCATTGGTTGGATAAAATAAAAAATTTTACTAATAAAATTTATTTAATGTGTATTTATTTCATTAATTATTATGTATAATTCACACATTTGAAATTTCAAGTTCAAATTTTTGGCAATATCAAAATGTTCACATTTTCTTAGTTTTAAAACACTATACATATATTTAAAAATAACATAACATTTGCATATATTGTAAATTCTTTAAATAATGCCTTAACCAAAATGAATCAAACATCTATATAGTCATTATTTAATTGCAATATCATAATTTCGTCAAATTTTGAAATAATTTGTATTGTAAATTAATAGCCTTACGCTAGTTGACTTACTTAATCAATATTTTCAGTGATATTTGCTTGAATAGTAATTATTTAATCAAAAATGTATCATAATTATCATGTACTTTCAATTAGCTTTTATTAATCTATCTGTTAAAAATAATAATTTTATAATAGACCAAAATTTGGTCGATGAAATAAAGCGTATTAAGTACATAAAATATTTATACCTGTGGCATATAAAACTTTGCAAGTTCAAAATAAATTAAATAACTTATCAATTAATAAAAAAACATTAATATCTTTAAATGCAACAAATATTAACAAAATCTAAAAATTTGATAGGACTTTATTACAGGAACTAAGTATTTTTTAATTGTTGCATCCTATGAGAATTATTTGATTAGACTTATTGTTAATAACTTCATTAACATTTAATGGTTTGTACAGTAAATAAACTTATAATTGTATAAAGGTGTATTGAATGAGCAATTCAATGTTATATTTTATGACATTTTAACACTAAAAAATTGAGATTCACTTGTTTTGACTCGTCAAGACACACCTTGTTAAAAAAAACTAATATTCAAGTATAACTAAGATATATTGAAAATTATTTTATAACTCCAAAGCTTTTTGAATACATTTTTTGTATAATTAATTCTTTTAAATGAATTCTCCAAGTATATATATTTAAAATATTAGATTTATTATTTCTAACTATAATACATAATCTGCTCAAATTCTTGAAAGTTAAATTTGTCTTCATAAAATAATTATAATTTTTTAATTATAAATATGTATTATTTTAAAAAATTACATTTCATCATTAAAATTATGTGTAAATATATATAATTTAACATAAAAATTTATATATACTTTGGATCCTTGGCATTTTACAAATTAAAGAAATATTAATATTCCTTTATAAAAGTGATAAAATATTTTACAACTTTTGTTTAATTTTTCATCAAAAATTTAATTAAGAATTATATTTTAATAAATTGTTATGCTCATAAAATATTAATACTATTCAATATTACACATCTTTTATAATTTGCACGTTTTTTCAACTTTGATAGTTTCTTTAAAATTGGACTTCAATAAATACATATAATAATAATAAAGTTGTTTTTATAATGAATTTCATTATAAAATTGTTAATTTAACCTGAATTTCATGATAATATATTAATTAGTTTTTTTTTGTATACATATTTCTTTCTTTTATTAGCATTTCATGACATATAAAAAAGTTCTGAGTTTGAAACATAATAATTTATTGATGTTTAATGGAAAAAACATAGTTTAAAAATAAATTTTTTAAGATTTTTATTATTAACATGTGATTTAGAAAAAACAAGAAAAATGAAAAAACAGTTGTTTTCATAAATAATTAATTTTTTAATATAATTAAATAATTTTCAATATTTTATTTCAAAAAAATATGTCAAGTTAAATAATAAAAGATAACTTTTATTAGGAAATTAAATTTATTTACAAAAATAAACATAAAAAATTAAGGGTCTTTGTGACCATTTTCTTCCAATTTAACTAAACCTAATTTTTTAGCTTCAACTTCATACACTAGAAGTCTCCACATTTTTACAACAAACACCTCAGCTTCTTCGTCTAGTACCATCTGGACATCATCTAATATTGCTTGAGGACTACTACCAGCCAAAACTTTTGAACAAATAAAATCAACTAATGTTGGCTCAGGTTCTCCAATATATTCAATGATTTTTTTATTAATCCAGGGCCTAATACGCTTTTCCATAAGTTGATTATCTACTACAGACCAGTCAAGATGGAATGAAAAGAGATCATCTTTATCAGTAGGTATACGATCAATTAACTGGCGAATATTTTTCTTTTTTTCTTCAACTGCCTTACTTTCTTCTTCTTTTTTATCAGTATAATCAATAGGAACCAATTTTCTCTTCTTTGGTTTTGGAACTTCTTCATCATCATTATTAAATACATCTTTAACATCCATTCTTTTTTTAATCATTAGAGTAGTAGTTATAGGAACCATTTCAGGTGGAGGTGTATGAGGTTCAACACTATGTGGTGTAGCTAGTTGTTGTGGACTAGGTGTCTGAGTTTTATCATTTTCTCGTCTATTTCGTTCTTGTTCAGCTTCTATATCTTTTTGTTTTTGGATTTCTTTTTCCAATTCCATTTCATATTTTTTTAATTTATCTTTTTGCTTTTCAGCTACATCTATTAATAATTTAGGTTTATACATTTCTTCTCTAGCTTTCAATACTTTTGCAAATTCTAATTCAGGATCTTTATAATCACTGTTGTAAATTTTTTCTCGGATTGCTTCAAGTTCATCTTTTTCTTTTTGTCGATCCCTACCATCTTCTTCAATTTCTTTTTCTCTTAATTCAATTCTTTTTTGTAATTCTCTTCCTTTGTAATACTTTACATCATCTTTTTCATCATCATAATCCTCAAGAAATTCTTTAAGTTTTTTTGCATTTCTTTCTCGTTCCTCTTCAATCATTTGTTTTTTAGCACGTTCCTTAGCTAATTCTTTTTTTTTTTGATTTTCTCTTACTTCCCACTGTTTTCGTTTTTCTTGATAAGCTATTTCTCGTTCTCTGCGTCTGTCTTCTTCTTTTTTCATTTCTAGTTCTTCTTCTTCCATTTCTTTTTCCCTTAATCTATTTTTATCATAATGACCTCTACTACTTTTTTCAGGTTCTTTTTCTTTCCGATTTTCTTTATCTATGCTTTTTTCTCTTTCTTTTTTTTCTCTTTCTCTTTCTTTTTCTCTTCTATCCTTTTTTTCTCTATCTCGTTTGTCTCTTTCATCTCTTTCCCTATCTCTTTTATCTCTATCTTCTTTCTCTTTATCCCGTTTGTCACGTTCTTCTCTACGACGTATTCTTCTACTTTCTTCAGAATCTGGACTATCAGGAGTAACATGTCGTCCATTCTGTTTCTCTTTTTCTTGTCTTTTCTTTCTTTCAACTTCTTTTTCTTCTTCTCGTTTTTTCATAATTTCACGAAATTTGCCAATCTCTCTGTTAATTAAATTTTTTTTTTCATCTTCATTGGGAACTAAATCGAATCCAACACCGTCAACGATACTAGGTTTATCTTCTTCTTCATTAAGTTTTCCTTCTTTATTCATTTCTTCGTTATGCTCAGCAATAATACTATCAATTCTTTGTCGACAATACACTTCAAATTGCTTGCTTTCTTCTGAATCATCAGTTCCTTTTTTTTCAGCTTTAAATTGGTCCAGTGTCTCTTGTGCTTTTGCATCAACCTTTACAACAAGTTTTTTATCCCCAACTTCCATATCATGTAAAACTTTGATTGCTCTGATTGCTGCTTCAGCACCATAATATTCACAAAATCCAAATCCTTGAACTCTTTTCCATGTAGCTATGTTTCCACAAGTGGCTAATATATGCCTTATCATTGTATCAGGAGCTTTTTCTGCAATATTTCCAACAAAAACTGTAATTGGGGGTTCAGTAGGAGTAGGAGGGCGGAAAGTTTTACGGGGAACTCTTGGGTTGAAACGTGGAGGAGCTGAAACAACATGTGGTGTAACAGGAACAACCATAGGTGGTTGCTGCATTTGAGTCCATACCATAGGTTGTGGTACAGGAACATTTGGTACAGTAGGTGTGAACGGCATGACTAAGTAATTAGATGATGTAGTTGGCAAAAAACCTGCACTAGAACCTGAAGTATTTAAATTTGGATCAGCCATAGATATTTCTACCATAAAATCTGAGTAAAAAAAAGAACAATAACCAATTTAATCAATAAACAGTAAAAATAACGAAAAAAGTTGTACAAATAAACTAGGAGGAAATAAAACAAAACACATTATCATTATTATTTTATATTTATCAAATAAACATTTGTGATTAATGCAATTATTCTTACTTCAATTAAAGAGACAAAGAACATTTGGTTGAATATATATATTGATAGACTTTTAAAGATTCAATGATATAAATTCAAGTTGTTTCAATGAAAAACTAAAATCACATTTTATTTTATCATTATTTATATTTTAAACATATTACTGTGATAAAGTAAAGAAATTGTTGATAAAACTTTATTTGGTCATTCAAATGACATTAAATTTCATGGAATAAAATAAGTTGTTTGTAAGCATTACACAGTACTGTAAGAGTAAGAAACAATGACAATGCTTGTTAAACACTATGATAAAGCTAATTAAATACTACAAAAATCTTCCTAACTGCTCAAAAACTACTGCGAGGCAATTTTATTCATTTTAGTAATTTAACCAGTTAACAGATATAATAATATTATTTCATAGTTTTGTTTGTCTTGAGAATACCTTATTTCATCACTACACAAAATTAAAACAAGTTGGTTACACTGTAAATATTTTTCAATTATTCAATTACTAGATTATCACCATCTTGGTTTGCAAAACTTGATTTCAAATAAATAATAAATTTAAAGGAGTAGTTACCATTTCACAATAATGGTTTTTCTGATCTATTGTCAAATTTTGACAATGTATCTCAATAGATCAGAAAATATTTTTACCAAGAAACAAAACAACATACATTTTTCATGGTACATAATGCATTTAATACCAAACATAAATGTGCTTAAAGATTCAGGTCGGAGGCAACAAAAATTTGTACCAGTCCCCAATCTTAACTAAACGGACTACATTTTATAGAAGATATAAGGAATTTGCAGAGGGTTTACTCTTAAAAATCCATCATATTTACTTAGTTTAAAATTTTTATACAGTAAAGTAGAACAGATTACTTCTTAATCCTTAGTAGTTTCCCAATATCACTATTGTTGAGGTTACTATTATAACCGGCCAAATAAAATTAATTTGACCAACCGAGGACAGCAAAGCACCGTACGCAAGCCTATGATAGTAATTAAAAAGATTAAAATTTAAGTTATATTGTTATACTGGCAATCAATCAATATATTCCAATTTTAGCCCTACAATAAACAAAATTAATAATTTAATAAGTAGTTTTTAACACCTGCGTTGTTTATAAGTAGAAAATGAGCTTTAAATTTAATTATTTATTATTATTATTAAATTTACAATTATTTCTTAGCCAAGGTTAAAAAAAATGGTGAAGCCAACACGGTAGGTTTTAATATGGGCCTGCAACACTGTTGAAAATTATGGTAGTATTTACCGACATGTTCGGTTAAACAACTTCTTAATATAGTTCATATAGCCACAATACATTTACAGTGGTTCATAATAAATATACAGTTGTAAAATCCATAAAATCTTTATAACGAAAAAATTGAGTTAAGCAATAGTAATGATAAATTGTTACTATGCCATTTATTATTTCTCATAATGATTTATCAAATTTAAGCTGTGTTCAAATTACTCTTTTCGGTTTGACAGAGAAATATATTTTAAGATGTTAAATGATTGTATTACATAAAAAAACTATTCGGTTGGGTTGGATTGTCCCATACTTTTGTTGTCTGAATCACTTAGAATTAATCGATGATTATTTTCCTTAAAAGCTTACAAAGACAAATCGTTGGACAACCGATTAAGGACCATTTTACTTCATAGTTATAATAGCACTGAGAAAGATTGTTTTATAATTTCGATTTTAAATCCATAAATAATTATTTTCATTAGAGTATTTAATTAAATATTAATATAAATATATATATTATATATATAATATATTAATAATTAGAGTGTTTAATTAAATACTATTTGTAATATTGAAATCATGAATAATTTATACGTTTAATTATATAATAATGGACGCCTAAACGAGAGATGAATTTGAGAAGATAGACCTACGAATGTTAAACACTAATTATTGAAAGTAGGAGAAATTTTTATTATTAAAATTTGAGTTTATCCAGTAAATTTTAATTTAAGTGAACAAACAATAGTTCTTTGATTTCTTTTTAAATAATTTTTGGTAATTTTTACTTTTACCATGAATTATAAGTATTTTATAAAATCAATTTTTATAATAAAATACAATTAAATATTCAAGACGAATATGTGTTGTAAGACCTTATAACGACTGAATTATTAATTATTAAACATACAATATCATGGAATAATTATTTCCAAAACTAAATACATAAAAAGTTATGTTTAAAAATAGAATTTTGTAGCAATACAAAATAAAATATTTACATTAAAGTACAATATAATTTTAACATAATTAAAAAAAATTTATTATGGACATTTTTATCTATCAGGATATCGGCTCAATGGAAAGATACTAAGGAAAGTGGAACAAAGCTATAATGGATAACTATGTGTGAACTACTTTTATATCCAATTTAATTGGAAATAAAAAATTTGAAAAATATTCACAAAAGAAAATTTTAAATGGATATTTCTAAATTATTTTGGATGACATTTATTATATTTGATAATTTTCTACTATTTTTAGTTATTTTTTTTATTTTACTGTCATTAATTTAAATAGTTGGCATTATACTACAAAATTGCATAAGCCTATACTTTTTTTCCAAATTTAACTATGTTTAGGATACTTTATATTAAAAACAACCGTTATTACGATTTTTTTTTTACTTAGTTTTTTTACATTATAGCGATCATATAAACTAAAAGTGAAACAAAAATAATATTATAGTAGTCTAAATGCGGATTTTTAAATTCTCTAGCATTTTCTATTCATAAAATAAATAATAAAAACATAAACAATTTCCCTATAGTTAGTCTGCCCGGACATAAATATTTTTATGTACTTGGTGAGATATAACTTTATTGAATACAACTATAAATATTGTTAAAAAATAACAAATGCTAAAAAAGTATAAATTTTATACTTTTTTAGCATATATTATGATATTTAATATAATTTATAAATATATAATTTAAGAAATTGTAATTAATTGAGCAACATATTTTGTCTATCGTTTTCTAATTTGAAAATGGATTATCAGAGTGTTGCATTTATTATAAATGACTCAATATCTTGCGAAATAATAAAATATTGAAAAAAATTATTGTTTTTTTCTTTAGTTACACATATTGTATGTAAAGTAATTATTACTTTATTAGAATAGAAATTAATTGAGATTTACATATTTTTAAGATCAATATGTCAGAAAATAATATTGAGAATTTTTTTCTTTTAGGTACATTTATTTCTAAATTTATATTTTGTTAAGTATTTTTATGCTCATCCCTTATAAGTTATAAAGGTGTCAAATTAAATTTTTAAAATGGCAACTGACTTAATTAACTATTTTGTTAGATATGATCTAATTAAGAAAATGACTAGTTAATAACATTAACATTATTGTACTTAAGCAGAAGGAAGAGTACGGAAGGGAAATGAATAGTAATAAAAATAGCAGCCATCACTATAGTAATTAACATTTTATAAATAAATTGTTAATAACTTTTGAAATACTGGTCTAAAAATTATTATCGACCAGTAATATAGTTATAGTAATTATTATACTGATGAATAGTTTTTTTTATTTATAATTATTAAATGTCAAAAACTAATCTACAAAATCTCACATTAATAAACTTTTATCTCAATGATTGTTCAAGATGATATGACGCTGTGTTTGCGGTTAAAGTACTCGTGTACAAACTGATAATGAATTACTAAAATTCATAATATACCTATTCTTCAAACTCGAACAGCTAAACACAATGCGACCGATTGATGTCAGCTAATTAACACAAGTCATCGTTTTATTTCAACTTGGCTGTAGTATATAAGTGCCCACCCAGAAGGATTGTAATAACAGTTAATTTGATAACTGAACATTACAGTACACGTAACGACAATGAGAGTAATAACAATAATGATCATGACTTTAACACGAGCTTTTGAGGCAATCGCGTTAGTACCGGCTGTGACTGTTGACAACATATCGGTTCGAATGAGTTTGCCCGATGGACTTGGATTATCGGGCGTGTGTTTATTCAGGAACGGTTTGGATAAAAGACACGTTGTATATAAGTCAATAACTTCTACTCACAAGCATCAAAAAAATGGCAAATATCTAGTGGCCGGTGATTTAAACACCAATAGTGTATACGAGGGAATATTTACTCGACTGCAAGACGGTGACCAGATTGCTCGATTTGTATGCAAAGAAGGTTATCGATTTGAAATAGCCACCCCTTTTATAGTACCCATAAAAGATCTGGAAAATATGTTTACCGTCAAAGAGTCAATACAACAAAAACTTAAAATGTATCCATCAAACCGAATGCTCATTGAAAATGTGTCGGTTACTATTCGATTTTTGTTGGATCACTCACAACATGTAGTAACTGCAGATGTGTTTCAAGTATTCAAAAAACTAAAGCAACAAAATATAAAAAATGATTACTCGGCTATTCCTTTTGCTCGATATCAGCTCAGTTTGCCTGTTCATAAGCTAATACTGGCGGAGTTACCCCCTGATCAAATGATAGCTATCAAAATACATGCCGTAGATTTTACCGGCAAACCAACAGAGAATTTTTTTTTTCTTTTCACCGGTGGACTGTATCCCACAGATATAGCAAACCTAACTCAAATGGTAGATAATTTAATGACTCCTGGTAACATGATCAACACAAAACACGGTCAATATGATTCTTATGGTAAGTAATGATTAGTAGACTTATTTAAGATTTATTCATAGAAATATCAAATTAGTATTTATTCAATTATTTTTCTAGGGTAAACATATTTAAAACACTATTATGTAGAAATAGATTAAAAATAATTTACTTGTATCTATCATTCGGTTAAAAAAATGTTTTTAAGTATGTCTAAATAATTATTGAAATATTTAAATTTGGTCAATTATGATGATAAATAAATGTATACAGAGTGATTTAATTATCGTGAAACTTTATTAATAGTATTTATTTCATGATTTATAAGTGGTTAAATCAAGAAATAAATACTACTTAAATAAAGAATACCCTCTATACATTATCCCTTACTTTATCTCTAAGCGCACCAGTTTTTATTTTTAATGATAGCAAATATTTTAATGGATTAAATGTTAGAAAATGATTCAACTAACGGAAATAAATGGTGGATAATAACTTTTGAACCATGATTTTAAAAGTTATTATTAACATTGTTAATAAAATGTTATTGTAAAATTATAATAATAAAACAGAAATATTAATATTAACAACTAAATAACAATTAAACACAATATTAAATATCGTGATACACCGAATTTTTGATAACCGTATAAAATGTTTGAAGACCAATAGAGACTGAACCAATAAGATAGATATAAAAAATAATAATATTTGTAACAATAGACTTAAATTTACGAAACAATGTTGGTTTTCATTGAAAATGAAATCGTTTTTTTAATTTCTTCTATAACTACCAAGTGCCCGTGAAATGAAATTTCGGTTATATCTATTTTACATTCTTTAGACTGGTACGTAAACCATGTCTACTAAGACGTTCAGGAAATTTGGCTAAGTAATTAAAATGTTTATCAAAGTTATCCAATTACATAACTATTTCGTCAAGATAGACTTGAACAAAATCATCTAAATATCCTTTTTAAACTTCGTTCATTAGTCTAACGAAAGTCATAGTAGAATTTTTTAAATCCAACGATAACTTGTAACTTGTAGTGATATTTACTTGTTCAGAAAGCTGAATATTTCCGAGAATTCGGGTTCGAAATAACTTATAAATAGTCGGACTCTATATCATTCTATATTACAACATTTAATTTAAATAAATTTTAAGTTGTCTAATTTGCCAAATTTTCAAAAATTAAAATTAAAAACAATTTTTGTACCCATAGGTGATTGCTTTCAAACCCTCTTATTTTTAGGTTGTTAATTAGATTTTCATAAAAAATAAATTAAAAGAAAGATTATTTATCTCTAATATAAATTTTAATATTATCATTTGGATCGTTAAATTTAAAAAATAATAATAACAATTTTAATATACAAAAAAAAACATTCAGTATTTGCAATTTCCGAATATCGACTAATTTGGATATATTTTCCTAAATATTATAAATTAAGAAGATTCATCAATTTTTAGAAACGTTCAGTTAGATCAAATTTTGGTTTTTTACACATATTAATACACGTGAACATGAATGTTCAAAATCGGACACGCAGAACTATACGTATTTTTCTGTACATTTTATAATTTTAATAAGTGCGACTAGTTTATCACGATCCTGTTTAAAATCAGCAAATATTTGACGTGTGTGTAACTCTGTTTTCCTGCAATTCTCACATACCTTTCCCAATTATATTTTAGTTCTTGCTATTGTCGTCTTTAAGTTTTGCACGAGCAAAACTTTTTGTTAAGAGCCATAAAATTCGTTGTTTGTCGGCTTACAAAAAAGTCACTCATTCAAGATAAAGTTTTTGTTTATTATTTTCAAACGCTTTATTAATTTTTTTAATTGGTATACTACAAAAAAAGATTCTAATTTTATAACTAATTACAATTTTGCTATCTGATATTGAAACTTATCTGATAATTGAATATTATATTTTAAAATCGAGTCAGCTGTCGTTTGCTGTTTATAAATTTTATGTTCAAGTATTTTATTTTATTTATTCTTAAACTAAAGTATAGATATAGTATAGAAACTAAAGTTTCTGTTTATACAACTTAAAAATTGAGATTTTAATAAATGTTTTATAAATGGCTTTTTCTTTTAAAATAAATCATCATGATACAAACAAATATTATTTAATTGGGTACACGTCAAATCATTAATAAGTTTACATGTTTATTAAGAAAGATCTCGTCGTTAACTCAGAAATGTTGTGATCATCTTCAAACAGTACTAGTGATTTAAATGAAAAATTAATTAAAAAATCTAGTATTTCCCAATATAGAGGTAAAAAGAACATTTTAACTGGAAAACTAGCTGGTAAATTCGAAAGGTGCAGAATTAACGACAGAGACGCTGCTGATATATTAATGGAAACTGCAGAATAATTTGGTCTCGATTCATCTGAATTAATTATAAATAAGACCTCAATTTTCAAAAATGATATCGTGAAAACAAATAGAAAAAATATGTAGTAATTTTGATATATCTCAAATAGGTCCATACACAATTCATTGGGATGGAAAACTTCTTCCTTCATCATCAAGAAAACAACTAGTTGAAAGTTTACCAATAATTTTGTCATATAATGTCTCTAATACAGGTAGACTTAAAGGTGCCTGCATATAATTGGATCAAATATTGTGGAGTGATATTTTGTATTTTCTGTGCACACATCACATTTTTTAAATCAAATTTAATCCATGATCTGTACCAGATGTTCCTATATTGAATAAATTTCAAGTCTTGGCAAAATATAAATAAAAAAAAAATAATTTAAGTAGATTGGAAGACATTATTTTTTTAAGAAAAAATTTTAAATAATAGATATTTTAAAATTTAGTTTTGATCAATTACAACAATATCAACCTCGATATGACTATAAGGAACNATATTTTAAAATTTAGTTTTGATCAATTACAACAATATCAACCTCGATTTTAGAACTGGTCATAATATATTTTGGTGAAACACCACTGGATGGGATATATTTTAAACATCCTGGACCTATTTATTATGCTCATTTTTATTATTAATCAAAGAATTAAACGATATTGGTTCGTTGTGTATTTTTATTATACGATTATACATTAAACAATTGTTAAGTTCATACAATGCTACGTTAGCCTAAAATTTATAATTACAATTTATAAAAAGTATGATTGAATATATGAATCAATAGATATAGATATTTCTAAAGTAGATTTACAAAAAAATGTCTGGTCATTTATGATATTGAGTATCCGAAACAGCAGCATTGGAGTTAATATTTTTGAAGATACCAAAATTAAAATGGTCAATTCATTTAATAATCGTGAAGAAGTCCCATGTACGCACAAATGTGTCATTATTATAAAAATTAAAACATTTTAAATAAAATTTGGTACATTGGAGACTTTAATTAAATAATTGATATATAATTCACAAAAAGCCAAATAAAAATTTAGAGTAGAATATCCAGTTAATTAAATTCAAGGAAATGTGGGGGCAAAACTCTCAGTTAACTAGATAAGATTTTTAATCAAGTAACTAAAAAAAATTCTTTTATTATACTCTGGAATATGAACAAAACTAAAGAAATACCAATAAAATGCGCGTATTAAGGATCATTTATTTTTTATTCGTTTCACTATGTCGTCATTTGTCAAAATATATAATATAAATATGATTTATACAAATTTATATAATTCATTGGATAGTCCAGTGCCTTTGCATTAAGAAATAACATTTGATGGAATGATTTTACGTCTTGAGAAAATTTGTAATATTTTAATATCTAATAATTTAGTTATAAGTAAATTACAAATAATTTTATTTCATCAAGTGGGTAATTAATATTAATTAAAAATTGATGAGTCCAAATTTGGGATGCAAAAATACTATAAGTGGAAAGAAACCTGAGCGATGTTTTATTTTTCCTGTAGAACGTCAAGAAAAAGAAACGTTGCTTATCCTAATTAAAAATTATATATTGCCGGAAACAAAAAACAATAGTGATTGCTGGAAAGTAGAAAATGTAAAAAAAAACTGAATTAAGCTTTTTAATTAATATGTGCAAATTGTTTTATTCTAGAGGTACGATTGTTTGGAAGACGAAGGCTATAAACATCTTATCATTTATTAAACTTTAAGAACCCCGAAACTGGGGCTCAAACAAAAAATTTTTGGCAGTAGTGCCATAAAAAAGATTTTAAGGTGGATATTTGGCAAAATATATGTTTTTAAAACTGTGTCCAATTCCAAAACAAAATACACTAACTAAATTGTTTTTACTATTAGTATTCTTTCATAACACTAATTTTCTGTTTTTTTTTTTTCAAAAATGTATATGATTTTTAACTTATTTTTTTTTAATAACAAGTTTTAAAGAAAAAACAGTGCAACTAATACAAAAAAGGACAAAACGAATAAAAATTTTTTTTATTATCATTAATATTTTTTTCCTAAGTTTAAAAGGTATGATGAGTTTTATGATAGACTAGGAACAAAGGAAGGCGAAAAAGAAGTCTATAGACTTGCAAATGTTAGAGAACAAAGGTCTAAAGATTATCACTATGTAAGGTGTATAAAAAGTGTTGATAATAGGGTGCTATAGAGTGATGATGTCAAAAAAGTATTTTGAAAAATTACTGAATGAGGAATACCCAAAAGAGGATATCTTGTGGAACGAAGAACTAGTAGGTTTAATTAGTGAGAAAGAGGTATAGAAGACTATAATATCAATAAAAAAGAATAAAGCTGTAGAACCAGATGAAATGCCAGTAGAAGTATGGAAAATATTTTGCGATGTTAGCATATGGTAGTTGAAAGAACTTTTCAATAAGATATTATTAGAAGGAAAAATTCCAAATGAATANAGAACTTTTCAATAAGATATTATTAGAAGGAAAAATTCCAAATGAATAGAGGAATAGTATTGTGGTGCCAATATTTAAAGGTAAAGGCGACATACAGGAGTGTGGAAATTATAGAGGCATAAAGCTTATGAGTCATATAGTATGAAAATTTGGGAAAAGGTAATAAATAAGAGAATAAAAAATGAGACATCGGTATCTAAAAACCAGTTTGGATTTATGCCTGGTAAGTCAACAATGGAACTATTATTTTGTGTGAGGCAGGTAATAGATAAGTTTAGGAAAAAAAGAAAAAGCTTTGTATGGTAATTATAGATTTGGAGAAAGCGTATGATAGAATACCGGAAGGTTTTAAAGTGGACATTAATGGGAAAAGGAGTCCCAAGAAGGTACATTAATATAATAGAGGATATGTACTTGTACCAGGGTAAAAAGCGTAGGAGGAGTAACAGAAGGTTTTAAGGTAAGAGTAGGAGTGCACCAAGATTCTGCTTTAAGCCCTTACTTATTTTCTACAGCGATGGATGAAATTACTAGAGAGATACAAAGAGATGTACCGTGGTACGTGTTGTTCGCTAACGATATAGTGTTAATATGATAGAATAGGGTAAAAACTAATCAAAGGCTAAAGGTATCGAGATCAGCTCTTGAAAAAACGGGATTAAGAATAAGTAGAAATAAAACACAGAAAATAGTGTTTGAGTTTGACAAAGAGAACACGAGATAAGTGAATTGAGGAGAGCAATGACAATAATCAAGGATATGATTGGAGAAATGGAAAGATTTAAGTATTTAGGATCAGTTGTGCAAAAGAGTAGTGGTATTGACGAGGATGTAAGACACAGGTCTAAGTGCTTTGAATTGGAGAGAAGAGTCTGGTGTATTATACGATAAGAGAATTCTAATGATGCTAAAAAGTAAGTTCTATAAGACTGTAGTGAGATCAGCAATGATGTATATTTTTTCAATCATAATGTACTCTTAAAAAACTTTAATGTGATATAAGTTTGAGGAACACAAACGTCCCGGCAAATTTTCAAAAATTGTAAACAAAGTTTTTTTTAATAGCGATTTTTTTTTTACTTTAATGAACAAATTCTCATAGAAAATGATTATAATATTATATTAAATGTAGTAATAGAACAATTTGATTAAATACCATGCCATGCTCATTATAATATTTATTTTGTCATAATAATTTCAAATATTTTAGATTAAGACATAGGATTAAGTGCGGGTGGTTGAAGTGGAGAGAAGCGTCTGGCGTCTTATGCGATAAGAGAATTCCAAAGAGGTTGAAAGGTAAATTCTACAAAACTGTAATAAGGCCAGCTATGATGTATGGTTCAGTGTTGGGCGGTTGATAAGAAAGTAGAGCAGAGAATGAGTGTAGCAGAGATGAGAATGCTTAAATGGATGAGTGGAGTGACTAAAAAAGATAGAATAAGGAACGATCATATAAGAGGGAGTATAGGTGTAGCGTCAATCGTGGATAAGATGAGAGAAAATAGACTTAGATAGTTTAATCATGTTATGAGGAGAAAGGAATCGGAAGCTGAAAGAATAGTTATAGAAATTAATGTTGAAGGAAGAAGAGTTAGAGAAAGACTAAAAAAGAGATGGAAGGATAATATTGAAGTGATATGAGGACGGCTGATGTAAACGTAGATGATATGGGAGATCGTGTCAAGTGGAAGTTTAAGATAACGGTCCCCAACCCCAAGTAATTGGGATTAAGGCGAGGAAAAAAAGATGATTCAACTTTAAAAGTTGAAAATCGATTCTTAGATTTCCCTTAAATCACCGACCAATAAAAACTGATTTTAAGAGATTTTAGCCAAAAAATTAATTTTAAATGAAATAAACTTTTTTTAAACTAGTTAAGTTAAAAAAAATTTTCAGCTTATCTTTTAACTGTTAATTTATCGACATTAATCATACATAACTTAACTTGAGTTAATTATTTCCATTAACTTACTTATCTGTACAATAACCAATCCCATGTTTTGTGACAACTAACCCCATTACATAACTCCACATAAAAGTGGTCATACAATTATATTATTAAAACACACACCCGAGAACAATACAAAAAAACTTATTATAAAATACTACTTCTATGAAGTGATAACAATATAACCATAATAATAACAAATAAAAAGTTAAAATTAGTTGAATTTATGCAAAACATAGAAAAAATTTATTTTTTATAGTATAATCTTATTAATGCTATAACCCGTTTCCCAACAATACTAAAATAATTAGAACTCATATAATAATATATGTTATGATGATTGATACCTAATAGTTTCNTGCTATAACCCGTTTCCCAACAATACTAAAATAATTAGAACTCATATAATAATATATGTTATGATGATTGATACCTAATAGTTATAATTAGAAATAATTAATATTGTGGCAACTAGCCCAGGTCTCTTCTAGTTTTGTAATCTTACTTTCTGGACGACCCTCATATATAGGAATCATCACTGAGCATAAGTAACATAATAGGTGTCAAAAAAAAAAATAAAATATTCAAATTCATTTATTAGTTGTCCATATATTGAATTTATTATGTACTAAGTAACATAATTGTTGCTTAGTTTGTTAATTGAAATATTTTGTGACTTCTGCAATAAGACAACACAAGTTCTTGACTAACAATATGAACCACCTAAATTCTAATCCAATAAAAAAAAATTTCAGACATTCTCAAAAATACAGTTAGATGTTATGCAGCTGGCATGGTTTACAACGGTTATCCTTGTAAAAACTCTGACAAATGTATACCATTAGGCTGGTTATGTGATGATCAAAAAGACTGTGTGGAAGGTGAAGATGAATATAATTGTTACAAAGAGGATGAAGACGACAGTATTAGCAACACAAATAATTATAACAATATTGATAATTGGTATTATAGCCGCGGTACATGCAAAAAATATGAATTCCGTTGTCTTTCTAGAAAAATGTCAGTTTGTTTACCAAATTCATGGCTCTGTGATGGACGAGTAGATTGTGATGATGGGTAACACGTTCAATATTTTACATCCAATAACCACTAGCTATAAGCAACAATTATTTGTTATTCGAATATTTCACCCTTTTAAACATTTTTTAACAGAAAAATTATCTTATTATTTCAACAAAGTACTAATAATTATTTTTGTTATAATATTAAGATTTAAATTCCTTTTTAATATAAAGTCTCAAATTTTAGTTTTTTTCACAAGAAAAAAATCTATATCATAAAAGTGTTAAAATATCTGTCATTCAAATTTGAACACTAATAAATTTAATTACTGCGTATAATATTTAATTTTAGTTTAATATCGCCCCAAAATAATTTTACTACTTGAGACATTTATTTTATAGGAATAAATGTATAGATAAGATATATNAATTACTGCGTATAATATTTAATTTTAGTTTAATATCGCCCCAAAATAATTTTACTACTTGAGACATTTATTTTATAGGAATAAATGTATAGTTAAGATAAATATAAAGGGGCGTTTTGTGACATAGTGGATCATTCGGTGGTCGTCCTATCATTGATGTTCCGCTACACTGTTTGCCGTTAGTTCCCGAATGATCACCTATTGGGGAACAGTGACGCGCACCGTGTCACCTTATTGGATTTTTCAGCCATAATGATGTTACGTTAGGTTGACAGCAGGGATAAATATTCTGTAAAACCAATTAGGTAGTCAATCCAAAATAATTGGAGTAGAGGATAAGGAGATGATGATAACATAGTTCTATAAATTATAAGCGTCTTAAGTCGGGGCTTATGTTACATTATTATCATGAGTAATAGAATCATTTTGAGATTATTGAAATTCAAAACATATTAAGATTTTTCGGTACAAGAAAATTAATAAAGTGTCACCTATTGCATTAGTTCCAGTCATGTTTTAAATAATTAAAAAATTAATGTTGAAGGAAGAAGAGTTAGAGAAAGACTAAAAAAGAGATGGAAGGATAATATTGAAGTGATATGAGGACGGCTGATGTAAACGTAGATGATATGGGAGATCGTGTCAAGTGGAAGTTTAAGATAACGGTCCCCAACCCCAAGTAATTGGGATTAAGGCGAGGAAAAAAAGATGATTCAACTTTAAAAGTTGAAAATCGATTCTTAGATTTCCCTTAAATCACCGACCAATAAAAACTGATTTTAAGAGATTTTAGCCAAAAAATTAATTTTAAATGAAAATAAAGTGTCACCTATTGCATTAGTTCCAGTCATGTTTTAAATAATTAAAAAATTAAAAAAAACTTATCTATGATAAATATTTTCTTAGTACCTAATTTTCAATTATACATAGAATTTATTTTTATATAAGGTGTCATTTAAGTAAAAATGTAAGGATTTTTCGGTGATTATTGATTGAACATTTTTAATTATGTTATAAATTGTACATTATCATCTCTATGAATCATGAATAAATTATTAAACAAATAAATAAAGTTAAGTAACAACAAAGTAACTCACCTTATTGTATCCCAAAATTTAACATTTTATGGTTTAAGCCTACTTAAAAAAAAAAAATAAACGTTCATATAAAAAGAATAAATGTTTTTTTAAAGATTTCGTAATAATTATAAATGCTTTTTTTTTAGTTGGGACGAGGATGAATTTAATTGTGGACAAATTTACAATGTACAAAAACCAATATTAAGTGATATATATCACAGAGAAGACATCTTATGTAAAAATAAAAACTCTTTCAAATGTTGGCAAGGTACTGAATGTATAAATTTTCGATCAGTTTGCGATGGCACAAAACATTGTGCAGATGGTTCAGATGAACGTATATGTGATAATTGGAATTTACATTGTGATCAATTTACAGAATTCAGGGTAAGATATTTGTAAATAAATATGTTAGTTTGAATTAAAATTAAAAATATTAGCCACAAGTGATTAATTCTTATATAATTTTAAAATTATAATTAATTTTTCTTATTTAGTGCTTGAACAACTACAACACATATAACACACGAAACTGTATACCTCGGCAATGGGTATGTGATCTGCAGGACGACTGTCCACATGGAGAAGATGAATCAGTAACCAGTTGTTTAAGCATGGATCACCCAACATTTAATGGTCTAGAAACTGATATTGTAGATTTTTAAATAAAAAACAACTTTTAAAAAATAAATGTTTTAGAAGCAATTTACAGCGCTATTTTATACAGTATTAAAAGTAACCTTATCATCTGGTTTGCTTTCTAATGAAAATGGAGGTATTCTACAATCAAATAAATGTCCATCTTCACGCTCCATTCTAAATGTTCCCCTATTTGTAAAAACAATTAACATGATAATAACCATTAAGTGAACTACTTATTTTAAAAACAATGTAAGTCTCAAAATTTGAAAACAAGCTAATGTGTGTACAAGGCGTTGTTGATGGATAAATGTGTGAACTAAATGTATACAAAAAATAATATTAAGTCATGTGACTTGTTAAAAACTGAGTTTAAATTTTTAGTAATCAATTGCTTATTTATATATGAAAAATCATGTATAATAAAAGTTAAATACATCTAGGATAGATATAAAGTAATAACACTGAGGTGTGTAAATCGAATCAAGACAATTCGGTATGAGGTATGCATAATGGACCAACAAGTTTGAGTGCATGGGCATTATGTCCACTAACAACTAAAACTAAAAATTTAATACATCCAGGATTCTTAAATAAAAAAAAAGATTACTTACTAGTATTTTAATTTTTAAATAATTTAAAGATTAATTTAAAACTTACACAAGTTTTATATCTTTATATATCAATGGTAGCTAAAAAAGTTTAGTATTTTGTTCAAGCAATTTTTTTTTAACTTACATTGTTTTTTTAAATTAGTGGCTAAATTAATTAAGAAAAATTTTAATTTGAATAAATCTAACCACATATGCCCACTAGGCGCTTGCAGGCTCACATGACTACTATATTGAAAAGCAGGAGACTTTTTAGACAATACAGGTTCTTGTCCTACGACACCTCTTCCTCGAACAGTTTCTAACGTACCAGATAAACTGAATATTCTCCAGTGACGTTCTCTTAATTGAACACTTTGATCTCCTAAATTTTCCAATCGAATACAATATCTCCACTAAATAAAAAATGTTTAAGTTGTTTGCATTTTTTCAAAATTTTATATTTACTTACCCAGTATACTGAGCTAGTTTGAGATTCTCTATAACCCATGTAAAATGGAATAACTGTCACTCTAATATTTTCAGTCGTTTCTTTATGAACATCTGATAATTCAAGCCACGGATGATTTTTTTTTTGCCATGAACGTAATGTTTCCTGTGCACCAAAAGGAGGTTCTAAAACAATTTAACTCATATAAGTTAAAGTAAAATTGAGTAAAAATATGCTCAAAAAATCTTTCACTCAAGAAATTCATTTCAGTTTTTTTTACTATATTTTTTTAAATCATTCAATTTTATATCAAAAATTAAAAATCTAACCTCTATTAGGATAATACATTAGAAATTTATCAAAAAGTTCATGCTGTAAAGGCTGTTTCTCAGTAGCTGTGTAAGGTAAAATGTCTTCTTGGGACACATAATCTAAACCCGGTATTGCATACAAACTNATTATATTAAATGTAGTAATAGAACAATTTGATTAAATACCATGCCATGCTCATTATAATATTTATTTTGTCATAATAATTTCAAATATTTTAGATTAAGACATAGGATTAAGTGCGGGTGGTTGAAGTGGAGAGAAGCGTCTGGCGTCTTATGCGATAAGAGAATTCCAAAGAGGTTGAAAGGTAAATTCTACAAAACTGTAATAAGGCCAGCTATGATGTATGGTTCAGTGTTGGGCGGTTGATAAGAAAGTAGAGCAGAGAATGAGTGTAGCAGAGATGAGAATGCTTAAATGGATGAGTGGAGTGACTAAAAAAGATAGAATAAGGAACGATCATATAAGAGGGAGTATAGGTGTAGCGTCAATCGTGGATAAGATGAGAGAAAATAGACTTAGATAGTTTAATCATGTTATGAGGAGAAAGGAATCGGAAGCTGAAAGAATAGTTATAGAAATTAATGTTGAAGGAAGAAGAGTTAGAGAAAGACTAAAAAAGAGATGGAAGGATAATATTGAAGTGATATGAGGACGGCTGATGTAAACGTAGATGATATGGGAGATCGTGTCAAGTGGAAGTTTAAGATAACGGTCCCCAACCCCAAGTAATTGGGATTAAGGCGAGGAAAAAAAGATGATTCAACTTTAAAAGTTGAAAATCGATTCTTAGATTTCCCTTAAATCACCGACCAATAAAAACTGATTTTAAGAGATTTTAGCCAAAAAATTAATTTTAAATGAAATAAACTTTTTTTAAACTAGTTAAGTTAAAAAAAATTTTCAGCTTATCTTTTAACTGTTAATTTATCGACATTAATCATACATAACTTAACTTGAGTTAATTATTTCCATTAACTTACTTATCTGTACAATAACCAATCCCATGTTTTGTGACAACTAACCCCATTACATAACTCCACATAAAAGTGGTCATACAATTATATTATTAAAACACACACCCGAGAACAATACAAAAAAACTTATTATAAAATACTACTTCTATGAAGTGATAACAATATAACCATAATAATAACAAATAAAAAGTTAAAATTAGTTGAATTTATGCAAAACATAGAAAAAATTTATTTTTTATAGTATAATCTTATTAATGCTATAACCCGTTTCCCAACAATACTAAAATAATTAGAACTCATATAATAATATATGTTATGATGATTGATACCTAATAGTTATAATTAGAAATAATTAATATTGTGGCAACTAGCCCAGGTCTCTTCTAGTTTTGTAATCTTACTTTCTGGACGACCCTCATATATAGGAATCATCACTGAGCATAAGTAACATAATAGGTGTCAAAAAAAAAAATAAAATATTCAAATTCATTTATTAGTTGTCCATATATTGAATTTATTATGTACTAAGTAACATAATTGTTGCTTAGTTTGTTAATTGAAATATTTTGTGACTTCTGCAATAAGACAACACAAGTTCTTGACTAACAATATGAACCACCTAAATTCTAATCCAATAAAAAAAAATTTCAGACATTCTCAAAAATACAGTTAGATGTTATGCAGCTGGCATGGTTTACAACGGTTATCCTTGTAAAAACTCTGACAAATGTATACCATTAGGCTGGTTATGTGATGATCAAAAAGACTGTGTGGAAGGTGAAGATGAATATAATTGTTACAAAGAGGATGAAGACGACAGTATTAGCAACACAAATAATTATAACAATATTGATAATTGGTATTATAGCCGCGGTACATGCAAAAAATATGAATTCCGTTGTCTTTCTAGAAAAATGTCAGTTTGTTTACCAAATTCATGGCTCTGTGATGGACGAGTAGATTGTGATGATGGGTAACACGTTCAATATTTTACATCCAATAACCACTAGCTATAAGCAACAATTATTTGTTATTCGAATATTTCACCCTTTTAAACATTTTTTAACAGAAAAATTATCTTATTATTTCAACTAAGTACTAATAATTATTTTTGTTATAATATTAAGATTTAAATTCCTTTTTAATATAAAGTCTCAAATTTTAGTTTTTTTCACAAGAAAAAAATCTATATCATAAAAGTGTTAAAATATCTGTCATTCAAATTTGAACACTAATAAATTTAATTACTGCGTATAATATTTAATTTTAGTTTAATATCGCCCCAAAATAATTTTACTACTTGAGACATTTATTTTATAGGAATAAATGTATAGATAAGATATAGATAAAGGGGCGTTTTGTGACATAGTGGATCATTCGGTGGTCGTCCTATCATTGATGTTCCGCTACACTGTTTGCCGTTAGTTCCCGAATGATCACCTATTGGGGAACAGTGACGCGCACCGTGTCACCTTATTGGATTTTTCAGCCATAATGATGTTACGTTAGGTTGACAGCAGGAATAAATATTCTGTAAAACCAATTAGGTAGTCAATCCAAAATAATTGGAGTAGAGGATAAGGAGATGATGATAACATAGTTCTATAAACTATAAGCGTCTTAAGTCGGGGCTTATGTTACATTATTATCATGAGTAATAGAATCATTTTGAGATTATTGAAATTCAAAACATATTAAGATTTTTCGGTACAAGAAAATTAATAAAGTGTCACCTATTGCATTAGTTCCAGTCATGTTTTAAATAATTAAANACATATTAAGATTTTTCGGTACAAGAAAATTAATAAAGTGTCACCTATTGCATTAGTTCCAGTAATGTTTTAAATAATTAAAAAATTAAAAAAAACTTATCTATGATAAATATTTTCTTAGTACCTAATTTTCAATTATACATAGAATTTATTTTTATATAAGGTGTCATTTAAGTAAAAATGTATGAATTTTAGGTGATTATTGATTGAACATTTTTAATTATGTTATAAATTGTACATTATCATTNTCGATTCTTAGATTTCCCTTAAATCACCGACCAATAAAAACTGATTTTAAGAGATTTTAGCCAAAAAATTAATTTTAAATGAAAATAAAGTGTCACCTATTGCATTAGTTCCAGTAATGTTTTAAATAATTAAAAAATTAAAAAAAACTTATCTATGATAAATATTTTCTTAGTACCTAATTTTCAATTATACATAGAATTTATTTTTATATAAGGTGTCATTTAAGTAAAAATGTAAGGATTTTTCGGTGATTATTGATTGAACATTTTTAATTATGTTATAAATTGTACATTATCATTTCTATGAATCATGAATAAATTATTAAACAAATAAATAAAGTTAAGTAACAACAAAGTAACTCACCTTATTGTATCCCAAAATTTAACATTTTATGGTTTAAGCCTACTTAAAAAAAAAAAATAAACGTTCATATAAAAAGAATAAATGTTTTTTTAAAGATTTCGTAATAATTATAAATGCTTTTTTTTTAGTTGGGACGAGGATGAATTTAATTGTGGACAAATTTACAATGTACAAAAACCAATATTAAGTGATATATATCACAGAGAAGACATCTTATGTAAAAATAAAAACTCTTTCAAATGTTGGCAAGGTACTGAATGTATAAATTTTCGATCAGTTTGCGATGGCACAAAACATTGTGCAGATGGTTCAGATGAACGTATATGTGATAATTGGAATTTACATTGTGATCAATTTACAGAATTCAGGGTAAGATATTTGTAAACAAATATGTTAGTTTGAATTAAAATTAAAAATATTAGCCACAAGTGATTAATTCTTATATAATTTTAAAATTATAATTAATTTTTCTTATTTAGTGCTTGAACAACTACAACACATATAACACACGAAACTGTATACCTCGGCAATGGGTATGTGATCTGCAGGACGACTGTCCACATGGAGAAGATGAATCAGTAACCAGTTGTTTAAGCATGGATCACCCAACATTTAATGGTCTAGAAACTGATATTGTAGATTTTTAAATAAAAAACAACTTTTAAAAAATAAATGTTTTAGAAGCAATTTACAGCGCTATTTTATACAGTATTAAAAGTAACCTTATCATCTGGTTTGCTTTCTAATGAAAATGGAGGTATTCTACAATCAAATAAATGTCCATCTTCACGCTCCATTCTAAATGTTCCCCTATTTGTAAAAACAATTAACATGATAATAACCATTAAGTGAACTACTTATTTTAAAAACAATGTAAGTCTCAAAACTTGAAAACAAGCTAATGTGTGTACAAGGCGTTGTTGATGGATAAATGTGTGAACTAAATGTATACAAAAAATAATATTAAGTCATGTGACTTGTTAAAAACTGAGTTTAAATTTTTAGTAATCAATTGCTTATTTATATATGAAAAATCATGTATAATAAAAGTTAAATACATATAGGATAGATATAAAGTAATAACACTGAGGTGTGTAAATCGAATCAAGACAATTCGGTATGAGGTATGCATAATGGACCAACAAGTTTGAGTGCATGGGCATTATGTCCACTAACAACTAAAACTAAAAATTTAATACATCCAGGATTCTTAAATAAAAAAAAAGATTACTTACTAGTATTTTAATTTTTAAATAATTTAAAGATTAATTTAAAACTTACACAAGTTTTATATCTTTATATATCAATGGTAGCTAAAAAAGTTTAGTATTTTGTTCAAGCAATTTTTTTTTAACTTACATTGTTTTTTTAAATTAGTGGCTAAATTAATTAAGAAAAATTTTAATTTGAATAAATCTAACCACATATGCCCACTAGGCGCTTGCAGGCTCACATGACTACTATATTGAAAAGCAGGAGACTTTTTAGACAATACAGGTTCTTGTCCTACGACACCTCTTCCTCGAACAGTTTCTAACGTACCAGATAAACTGAATATTCTCCAGTGACGTTCTCTTAATTGAACACTTTGATCTCCTAAATTTTCCAATCGAATACAATATCTCCACTAAATAAAAAATGTTTAAGTTGTTTGCATTTTTTCAAAATTTTATATTTACTTACCCAGTATACTGAGCTAGTTTGAGATTCTCTATAACCCATGTAAAATGGAATAACTGTCACTCTAATATTTTCAGTCGTTTCTTTATGAACATCTGATAATTCAAGCCACGGATGATTTTTTTTTTGCCATGAACGTAATGTTTCCTGTGCACCAAAAGGAGGTTCTAAAACAATTTAACTCATATAACTTAAAGTAAAATTGAGTAAAAATATGCTCAAAAAATCTTTCACTCAAGAAATTCATTTCAGTTTTTTTTACTATATTTTTTTAAATCATTCAATTTTANTTCATTTCAGTTTTTTTTACTATATTTTTTTAAATCATTATATTTTTTATCAAAAATTAAAAATCTAACCTCTATTAGGATAATACATTAGAAATTTATCAAAAAGTTCATGCTGTAAAGGCTGTTTCTCAGTAGCTGTGTAAGGTAAAATGTCTTCTTGGGACACATAATCTAAACCCGGTATTGCATACAAACTACGACTAGTATCTTGGTTACCAAGAAAAGTTACTGCTTCTGTTTGAGCTCTCTAAATTAAAATTAATGCGATTAATATGATTAATGATTTAAACAAAATAAAAAATATTTATCTTTGAAGTTTGTCAAATTTAATTANAATATTTATCTTTGAAGTTTGTCAAATTTCATTTAAAACTTCTTAAATTTTGTTTCATTTATAAATGAACTAAAATATGATTTATTATTTTATAGTTAGTATCACAAGATAAAATTTCAACAAAATTTAATAAAATAAATACATACAATAAATGGACAATCCCTTTCATCAATAAGAGTTTGATAAAATGTATGTGTTTTGCCTTTAACATCTTTTCCAACTGTACTACAAGACAAAAATTAATAGTTCACACATGTACACAAAGAATAAAAAAATAACAGTATTTTAATTTATATTTATAATTTTGGTTTGTTACTAATATTTTGTTAAAAATGTTATTAAAAAATTCTTTCAACTACCATATGCTAACACCACAAAATATTTTCCATACTTCTACTGGCATTTCATCTGGTCATATTGCTTTATTATTTTTCATTGATGCCACAGTCTCTGATACCTCATTTTTAAAAATTAAATTTACCAGTCCCTTATACCACAAGATATCCCCTAGTGTCTTTCTTGGATACTCCTCATTCAATAATTTTTCAAAATACTCTTACTACCTTTTTTTTCACAACATCATAGCTTGCTAGCACCCTCTTATCATCACTTTTTATACACCTTACATTTAAAAAATGTATTATTAGAGAAAAAAACATGACTTCTATTAAAAGTTAATTTATTATGTATTTTTTCAAATTTAATCAACTAATAGCATTATTTTGATCATTGTAATGTTGATGATTAATGTAATATTATCTATACTTGTATTCTAATAACAATTTCTAAAAATATTTATAAAGTGGTTACTACTATTTTATTTTTAGAAATTTGCTTATGAAATATAAATTATTATGTTAAATTGTAGCAAATAGTGAATTATTTTCATAACAAAAATTTTATTTATGCTATTAAAAACACTATTTCTAACAAAAGAAGTTTTTCCTGATACAATTACAAAAAAAGTAATAGACTACTTCTAAAAACTGGTTATAATATATGCAATTTTATATCTATACATAAGTGAATTAAATAGACCAGATATCCATATTCCAATTTATTTAATGACCTGTTTTTTATTCTTACTTAGATTATAATTGATATACATACCTCTCAGATTTATTCACTATATCACGATCATATACTCTAGCTAACCACGGAAATAATATAACTCCACGATATCCAAAAATTCTATGGAAAAATAACTGACCAGTCTCATATTTTTCTACTGTTTTAGGCACATTTAATTGACCCACTTCCAGCAGTCTATAGCACAATCATTTTTTATTAATATATCTATAAAGTATTTAAATCTTAAGAAAGGGTCAGTGGTGGAGTAACATAGATGATTTATGGCATGTCTTCAAAGTAGGTTTTTTGCCTACTCCACACACCTAATTACATTAAATGGAAATAAATTGTTTTGTGATTTTTGAGCAAGAGTAAAAAATAAAATAAATTGTTTTTAAATATCACAAAATATTTAAATATTATTTCTATCTTATCATATGGGTTTTATATCTTAAAAATTATACTATTAAAATTGTTTATATATAACTTTCAGGACTATTATAAAATCAAAAAATATTATTTAAATAATAAAAGCTAACCCAAAAAACTCTTTAAGTCTCTTAGTTTCATTAGTCTAATAGTTAGTGAGTTTAATTATTTGTCTTTTAGTTTTATTTTGTAAAGACTATTAGGATACATTTTTTGATGAAACAAATTCAATACTTTAAAGCATTTTTTACTTTTGCTATACTCTTAAATAACTCTTTAATTTTTTTAACTCATTGTTTTAATTTAATATCGTTTAGAAAAAGTAGTTCATAAAGTAAACATTACCTGACATAAAAACGCTTGAATATATGAAATGATGAAATAGGAGGTAATCGTTTCAACATTTTAGATTTTATACATAGATGATTTATAGAAAATGATGAGATAATTCAACTCAGTTTAAGGAAAATTTAATTCTTAACAAAATAGTAATTAATCGAATGTAATAGCATTTTAAATTAATAATTGATTAATCACTATGATAACTATATGTTATCATTAATAATCTTAATAGAATATTGAATACGATAGCACGTATAATTTGTTTTGAGAATACGGTGCAAGTTTTGAAATATTTTGAAATCGAGTTCACAATTATAATAAAAATAGTTATTTTTATATTTCTGAAAAATAATTTTTCAAAATTTATTTGTGAGTACGATTATTGAAAATAAATTACTCCTTAGGATGGAAAATGACATACAATTCGAACCTACGTGTGTATACGCTCTTAGGAGGGGGTCTTAACCTTTTTAATATTTAATAAAAACTACAGAATGATCAGTTTATCATTTACAATTTGATTACTCTCAATATAAACATAATTTTAGAGAAAAAAAAATTTGATTTCTTTTAGTTATATATATATATCTCTTAATTTATCAGCTATTATTTACTTTTTAGAATCATTCCTTAAAATTTAAAAGGGCGTCAATTGAATTTTTTTAAATGAAAGCATACATATTAAACTAGTTATTTACTAGTAGTTAATAATAAAGGAAATAACCAATCCAGAATATTACTGTTCGATAACAACTTTCGGACCACTATTTGAGAAGTTATTAACAATTTAAGTAATGACTAGTGGTGAGGAATGGGTTCTACTATTTTTATCATTAGTTATTTGTCACTCGTACTTCGCAAACGTATAAAAATGAAAGCAACATTCATAGTACTGATCCAAAAATTGTTATTAAATAGTTTTCTCAATTAGATAATTTTCTATTTTGTAAGTTAATATGTATGCTACTATTAAAAAAATGAAGTTAACACAATTGTAAGTTATAAAGAATGATCTCAAAAAGTAATTATTAGCTGACAAATCAATAATAATAAAAACTTATTTTTCCAGAAAAAAACAATTTTTTTCAAAATTGTATTTTTTTTGCTAGTAATCGAGTGATGTTAGACCGATCACTCTGTACAGTTAAATTTTAGCTTTGATGAAAGTTGGAAAGTATTAATTGTATTATGATGATTCTTTTTTGACTGTTACCACTTTTTCTCAGCTCTCACTGGACAGATTTCTTTCATCTATAAGTCAAAAGACCACAAATAGTATCTTGTCGAAGACATTACACTCAAAAATTCACCTTGTTCGAAATCCCCAAAATTATTACAATTTTAAAAATCGGTAATTTTTGACAACTTTTTTTTCTTAAAACTGCTATTACTTGTTTAAAAATAAACAAATCAACATAATTTTTTATATAAATAACTTACGTATTTCCCTTTCATTCAAATAAATTTTTTGAAAACCTTACTACAGGAGGGTTTTAAAGTGGCAAGTTTTGCACAAAAAATTAACTTTTTCAATATAACTTTTGAAAATGTTCCAAAAGTACTTACACATTTATATATATTTTAAATTAGTTTAATTATTTCGTTATTCGGTAATATTTATTTTGACTTTAAAGTTTTTTTTTTAAATACCTGACAAGCAGAATATCTTTTATTTTTTTATTTATAATTTCAAAAATTCCATCACTGTAGTCTCTGCTCGTGAAAACAAATATCTTATTCACATTAAAATAATTTCACTACGTTATTATCATTGTCCGTCATTCATTTTTCTCAGATCTAACTTGACCATTTTTTTTTAAATATAAAAAAAAATAAATTATTAACTTTTTAGAAAAAATATACTAACTTATTAAGTAATTATTAAGTCAAGTTCAAATCATTAAAAATTATAAAATACGTTAAGATATATTTAACCAATAAAAAAAAATTAATTTACTGTAAATATTTTTAGATTATTCATGGAGCTGGCCTTATGGAATATTGATTTCAAATTTAATATTCTAAAAAGTTTACAAAATATCAAAGTTATAGTTAAATATTCCAAAATATTTTATCTGTCACTGTCTTCTGTTTAAAATAATTTATAAATTTTAATAGCCAACAGTTTTGACTAGTACTGCAATACGACATTTTATGCCAGACGTATTAAGGACTTTTAGCATAGTATTAAAATATAGATTTTCTTAATTAAATATAAGAAATTTTAGTGAGAAAAAAATTGATTTTATGATTATATTTTCATATAATAACTGTGTAGAAATAATTTCTGCTATAAAAATACATTAATCAACAAAATATTACAAATTAATTTTTAAAAACAACAATTAAAATGTCTTAAAAATAGTCTCAAATTAATTAATAACCTATATTTACTTTATTAACTAAAAATTATATTTTAAGGAACTATAAAAAGGCAATATATTTTGGTTAAAATGTACATAATTTCAACTCAAATTAAGTCTTCTTTTATATCATGCCGTTTAATTTGAAGCACAGACATTGTTTCAAAAATACAACAACAGCCACATGCCATAGCACAAGAAGATTCTGAACTAAACCATTCAATTAAATGGCTAGCATGACCACCATGACCACATACTAAACAAACATGAGCTGCCCCTCTTACAGTTGAGTTGCAAATAGAACATTTTAAATTAAAACGCTGACATCGAGAACAATAACCATCTTTAACACTATTCTTACACTTTATACATTCTACAACAAATTTAAAAAAAACTGTATTACCTTTTTGGGTTTGATGTTTCAAAAATTTTTTTACACTAGCTTGTTGATCTAATAATCCTAAATTATCCAGTACGTCCATATAAGTTTTTTTATACTCATCATAATAAATATCTTTATTTGAACCTAAGTCATTAAAAACAAGACCATGGTCACAAACTTCATAACATTCAGTAGATTCTTCTTGTCCTCTTGAAAAACTAAAACCATCTGTTAAACTATTAGAACGAGTATAATTAGGTGTTGGGGCTGTTTCCTGTTCAATATTTTTAAATGCAGCATTTGGATCAAATACACAACATAATAATGCTGCTGTTTGATAATCTGAATGACTAGCATAATGTGAAATAAGAGAGTCAATCAGATTCATTGTGAATGGATGATTTTTCCAATGATTTATTTGATCAAAATTAGAAGTACATTTTTTTTTTAAATTCAAATTTGTATTACATGCATATGCTGCCAAAGTCCAAGTTTGAACTAAATCTTTTCTTTTAAAAATATTTGTAATTGAAGCATTTTTCAAACAGGTATTAAATACATCTACAGTATTGAGCTCATATTTAGATGCTAAATCTTTACTAATTGGAAATAAACATGATACATCATAAATAGCAACCAAGGGTTTATCAAATTTACGATCCTTTCTATTATTTTTTAAAGGTTTATTATTATCATCTATAGATGCATTTTGTCCACTATACCAATATGATTGAATTGTTTGTTGTGGTGAATGATACTGTATAGTGTTATTCAGGGTATCAAATTTTTGTATTGTTGGAAAATAATCTGATTTAGTACTCGGGCTGTTAAACCATAATAATGCACCATTATTACAAAATTTTAAACCCATAGTTTTACTTTGTAATATATTATAAGATTCTTGATAATTTGCATACATACTAGTTCGATCAAAATGTGATGGTGATTGTGAATATATTGAGTATGTTTTTTTATCATCATCTGCATTTTGATTTTCTGAAAATGATGAAATCTTTGATTTTTTTAATATATTAACTAATTCACGGAAACAATATTGTATACAAGTCATATTTTTTGTTACTTGTTTCAATGCAGAATCATACAAAATTTTTAAAATTTTATTTTTCATATTTGCATCATATGTACATTTAGAAATTTGAAAATTAGGTTGTACATTTACCGGATAACCTAATGGAAATGATACTATTATAGATACAATATTTGTATTTATTTTTAACAAAGCTACTAATAAACGCCTATCAACATCTTTTTGCTCAATTATTATTTCAGGAGTAGTACTTAACGAAAGAAATTCCTGATGTAGATTTGAACCACTTTTTAGTTCAAAATCTTCACTGTCAAAAGAATCATTACGAGAAGAAATACTATAAGTACTCCCTTGAATTCCTTGATCAACAACATCTACTCCATTAAAAGAGTTATTTGCAACTATGTTTGATTCTGAGAAATGTATATTTCGATAGTTATCTAAATCGTTTATATTTGATCTATCATTACTTTCGATAGGTACATCATGAAGAAATGGCATAACATGCCACAATCTCATTGTTTGATCTTTAGACCAAGTAATCAATTCATATTCGGCGGTTTTGTCATCATGATTCTTTAACCACTGAAATTCCAGTATAGTATCAGAATGACCAACAAATGTATGAACTGGGACATTAATTGCACTTAAATTCCATAATAATAAATTGTTATCTACTCGCTTAATAGGAGGCACTAAAACAATAAGTATCCCATCTCCAAAAGGGGTATATTTTGCTCTCCAAACTGGAGTTACAGTGTTTAAAACATTTTCTGTCTTTCTAAGATTGTTAATATCAAAAAATTTTACAGTGCAATCTTGACTACAGGTAACTAATTGATTTTCATTTGTATAACTCCAATCTAAGCAATGTATACTATTTAAATGTGCAGAAATATATTGAATAGGATTTGAAGCTTTTCTTTGATCCCATATTTTAATATCACCATTATGGGTAGTAGCTAACAAATGTTTGGATAAATGATTCCAACGAACTTTTGAAGCTCCAACTACAGTGGAAAGAGATATTGATGGTCTAGCACATGTTCGTATATCCCAAATATGTACAAACGAGTCCATAGAAGCTGATATTATTGTATTAGGATCAAAAGGATGCCAATTTATGTCTAAAACTGTTCTTGTATGACAATTCAATTTTGAAGATGATACTAAGTCATTATCATTTTTCCATACAAGTAACTGTAATTGAGTATTAAAGGCCAAAGCACAAATATGCTTATTAAAATAATTTGGATTCCATTCTATAGCATGAATATCATATTTACATGATTTAGGAAATTTATGTAGCATACTAGTAGGTTTGTTTATTTCTTTGATACCATATTGCTTCCGACCCGCTAATAAAACAATAGAACCTGAATAATCCACAGCCACTGTTCTAGCTTGGATATCCCTTATTTCTATAATTTTATACTCACTACTCCACCTTGTCGCCATTGTGGTACTCTACAAAATATAAGATAATTTCAATATTTTCAAAATATTTTAGGTATAACCATTAGCATAAATCATTGGGGTTATGAGAATAGTCTCCCATAATTACAATCATAGCTTTACAAGTAAATTATTTTTCATTTTTTGTGAAAATAGGAGGAAAGAAAATAATATAATAAAAAATTCTATACCAAGTCTATTTTTAAACTTATGAAATATTATAGTATGGGACTTAACCTCTAAAGGTAAAATTTTCAAACTATATTTATGGATATAACAATATATAATTAATTTCCTTACCAATTTATATTTCCTATTAATTTACAGTTTAATTGTACATTTTTTACAACACAGTCACAATACAAATACAACAGATTTTCAATTTTAAACCTAAAAAAATCAATTAGTAAAAATAATTAATAATAGTTAATAAATAAAAGATGCTCCATTATTATAAAGAAGATGTCATTATAAGTACCAACTTTTTCTTCATTGAGTAAATTGTATAAAATGATTGGAAATTAAATTTTAAACACTTAGCTAATTATAAAACAAATTTTATTCAGACATCATGTAATCTAAATAGCAAATAATTTACTATGAAAAATGTAAAAAAAAAACAGTAAATATACTATTTTATTAATTTTTATATCTAATAATATCCTAAATTAAAATTTATAAAAAACGTACAATAGGATTTATATCATAAATATTAGAGTTTAGTACTCAGCTTAAACCCTGATCATTCAAATTTGATACTTTTGTTAATATTTTTTTAGGATTCAAGGCATTAGAAGAACGTAAACCGTTGAAAATTCAAAAACTTTACGTAACTGATTGCAGTAGCACTTTAAAAAGTGCTAATTTAAAATCTAACAAATAAGTTATTTTTTTATGGACTAAATGTGATATGATCAACACATTTTGTAAATAACAGCAGTAATCATATATTCCATTTATCAATTATCCCTAGCAGATCTCAAATTTCTATGCACTACTGACCTCTAGCGGATTAATCAATCATACATTTTTTAAAAATATTAATTAAACCAGGAATGAAAAATCGTATATAATAGAATAAGGAAAAAAACACTTTTCTAGAAAAAATATCTAAACGTGCTATGATTTTCAACATCTTTTTTTAAGTAAAGTACTCGATACGAGGCTTGCTGACACGATTTAGGAGTTAGAAGTTATACATTTTCACCGAACCAGCCCTAATACATTTCTGAGATATTATAAAAAGATTTTTTCAATCCGTTCATTTTTTGCTGATCTGTGAGCTTTTTTTTTTGATCACGCGCAAAATTTTAATAAGGATATGATTATGTGTGTGCGCATTCCTATTTATTTTTTACATTTTATTAATCAATATTAACATAACTATTATAATTAGATTATTATTTAAACGTATTTAAGGGTAGTGGTAGAGGCAATNCCTAATACATTTCTGAGATATTATAAAAAGATTTTTTCAATCCGTTCATTTTTTGCTGATCTGTGAGCTTTTTTTTTGATCACGCGCAAAATTTTAATTAGGATACGATTATGTGTGTGCGCATTCCTATTTATTTTTTACATTTTATTAATCAATATAAACATAACTATTATAATTAGATTATTATTTAAACTATTTAAGGGTAGTGGTAGAGGCAATCCCCCCCCCTGGAACAGCGCTATCAATATTTTTTAGAGTCGATATCTAAGAAATATGACTGGTTAGGTATTAGCAAAAAATTTTCTATAGCATGTTTACAAAAGTCAAAAAAGTTAAATCTGACAATGATTAAATATTTCTCGATTTATAAAAGATTGAGTTTTTTTTTAATTCATCCCTTATATATTCAAACTATATTTTTTAAATAGTAACATACATATTTAACTAACTAATAACATAAAAAATGATTTATTAAGAAAATCACTAGTTAAAAACATTTTTTCAAATAGTATTTTGGACATTAATGTTGAATTTTTATGGTGCCCGAATCATGTCGGAATTTCTGGCAATGAAATAGCAGACCATCTAGCCAAACTCACTAACTTCTTCAATCGACCACCTATCCTAAAAATTACCTCTTTCGATCTCCTTTCCTCTTTTCATCTAACTATTAATAAAGCATTGCAAGATAAATGGTCAAATTTCTCTTTAGCTAAATGGCATAAATCTATAGTTCCAATTATTCCTAAACATCCTTGGTCTTACAACCTCCCTCTATCTCGTTTCCATATTACCTCATTTTCCCGTCTTAGATTTGGTTATAATCAGCTACCTTTTCATGCCTTTAACATGTTACTAAACCATTCCCCCTTCTGTCCCAAACACAATGATGAAATCCACTGTAATTTTCCTCATTTACTATTTGATTGCCCAGCTTTACAACATAACCGTTTACTCTTGTTCAATTTTCTGTCCTCCCTTAATATTTCACCCATTAATAGTTTTAACATCCTTAATACAAAATTCTCCTCAATATTTATACAAATAATTTCCTTCGTTCATTCAGCTGCCTTCGTTATATAATATTTTTCTGCATGTTAATTTAATATCCTAGGTCTATTTTGTTTTGTTCTTTTTTTTTTTAGTATTTTGAGTACGTTTAATTTATTAATTTAACGATATGTTTAATTGTGTTTAATAACAATATTTTTTTTTTTTGTATAGTCTTAGTTTCTATTTTATAGTTTTATTTTAATTGTTTAGCTATAATAATACTTCTATATTGAAAGCTAATAAAAAAAAAAAAATAGTATTTCAGAAGTTAACATTTATAACTCTAAAGTAAAGGATAGCGCAGCAAAGTAAAATGTAATTGAAACAATAACATACCTTACACTTCACATTTACTCTATATTTTAAAATAATTATAACCTTCGAAATAATGTATCAAAAGTTGTCATTTTTTTTGTTTTATAAGCTTTTTAAATTTGTATGTTGTCATTAAAATAATTAAGTTGACACCCTTATAAGGTATAATGATTGAATTAAAAATATTATTATAATTTTTAATTCTTAACTATTATTTTAAGAGAAATCGAGCGATTATTAAAGGCTATTAAAAAATATTATCTCTATTTCGCTACCTCAATTGATCATTAATAATTAGTAACTAGAACATGTTTTTTGGTAAGGGAAGCTCCTTTTAATATACATATTGGATTAACATTCAAAGTTGAAAAAATTCTCAAAAATATTTATAACTAATTTATTTAATATAATTTATATATATATATATATATATTTTTTTTTTTGTTCTTATGAAATGGGGGTTAATGGGGTAATAACTCACTCCCTTCTTCGTGTTCATACCATTTGACTTAAAAATAAGTGATTAAGTCTGGATTTGTGTTCTTTTGACGTATCGTTGAAAGGAATCGGTCCGATGAGAGCTGAGAAAAAGTAGCGACAAATATAAAAAAAAACACATGGTAAAATTAATACCATCTCAGCTTCGCGTCTAAGCTAAAGCTATAAATTAGTTTTATATTTTTGTTTACTCTATGTTATTATTAATAAAATTATATATAGATAATACTTATTTTCAGTGGCTGTTCGTGGGTGCTGGTGGTGGGGGTGCGACTTTAAATATAATACCTCTAGTTATAAGTATAAAAATTTGTCAAATTAAATATAATAAATAAAAGACAATACACATATTATTATTCAAGGTCGCAGTAGAAAATATAAATGAAAATAATAATAATAGCGAATATATTATTATAGCAATCGATAACGAAGAGAGTAAACGTATTAATTCTAAAAGTATATTACCAATACAGTAATATACTAATATTTTACTGTATGGACGACGCTGCCAGTCGTACAAAATTCTTACATAACATCGCAGCTGAACGTAATTGCACGCACACAATTTTAGTGCCTCGTTTATAATGTGAGTTTCGAAATATTGTTGGGTCGACTCTGTTGGTCGTCCAAACTCGTGTGTGCACGCGTATCAGCATATACCGAGGGAAACAACTCTAATATTCGCACACGACACATGTATTATAACTACTTTACTATTTAAAAATTTTCATTTTTAATAAAAATTTAGAATTAAAAATATACAATTAATTTTCTTCTTTTAATTAATTTTAGTAGGGTTGTGATCGTCCCGTCATTCAAGCCACGAGCCGCCGCTGCTCATTTTTATTTACATTTACATATTAATAATATGATATTATTAACTAATAAATAAAATTTATATATAATATCTATTATTTAAATAAATTATTTACTTGTTTATGAAAATAATTATGAATAATTAAAAATATATAATAAATATTTTCTATATTTATTTCAATTAAAATATAAATAATTTCTATAGTATATTTGTTATTTATATTAATTACATACTATTACATTACGATTTTTCTGTATGCCAATAACACATGTACGCGTCCTATTATATTTTATTATATAATAGAATATGTAGAACATTATTTTCGAAAACTAAAGTATTGTTGTTTTAAGTGTAATTATAAATTTATGCGTTTGTGAATTTTTTTTTTAGAATTTAAGTAATTAAATTATTTATTTAATTTTGACGAATTATTTAATGTTCATATTAAGAAAATAAATTAAAAAACTCAGCACAGTGGGGTAGCGGCACAGTGGGGNTAATACAATATGTAGAACATTATTTTCAAAAACTAAAGTATTGTTGTTTTAAGTGTAATTATAAATTTATGCGTTTGTCAATTTTTTTTTTAGAATTTAAGTAATTAAATTATTTATTTAATTTTGACAAATTATTTAATGTTCATATTAAGAAAAAAAATTAACAAATTAAAAAACCCAGCACAGTGGGGTGGCGGCACAGTGGGGTCGTGGCATAATTGAGTCCAGAATAGATGATATCTGACAGTGATTAAAATCACTATCATAAAAAACGCTTCGATGCAAATCTGTGGATAGCGTTTAATTAAAAAAAAAAAAATTTGTTAAAAAAGTAGGTCAAATGAGAGCTGAGAAAATAAATGATAGCTACAAAAAAAAAACCACATAGTAAAATAATATTAATATGAATTTTTTCTCACGAGAGGAGACTACAGTAATGGAATCCTTGATATTTATTGAAGTTATTGAATCTAAATGAGATAAAAATCAAATGAGTTAAACATTTTTTTCTAACTCAAAAAGAATTAAAAAAAAAGTTCAGTACCACGTCGTGAAAGACCCAAGTGTTATCGTTCTCAAAAACCGTACGTCTCATTCGTCACTAAATAAAAATGGAAATTTAGCTAGTTCAAATTTTAAAGTTATTTTTCTTGACTTCAAAGAAACAAAAAAATTTAAATATGTTTAATTTTTTAATTTAGATTGATATAATATTTATGAAAATCAGTGTAATCCCCTTATAATAAAATAAAATACAAAACCCAGAATTTTAACACAATAATAGCATATTTTTAAATACAGTAGCAATTTTCACCATGAAGACAAAATAAAGTCCGAATTTTTTTTTTTTTTTTATATTAAATTTTATTACATAAGCTTTAATTTAAGATATATATAAAAGTGTCAGTATTTCCGGAACACTTTCAAAAATTAAGTTGAATAAGTTAATTTTTTGTGAAAAAGTTGTCATTTCGAATCCCTCCCTGTGGGCCGGTAAAGTGTTAAATTTATAAAAAATATATATCAAATGATAGGTAAAGACATCAATCATCTATACAAAAAAAATTATATTGATATGTTCATTTATGAAAAAGTTATGGCTGTTTTTAGCAAAAAGAGTTGAAAAAATTTCGAAAATTAGTGATTTTTAAATTTGTAATTTTTTTGGAGATTTCACCCATTTACGAGGAACGAGGGAGATTTTTTCAATTTTTGAAGGTAATGTCTTCGACTAGATACGATTTGTGATCTTTTGACGTATCGTTGAAAGAAATCGGTTTGGTGAAAGCTGAGAAAAAGTGGTAACAGACACAAAAAGAAAAATAATAAAAAATAAAAAAAAAACACATCATAGTAAAATTAATACCTTCTCATCTTCGCATCTAAAATATATATTATGTATTAGTAATAAATGATTGGTTTTAAAATATTATAAGAATGACTAATTTTATTAGAACTGTATATTATTAACTTTAATTTTATTCTATTACTTTAGGAGAGTATTGTTAAAATAATAGCAAGTCCCTTATAAGATTATTTTGGTATTTTATAAAGTAAAATAGTTTATNATTGTTAAAATAATAGCAAGTCCCTTATAAGATTATTTTGGTATTTATAAAGTAAAATAGTTTAAAATGCAAGTATAGATTTTTATAAAATTAAAAATTGCATTAAAATTTTAATTACTAGTGAGTTGTATTGCACTTGATGGTGTTAACCATTTAACAACAAAACAATTTTATGTAATTAATAAGACCTTTTATTAGCAAGTAAAAGTGGTGTTAACGCAATGTTATAGAATGAAAAACAAGTCTATATACTCATTAATATAGCTCATATATAATTAAAAAGGTATTTTTTCTCAAAATATAATAAAAGTTACGAAAAATAAAAAGGTAAAACCTTATATAAGTATCCATGGTTAAGCTTATTATAAATAAATTTACTATGCTTTGTAATTATTACAATTATTACTTAAAAATTATATCTATCATTGATATCATATCACATTATCAATTCAAAAAACGCGCGTTTTAAAGTACATCCGGAAGTAGTCATGTTTGGCTGATCGTCTTCAATGTTTAAAGACAGGGCGTTGTAGAGATTTTTTTACAAGGATTTTTGTTATACATTTTCAATTTTCGAAGTTAAGAAAAAATTAATTTAGGAGATTATTACCATAATAATTAGAATAATAAAAAAACAATTATTATATATTATACATTCGTATAATACATGCCCACCTCAATAATAACTAAAACTAAAATTATACATTTTTGCTGTTCCTTTTTTTTCATGGTATAATAATTATAATATATATACATTTTATAATTATAATGATGAAATTAATATTATTGGTACTTCTTTCCCTTGAACTCTAACAGTCAACCCAATGAACACTGTATGGTTACCGTCTTATCAGTTTGTGGTTGGGCGCTGAGTCTCGGGAGCTAACTTCACAGACGTGTTGTAGAGGCGCGTACTACGATGAAAATGCAGACTATGATCGAGTGTACTTCTTATTCGTTTTGACATGGATTAAGTTATTTTTACGTAGTTGAATGTAATTATTAAAAAAAAATTAATTTGTGATATATAATTTTTTACACAAGTTTAACGGATATTTACAATAATCCTAGTCTTAAATATTCACTTTTAATAATTCGAAAATGCACCTATACAATCATAATTGTGCGGCTGGAGGGAACATGACAAGACATATTTTAGTCTGCTATCAGCTTGTATGTTATTATTTGAACAATTTCTGTTCCCTTTCTGCAAATCCTACAACTAATCACAATTTTTTTATATAATGTGGAATCGTTATAAAATCAAAGAGATTTCGTCATGTTTTATAGGTTTGTAAATAAAAAAAATTAAGATTTATTTAGAAAGTCAAGAATCAAAATAAACTAATTGAACAATTAATAGTTTCATTGCCGGTATTCATGGCTTCGATAGCATTAGGATGGACATCGCCAATTATTGAATATGTATCCAAAGGAAATTTACCAATTCATATGTCATTATCAGAAGAGTCATGGATGGTTACCTTTCTGGATATTGGAAATTTAATAATGGCAGTACCTGCAGGTATATTAACTGATAAATTGGGAAGAAAAATGTCTGCATTTATTACTGCACCAATTATGTTAATTGGTTGGTTATTAATTTTCATTTCCAATGAGGTAACATTTATATCTGAATATAATTTTATAAAGAAAAAATGTAATTAATTTACAGCACTCCAATAATCTTACACAGCATTTATATCAGTTTCTATTATTTTTATATATTTTTGTTTTTTTAATTAGTATTCACCCTTTTTGTTTCTTTTATTGGTAAAAAATTAATGTGAATCTTGTAAAAAAAATTTAGGGGCTACAGTATTAATTAGATTTTTTAGATACCTTAAAAAAAAAATTTTACTGTGTTTACCTCAAAAATTAATAATAGTAAAATGTATAAATGTATAGAAGTAATAAAAATCATAAATAATCTAAATTGGTTATAAATTTATATATGGCTACGTCTTCTGTCTTTTCATTTTATGTGAGCTGAATTCCCTCCCAATTTATACCAGTGTAAAACATGTTCTATAAATCTATTATTTTAAGTTACTTGTAATTAACTAGTAATAACTTTTTTTTTACTTATTTTTCAGGTATTTTACTTGTACATTGCACGATTTCTTCAAGGATGTGCTATGGCAATAGCATTAATAGTTACACCCATTTACATTGGCGAAATAGCTAGTATTACACTTAGAGGATCAATGGCATTAATTTTTGAAATTTCATATGCAAGTGGTTTATTAACAGTGTATACATTTGGTTGGTTATGCAGCTATAACTTGTTGATTATATTATGTGCCATTATACCAATAGCCTCAGGAATATTTTTATATTTTATTCCGGAATCTCCATATTACCTAATGTTAAAGGGAAAAGAAGAAGAAGCTGTCGAATCATTAAAAAAATTGAGAAAATATAGTGACAATGAGTTAATTGATGAACTCAAACTCATAAAAGAATCTTCATTTGAAATAGTGTAAGTTATCCAATTAAAAAGTTTAACAGTTATGCTAATATATATTATTTATAAATATTTATTCACTGTATTGCAGATCTACAGGAAATTTTAATGACTTGTTAAATAGAGATCGATGGCCATTTATAATTGTTAGTGCATTAGCTATACTACAAATGGGTTGTGGAGCCAGTGTCATGGAAGCATATGCATCTTCTGTTTTAACTAAAACTAATATTTCAGCAAATGCTTGTTCTGTAATATTTGGTCTAGTCATATTGTTAGCTTGTATTCCTTCTTCATTAACTATAGATAGATATGGTCGTCGACCACTATATTTAATCTCTTATGGGGGTACTACCTTATGTCTTGTTGCTACTGCTATCCTCTTGTCTCCTGGTATTCAATCGGGTATACCACTATTATTGACTATATGTGGTTCTGAATTCTTTATCAATCTAGGTATCATGCCTTTATTACCAGTTGTACAGTGCGAGTACTTTCCTACAGATACTCGAGGTTTGGCTAACTCCATAATTATTTTGATTCTCGTTTTTACCTCTATTGTAATGCTCAAAAGCTATCAGCCAATAACAGACATGTATGGGAAACGACTCAATTTTATAATATATGCTATTATCTCTTTTTTTGGTTATATTCTCTGTTATTTTTGGTTACCAGAAACAAAAGGAAAATCATTTATCGAAATACAATCACATTTTGAAAATTATTCTTTCTTAAGTAATAAAAAACATAAATATTATGAAAAAATTTAAAAATTATACTTAATTAAATGAATTATTATTTAAGTAAACTAATAATACTAATAATTATAATATGTAAAATCAAGAAGCTTCAAAAAAAATTGATATTAATTAAAATTGAAATCTCCTGTTTAACAATTAAAAAGAACTATAACTTCAACATGCTTGGATTTTATATTACCAAATCTTGAAATATTTCTTTGTATATAGAAACAACATTGTTCATATAACCCTCAGAAATAATACCTCTCAAATTATTCCTATTTAATTACATCTGTTGAAAAAAATTTTTGGGAGATTTTCATCACGTGAAATTAGGCAACCTTTTTTCAATCTTTTCACTGGTATTCATAATATTACATCAATCAACACAAAATATATAAAAATCACCTTTGATTTGATTGTTAATGTTAATGTTTTTCTGACTTCACCAATTAACTCACTGCTTCTACACCTAATACACTATTTTATAATTTTGGTATTGTTAACTTGCATATTAAAATCTCTGAAGATTTTGGGGCAACTAACAATGTTTCCTTTACAGAATTAAGCATTTAGGAGCTACAAATAATGTGTTTTCCTTTTCTGATATATGTAAAAGTCTGTTATTTGTATAAATAATAATAAACTTAATGCTTATTTAACAAATTTCAATAACAGTTACCAGTGATTGATATAATACACTCTAATTTTAGTTTAACGAGTGATTTTAATATATAATTTTATTAGTCATAGTTTATGTATATTAGTAATTTATTCACTTTACGCATCAAAAGTCATTTCTATTTCTCAAATATTCGCCTTTTAGAAATTGAATTATTACAATTAAAATTGTGAGCAAATTTTGTTTTTCGCAACATCGTTTTCTATCAATGTCAATATGAATACGGCATCAGCTATTTTAAGCAGAGACTTAAACGCTGACTCATAGAGATCTTAATACACGAGTTCAGTCAGTATTAATTCCTCTACGTTGTGAATATTAAAATAAAATGCAAATTTTATTATTTCAGTATTTAAACCTAATAACGATTACTTGTTGTAACAATTGTATTTTAATGTTCAAAAATTTATACACAAAGCTATTTTTTATTATTGTAAGTTGATCGTTAACTAAGTAATTTTTTCATATATCTATTATCAAAAACAGAACCTAAATCGTTATTTATATACCTATAAAAATGAATTACTAATGTGTAAATATTAGTAGATTACATGGTTATTTTTAACATTTAATTTAATAAAAAATAATAATATTTGTTTTATCTAAAGAGTACTACAATTAAAATTATACACTTTTAATAATTAATAGAAATTTACCAAAATTATGGTATTTTCCTTACTGAACACCTGTATATTATTATTTTCGACCAGTTCGATAAATTACGTTATGGTGTATTTATATTAATTATTTTATTCGATAATTATGGCTTATTAGGTTCGATGCGAAGCTGAGAAGGTATTAATTTTACTCTGATGTGTTTTTATTTTTATATCTGTTACCACTTTTTCTCAGCTCTCATCGGACTGATTTCTTTTAATACGTCAAAAAATCACAAAACATATCAAATCAAAGACATTGGCCTTCAACATTAAAAAAATTTGCCTCGTTCCTCATAAATGGGNTACCACTTTTTCTCAGCTCTCATCGGACTGATTTCTTTTAATACGTCAAAAAATCACAAAACATATCAAATCAAAGACATTGGCCTTCAACATTAAAAAAATTTGCCTCGTTCCTCATAAATGGGGGAAACCTCCAAAAAAATTACAAATTTAAAAATCGCTAATTTTCGAATTTTTTTACTTAAAATTGCCATAACTTTTTCAAAAATGAACAAATCAATATAATTTTTTTTTATAGATGCATGATGGCAGATTTTATAAATTTAACCCTTTACCAGCCCACAGGGGGGGATTCAAAATGACAAAAATTCACAAAAAATAAACTTTTGAAAGTGTTCCAGAAATACTGACACTTTTATATATATCTTAAATTAAAGCAAATGTAATATACTTTATTATGGAAAAAAAAAATTTCGGACTTTATTTTGTTTTCATGGTGAAAATAGCTACCGTATTCAAAAATATGTTATTTTTGTGTTAAAATTCTTGGTTTTGTATTTTATTTTATTATAAGGGGATTACACTGATTTTCATAAATATTATATCAATCTAAATGACATAGTTTAAAAAATTAAACATATTTAAATTTTTTTGTTTCTTTGAAGTCAAAAAAAATAACTTTAAAATTTTAACTAGCTAAATTACCATTTTTATTAAGTGACGAATGCGAGATACGATTTCTGAGACGGTAACACTGTGGCACTGAATTTTTTCTTAATTCTTTTTGAGTTAGAAAGAAATGTTTAACTCATTTGATTTTTATTTCATTTAGATTCAATAACTTCAATAAATATCATGGATACCATTACTGTAGTCTCCTCTCGTGAGAAGAAATTCATATTAATATTATTTTACTATGTGGTTTTTTTTAGTAGCTATCATTTATTTTCTCAGCTCTCACTTGACCTACTTTTTTAACAAATTTTTTTTTTTTAATTAAACGCTATCCACTGATTTGCATTGAAGCGTTTTTTATGATAGTGATTTTAATCACTGTCAGATATCATCTATACTGGACCCAACTATGCCACGACCCCACTGTGCTGGGTTTTTTTAATTTTATAATTATTTATATTCGTTACTTGGGTGATATAAAATACACGAGGTTTAAGAAAATTTACCCTTTATATTATATTATATAGCAAATAACTAGTATTGAATGTTAGAAATTTAAGTTTAAAACAATATTTGTGGTTAATATGAACCTTAAATATTATTATTTATATTATAAATAAGTAAATGTGGTACTTACCAAATAAAATTGCCAACAGCTCGCATGTTCAGACCTAATAAGTAAAACACAAAATAAATAATGCTATAAAGTCAACAAAGCTATAAAGCCCTTGCTAATACCTACGCATTAGGAAAACGTGACAATGTTCAATAAGAGATTATTTTCATAAATTTCAAACATTTAGCTTAAACAGTAAATTCTATTGTGTGACATTTTGTGACCTAATTGAATAAACGTTGCTCGAAAAATTGCAATTGTTACTAATAGAGCGAGCTAGTTATTATTGTTAGGCATTTTCTTTGAATATTTTATTCGACATGTATATTTCATTAGATATCTATTCATTAATGATTAATTTCAGTTGTTGTAGTATTAGAGTTGATTACTCTAAACAGTCGTTAGTACGGCTACTCTTATATTAAAATAAGTCATGAATAATTTGAAATGTCCCGCAATAGGCGTAATCCAAATTCATTAATGTATGTTTTTCATTATAAATTACTGAACACTAAATTTTATGAGATGGTCACTGTGTGTTTTTGCTTTTATTTAATGTAAGTATATTAATTCTTCTAGCATCCATGTTTAACTTAAATTAAGGCACCTATTGTAAATGTATGCACATTTATTGCAACGTTTTAGTTACACACATTAGGATAACTTATCTATTTGTAATTGTCAAACATTAAATATTTTGAAAATCTAACGTTTTTATAGTGAAGCATTGCTTACGATCAGTGGCGTATTTAGAAATTTAAAAAGAGGGGGCACAAAAAATGTTCATGAATAAGGTACCATAAAATGACTTATTTTTGCTCATAACATTTGTCAACACATATTTTAAATTTTTTTGAAAAAAAATCTGTTATTTGTTTTGAATCCATTTTTATTAATAAAATTATTTCTTTTTATATAGTGTGTATAATTTTTCCAGAAAAGCGTTTTTTTCTATCATATAATAAGATCTCTAGGTAATAATCACTACAAAAATAGGTAGTAATATTAACGGGACAACTGTGCGGGCGTGAAATTTTGCTCCACAAAACAACTATATTGACTAACATTTCATAAACCCATGTTATTATCGATAACCAAAAAATAACTTTTTCTTATGATATTATACATTATTACATTGCTTGAAAATATTTACATGACTCAGTCAATGTGTGTGGGTGGAGAGGGGACACGTGCCCCTGTGCCCCCTCTAAATACGCCACTGCTTACGATTGTTTCGGGCTCCTCACAACACTTTTATTTATCTTAAAATCAGCATTAGCATTCTGAACAGATCTCGAGGATACTTGTTTTGAGCGCCGAGACTATTCAAGAAGTCGACTTGGGCCAGGCTTCTCATAGAAACCGCTTGGTAGACGATTATTGAAAGCCCATACGAAGGAATATTCTCCAAAGTTCAAAAGCTTGTGAACTTAGGAATATAGACATTAAAGACCCAGAAGTTCTTACTAAAATACTAATGTCCCTCCAATTAGCTTTAAATTCAACTAAATCTTTTTTTAATTATCTCAAAATATTTTCGTTTTGTTGGGGTCTAAGGTCAGACAAAAAGTGTGGAAGAGCAGCTGATACAATCGCATATATGTGTTCAAATAGCATAACATCATTGTACCGCCGACTAGACTTATAACATTGACACACGTATTACTACAGGAGGGCAGACTGTACACATTAACACTCGGTATTCACGGCCACTGTGTTATTAATACGAATGTCCCAATCTTCAGTTGACTTTTTATCATCATCGACACTATTACTTTTATTGTTTTACACTTTAGCTTAAATGAGCTAGCTACCAAGATAGTGTGTGCGTGTCATCGTTAGTTTCCTGTTGGATTATATATACATATATTTGTAGTGCGATCATTAGTAGTTCCTTTATATATACAAATTAAATAGGAAACCTCAGTACCAAAGATATAGCCTAGCCAGCTAAGCCCTGTCGATTCCTTAGAATCACTGTTGACGGGCATTTAGGCTCAACTCCTAAATAGCGACGGAACATAATTAAGAAAACGACTGGTCTAAGACAACTTAAGACCTATTATTTCAGAAGTTATTAAAATGTTTAAATATAGAGTGGAGAAAAGGATATTCATAAGAATAAAAATATTCATGAACAATATTTCAAACTTGAATAAAAAACACGGTTGGTCATCTTGTAAAATAAACATTTTTCGTATTTAAAAATATGACATTTATAAAATAAAAAATACTTAACTTCAAAAAATTATAATACAATTATTAATTTTGACAATTAGTCTTTCTCATAAAATAAATTTGTGTTGTTTTTTGTCAATAATTTACAGTATCTGATATTAACTCAAATTTGGCAGCCTCATGTTCAACTAATCGATTTAAAAAATTGGTTTTTCTAAACGCAGAAGCTGGTGTCAAAACTCCACTAAAAAATAATAATTAGTTCAATGTGATGCAATTAAAATATTTTATATTAATTTATTACCCTTTTGGAATGTTGTCTTTTAGTAGAGTTACAGCGCCTAGAACTACTGATTTACTAGTAAAACCGTAGCCTGGGCTATTAGCACTAACCTAAAATAAATAAATTATAAATTGATAATCGACAAATTATACCAACAATTACATACTTAGATAATAACTCCCAGTTAGGGTTAAGAAACATTAAAATCCCTTTTGGTGTATTAAGTTTTAGCTTTGATATGAAACTGAGAAAAAGTTTTTTATATTTGCTCGTGAAAATTCGTAGTTTTCACTAAACCGATTTTAATTTAGTTAAACCTATCAGTACCGAAAATAAAAAAAAAAACTTATTGTAGAAATTTAAAAAAAAAATAACTTATAATTAAGCTATTGTAAAAAATAGCATTTTCACAACTTGTTTCTGCATTTTAAAATTGATGAAATTTTTTTTTTTTAATCACTGATCCAAATTAGATATTAATAGAATATATTAGAGACAATATTCTTTCTTTAGACATGACTTTTGTGATAATCCGACGAGAACTAGAGATGTGTCGTTCGCGAACGAACGGATCGCATTGAACGGGTCAAAATAGTCAACGAAATGATTCAGATCGCCGAACCGTAGTGATCCGGATCCCCCAAAAACTAATTTTTTTCCGTATAAATCACACTGAACCGATTTGATCGCTTACCAAATATCAATGATAACATGATAACATATTCATATGTCATTTGTTTATACGACACATCCCTAATCCGAATCGCGAATCATACATGCGATTCACGAATCGAGAACCGCAAAAGAATCAAAACTATACTGAATGTTCCATTCAATTGACTCAAAATATCTTTTAGATCGCGAACGAGTCTTTGAACCGGATCTTCTAGTTGACCTGATTCGAATGAGTCGGATCACTTAGGTGAACCATAATTCCCATCTCTAACGAGAACCCATGTACAAAAAAGTTTAAAAAGGTCTGACAACTTCTAATCTATATCAAATTAAAGGATTTTACAAAAAATTATTATTATTTTTTTAATTTGTAAATAGCCATTTTATAAATACTTTTTAAAGAAAAACTTTGATACCAAAAACTTTTACTTTAATTTAGTCGTTACGTTGGAATTTTACATTTTAACGTTTGCAAAAATTTTGAATTTTTTACAATTTGTCTATAACAAACGTTAGCTTACGTCATGTAAAGTAAACACTATCTTGTTATGTTATTTACTGGTGACATTATACGATTTCTTTTCCATTAAGATTTAGTTCCCTTATAAAAAAAAATAAGAAAATTTTAATTAAAATTAAGTATTAAGAATCTTATATTTATTATGGGCTATACAAAAATTGTGTATTTTTCTCTTTCTCCTGAATATTTTCAAAAAATTGAAATACACTATCATACCAATGAGACAACAATTTATCATAATTAATAATAACTTATTAAATAATTTTCAACGTAATTTATAAAAAAATACTTTTTTTTTATCATATTTAAAAATTTAATTAAAAAAAAACCTGAGAAACAGTAGAGATAGACACAAAATAAAAAACTTAGTACAGTGGTCGCTGCATTTTTGGACAAGTAGAAATGATATCTAACAGTGATTAACGTAACTGTCATTATTAAAGGGTTTTATGAGACTCTGTTAAATTTTTTGTTGAATACAGTGCATTATAATGTATCATTATTATCAAGCTAATTACACAACCAACTTAAAAATTAGCATTGTGAGCATTACAACCAAAGTGATACTCAATATCAATTACTTAAGGAAATTTGGTTAGAATTTTGGCATCAGTGATCATTTTCTTAGTAGTTCAATCGTCATAACGGTTTTAATTTTTCAATAATAAGTTTAAAGGAAATTAATTCACTTGAAAAGTTTGATACTGGTGACACGGTCCCACATCTCTTCGTGATTCACAGAACCCAGCGACCTGCGCCACTTATGTCAGCCGTGGCCCTACTACGTGTATATGATAGTTTCACTAACCAACACCGCGGTCATATGCCACGGTACAAAATCCACCAAGTGTCGCACCGCAGACTACACCCAGAGAAATACCTCGATCTATATAATAAATTCATTGTTCAATTTGATAAATATATCATTACTATTGAATCTATGATATATTTATCAATATGATAATTTTTTTTCTTGTCTTGAACAATAATTATTCATAAGAATAATTATTTTGTTCGTATTAATAAAACATTATCATAAACCCTTGATAAAATTTCTCTATCAAAATTGATTGAGGTTTTTCTTTGGGTGTACGACCTGTCGGAAATATACGTAGACGTCTCTTCGTGACACCGTTCAATAGTGACATTTGTTTATAGACACAAATCGATCTGCAGTTTTTCCGTCAACCAAACAGCTTCCATCGTTTTGATCGAGTTTTTAAATCGTTCTCTCGTGTTTAGTGACACATATTTTGCAACATTGTTACATTTTTTTTCCATTTGTTATCAAACAATAAACGACTAAACGCCACGTTAAACTCTAAACCCTGTGTCGCCTACATTATGTTTATCAGACAATACCTCATCCACATCATCAACCCTTGATAAAATTTCTCTTTCAATTTTGATTGAGGTTTTTCTTTGGGTGTTGGCGGCCAATTACTCGTAGTAAAATAATCGCCATCAGGGTGTTTTTAATTGTAATACAATTCAAAAACTTAAATTTATTATAGGATTATCAGATACCCCGAATTATTAAAAAAAAAAAATGTTTTACATGCATAGGTGATTTTCATAAAATGCATATCAAAAGTAAGTTTATTTTTCCTAGTATACTCTATTAAAATTTCATTATGATCAGAATAATTTAAATAAGAAAGTCCGGATTTTTAATTAAAAATTATTACAGTTTTAAAATGCAGAAACAAATTATGATTTTTACAGTTTTCGACTGCCGATGAATTTGAGATATTTCTCTATAAATCATTAAAATTCAGGATTTTCTTCAAAAAACGGCGTTGGTGTTTAAACATAATATTTTCAATTTGATTATATTCGGGATGATTGACGTATAGATCATCAAAATCTGAGCTATGCCAGCTGAGAATTTTTATAGACAAACATAAAAAAATTCACTTTAATGTAAAACCAATACCTTTTCAGCTTCACATCGAGGCAAATAATGGTACGTAATAAAAAAATATACATTAATTAGTCATTAAATGAATAAATAAACTTGAATTATTGTAAAATATAAATATCTCCATTAATTTAAAAGTTTAACTTGACTTTAACTTAAACTCGTTTATGCTTTCGATATTTAGTTTTTTCGTTTAAATGACAATAAAAAGAATAATTACATACCAATATTTGTAATAAAATTCATCAACTTACCATACTACATTATATACATATTTAATTATATTTATGACGTTTTTTGAATCAAAATAGTTTGTGATAATTTTTGCTATTATTAATTAAATTATTGACAAATTTGCAATATTCCCCAACTGCGAAGTTTAATGTGAACCTCATCATCATCATTAATTAAAATTTTTTAGGTTCAAAACCTAAGAATTTTTTTTACTTATTAACGTCCTGAATATTATCCACGAACTATTTTTTATAAATAACTTGAACTTTTTTAGCTTGCTTAATTAGTATTTTAGGAAAATATGACCATTTCAACCTACCCTAGTATATCCAATTATAAAAAAGTTACATTGTACTCAACTGATTGACTGAACAAATTTAACAACCCCTCACAAAATACAATATTTTATTAATCAAGCGATGAGCAAAAAGAAACCCAGAATTGATGGTACTTAATGATTTATACATTTAATAGTGAATAATATTTAAAATGAATTACTTTAACTTTGGTTATTCTCGAAGCATCATTTTCATTTATTAACGTATCACCTGAAGTTGTTCCTCGACCAATAATTGTCAATGACATTCGCGAATCTTCATTAAATAATTCGTCTGGACCTTTTTGACTAGCAATTCCCAATGTAAATATTCTTGGAAACTAAAAATGTTTAAATTGTATTATCAAATGAAATTACGATTTTAAAGTGTTGTGATTTCATGACTAATAATCTAAATTATATAGGTTCCTAACAATGCGTTGGATAGAATTTACAAAAATTTTGCAATTCGAGATTTTTTTCTATATTTCTATGAGAACACTAATAGAATATACATTTAATTATTCTAATTCTCCTCTACGGCATGTATCAAATCTTAGTGTAAGTTCAAGTATCACAAAGGACAATATTGTTGTTTTTATTTATTTTTTCGATAAGAGAGTAAGGGTTTGAATACACTTTGTAAATAATTATAACAGAAAAATTTTCATTTATTAGAATTAGATGAATATTTATACAGTGATAAATAGTCTTATCGTAAGAGCTCTAACCATAATTATCGCATTAAGAAATATATTATTATATTGGTAAATGTAATAAAACTTTAAAATGGACAAATTTTTTTTACAAAAAAGTAAGCTTTACGTTATTAATTATGAATGGTTAAAGATTTAGAGTATTTGAATCTTCAACGTAAATTTTTTTTTCATAAAACTGAATTTTTTTCTCTTAATTGCTTACCCGAGTAAAAATGTTTATCATCGAGGTTATTTTTACCATTAATGACAATAAAACATATACAAATAAACCAAAAATTGCTATAATTAATAGATTCATAACCCAGTAGCATCTCGCATGACAATTGACATTCCGTTTTTCCACCATTTTGGCGTGATGTAATGATCTAGTAATAACACTTTGATCTGGCTCTGGAAAAGGTACACACCATTCTAAGGCGCCATCAATATTCTGTTTGTGCAATATTCTACAATAAAACAACTTTTATAATAAATAATTATATATATCATTCAAGAAAAAAGGAAACAAAGACAATTATTTACTTATATTATACTTAAAAATAAATTAGTTAGTTTTCTATTACAAGTTTTGGATCAAATAGTGTAATCCTGAGATTAATTATCTTTAAATAATCAAAAAAATTAATTTAAAAATATTATGATACTTGTATATTTTTTAATTAAAAAAATCTATACAGATTTTAGAAAAAACACAGCACAGATGGAGCGTGGAATAGTTGGGATAAGTATAAAACATACTTCATAGTGGTTAAAATAAAATCATAAAAAACTGTTTCGATGCAAAACTATAGAAAATGTTTACTTTAGACCTATTATTTCAGAAGTTATTACCATTTTTAAATATAGAGTGGAGGAAGAGTATACATAAGAATAAAAATATATTCACAGTTTCTTAAAAATTCCAGGTATAATCTTACTATAGTAATTTATGAATTTATATAGTACAGAATGTCTTGTATTGTAGAAATGATGTAAGTTCAGAGTTTTCAAACGCATTCTCTTAGGTCAAAATATGGTCATTTTAAATTTTTTTTGTATTATCTCGGTTATCTCAATGAATAATTTTTTTAATTCATTTCATAATCAATGGAAAACATTTATGGTAACTTAAAAACAGTTTTTTTTACTAATTTTATAATTTGTACTTACGTCTTTTCTAGGTGATCAACTACTAAAAAAGTTAATTTAATTAAATTATTAAAAATTTTTATTTTTTCATTAATAAATTTAATTTGTTACACTGAATTTATCTCTTTATTTTAAAACTTACTTAGTAACATTAGNATTTTTATTTTTTCATTAATAAATCTAATTTGTTACACTGAATTTATCTCTTTATTTTAAAACTTACTTAGTAACATTAGGTATTGGTCGTGTATTTATGCCCATTGATTCATCTAATAACTTTCTTACTTGCAGTCGTTCTTTTTTTGTCGCTAAATGTAATAATGCACTTGTGTAAGTGTTATCATGAAGTATTGCACTCTATAAAAAAGAAAATTAAGAAAACCATTTATTATACTTAAGGGTTACGTATTAATAAGAGTTCAATTATACTCACAGTTCGAAAAATACTACATGATTTACGATACAGTTTCATATAAACGTCAATAGTTTGCAAATTTCCTAAAAATAATTCAAATTTAGAAAATCTTTTACAAGTTGAAACTTAAGGCTTCATCAAATAGGTGTTTTCATTAAAGTGCAAATTATTATTTTTTCGAATAACTATTGAGTTTTTGTCAAAATTTAGAATAAACTTTACTATGTGATTTTTCACAAAATCTTAATCTACTATGTTGCGGACGGACAGCTTGACACTTTAAGATAAATATTTAAAATAATTTTTTTTAGTATGCTACAAGAAACTAAAATATTTTATTAAAAACGATTGCTATGCGTGTGATATAATAATTTATTATATTAATATATTATAATATAGTAACGGTCGATTCGGTTTGTTTATTTTGAACAATAATAATTTATTATCGGTAAAGGCCAAAATTAACTATGCCTGAAGAGAACCGTAAGAGTGGAGCTACACGATTGAGCATAGGGAGAGGTCAATTAAATTATTAAAAACGCGTCAAATGCTATTGTAGGGAACACGGCAGCAACGACACCTACACAAGTAGCGGCGTTTGTCTGCTATAAGATTAGCCCCGTTAGACACCCCAACGTTTCATGGCCACTATAAGCAATGGACAACATTTCACGATATTTTTTCTTCATTAATTCATACTAATGGCCAATTGTCAGCCATACAAAATTTTTTTATTTGAAAGTTGATCAAAAATACGATGCTTAACAGGCTATTAATTGTTTGGAAATACGGCGGCGTGGCGGACATTAATCGAAAGATACAACGATAAAAGAAGTCTAATACAATGTAAAGGCGTTATTTGACTTAGAGACATCAACGGTAAAAGTTCGAGCGTTTACAGACACATACAAGCATTAAAGGCGCTTGGGGTCCTAGAGCCGTGGAGTCCTATTTTAAAGTACTTAGTGACCACCACGTTATATAGAAGCTGTCTCTGAGCATGGGAAACGGAATCGACCCAAGACGAAATTCCTTTTGGAATTCCCTTTACGGCCAACGACGATTCCGACCCATCACTAAAAAAGTTGACGGAATGTGAATTCAGAAGATGCGTGTCAATCATTAGTTAATAACTTTTATATGGACGATTGGTTAGGGGGGCACAATGAAACGGACAGAGGCAATTACAACAAGAGACAATATTATTCCAGTCGTGAAAGGTGCCGGTCTACATTTACGTTGGTCGTCAAACTACAGTAATTTGATAAGTAATTTATTACCTACCGAATACAATACAAATAGCGACACTCCGCGTGTTATCGATAACAACATGTGATCTTTACTTTTAGTAATAAGAGATTACGCCCGAACAATAAAAAAATAGTATTTTCTCGCTAGGGTTCAACAGTCGGTCAACTGTTGGTAGTACGCTGGACCTATATAATTTACATCCCACTAGAAAGGCTGTTAACCGAAACCAATAAGATTTAAGGTCGATTCACACTATACGGAACGTCAACGTCATGTCAAAATATTTAACTACGTATTTATGTGATGTTGACGTTACGTAACGTGGCCGGTGTATGTGACAATACGATGATATAATTACATGGTTAAGTATTTTGACGTTCCGTATAGTGTGAATCGACCTATAAACAGTCAACTAACAACGATAACAAATGTTTATTCCTATTTAAATATTACGAGTAACTTTAATTGGATCTCGAGATAACTAAAATAAGCGTGTAATCGGTTCTGCTTATACCCACACGCCACATACTCATAGTCAGGTTATAAGGGCGATTGTGCTGATCAGGCTATAATGTAGTCATGAAAAATTCTCAGTGAGAGCTGAGAATTTTTAGGGACAGACTCAAAATAAATAAAACGCAGCACAGCAGCTATTTTGAATTTCTCTGGCGGGGAGGAAAAGGATCAGGATTTAAACTATAACAGTTTAAAGTAAAACCGAGTCTAAGTAAAAATTGTAATTTGTTTGGGGATTTACTTGGAACGAGGAAAATGTATTCAATTTTTGTAATGTCTTCAACTAGATAAGATTTGTGATCTTATGACGTATCGTTGAAAAAAATTGGTTCAGTGAGAGCTGAGAAAAAGTAGTGACAGTTATAAAAAATAATAATATAAACACATCATGATAAAATTAACGACCTCCTTAGCTTCGAATCGTAGCTAAAATTCAAGTAAGAATATCATTTTAATAACATAATGTAATTATCAATATTGTATGGCAGGAGGGGTCGATCGTATTTGCAATAAAAAGGAACGCACTTAAAATAAACTAATATTTTTAGGCATGTTAAAATAAATCATATTAATTACCGTTAAATTTTTGAAACAAATATTCTACGCCAAGGTCAGCAGGAACACTCTCTAATCCTAAGGCATTTACAATTACTGATCCACTTTTTTCAGCTTCGTTATTATAATTATATACCATTTTATCCATAAACTATTATAGGTAAAAATACTATTATTATTAAAACAATATTACTATTCGATACTAATTCATTTATATTAATAGCTCCAGACCTTGGAGTCTTTGAAAATTGTATAAAAATATCAGCCTTTTCTATAAAAACTTTATAAAATGAATTATTATTAGACTATATCAATTTATAATCTGAAAACGTAGAAATAGAGACGTAAGAGGTATTTCCGACAAAATATCACAATAGTTTTTTTTTTGTTTTTATTCAATTTACTATGACGAATAGAAAATTTAACTTACCAAAGACTCGGCAGTTACATCAACATAATGTGTTCCTTTCAACACACATGATTTAACTACAATTTCACCATACATATAATATGGTCCAACACAATTTATGACTACGGAAGTGGATGCTGTCATTAATTGAACACTTTCGGGGGTTTCTACATCTACATCAATTATGTCAATATTTTTATCACCACTGTAACCATCTGGAATAATACATTTTTTTTAATAAGCAGGCTCAATAAAAATTATTAAGCAAATTAAAATTTTAACCTTTATATTAGCGGGATTTGGCATAGTTAAAATCAGCGTAAATTAAAAAATAACTGTAATAAAAACTATTATCTTAAAATACATAGACGAGAATCCGTATGAAGATAGTTTCGATAAGTTTTTTGAAAAGTCGGTTTTCAAAATTATAAGTGATAATACTACATTTTACAGAATGGACGCTGATAAAAATGTATAGCCAATATAGAAAGGTGATTGAATCGCATTCCTGCATCAAAATAGATACAGGTAATATCAGCGTGAACATTTAAATTATATTAACTGATTATAAAATTTAACAATAATTAAAATATGATTTTTAATAAATTTATATGTTTTTTAACATTTAAAGGTCTTTTTTAGCACATGTTTGAGTAATATATTTGTGGAATGATTTTAAATTTATATAATAATAAATATATTTTAATTTGTCATAACTACAGTAAAAAACATTACCGACATCAAAATAGGTACCAATTATTTTTTACATTGAGGGTATTGCTAAAATTGGGTAATGCATGACACAGTACCGTGTTTCACTTAGCCGCACATCACGTTATCAATCTAAATGAAAGTATATTGGGGTCTGAATCAAAAGTGAACAGTGGCCTAATAGTAAGGTTTGTCTCTACGAAGCTCTAAGTCACAAGTTCTAATTCCATACCGAGTCCTTTTTTTCACACGAATTCGGTTACACTTTCTATGACCGGCCGTCAATACCCGGCAGCCGTATTACGCAGGATGAGTTTTTTTTATACAAAACAAAATTAATATTTATACGAGGTGTCTTCAGAAAATAACGGGAATTTTTAAATTCGCGGATTTGGAGAGTCTGATTATCAAACAAATTTTTCATAATATTGGTACACATGTCCCTGAAGTATGATACAATTTTCAGCTGAATTTATTTTCTACTTTGACAGTGGCAGCCGCTAAGATTAGACATGTTTTTATGAGCTCGGTAATTTTCGTTTGTTAAAAAAAACGGATCAAAATATTTGTATTAAACTTTGCGTGAAAAATTAAATAAAGTGTAATATACTGTAATCTTTTCAAATTAAAGTTTATTACATAAGCTTTATTTTAGGATGCATAGAAAAGTTTCAGTATTTCCAGAACTTTTTCAAAACTTATGTTAAAATGTATTATTTATGACTAACCTACATCATTGTACATATCATCTAAAACTTTTTGAAGTTTTTTCTTATTTCGACCAGCTACAGCCCATGTAAATAAATATTTCTGGCTCATTGGCCCCATTTCTTTTAATACATGTTTTCCTGTATAACCAGATGCTCCCAGTAAAACTATATCATACTGTCTCTTTCCAGCAGTTATACTTTTAGAACTCTGACTGGATTCATTTGGAAATGATCCTTTAGTTGAGTCTTGAAGCTCGTCCATTATTTATACACAAAAATCTACAGAATAATAAACGTAAATTACAAGGAACAAACATCATTTTTAAAAAATGTTAAAAAAATTTTCGGTTACATTTCAATATTACTATAGACAACTTTATATACACAGAGTGATCTAAATTTGGTAAGACACTCATATTCTAAGAATTTATTATGAATTTTTTTTAAAGAGTTAAATATTAGGTCCAAAAAACACTACAACAATATGTAGTTAAATACTTTTATTTTAATATCTTCAGAAATAAACAATACATTTTTAACTACAACTTTCTTAAATAAAAATCTCTATTTTTGACTTGATAATAAAATAGAAAAAAATTACAAACAATATTGTTCTTATAGTTTAAAGATAGTAATAATAATAATTTTAATATTGTTATTTTGCAAGTTTTACGTACTAGCTATTTTACACTCCAAATATTTTGTTTAAATTGCGCCTACGGACTAGTCTAAATATTGATGCAAATTAAGGTTATTTTAATCTAAATAGTATTAGATTAAATTTTAATCTATTAATAGTATATTACTACAAAAGATCATACATGCTTATTTTTACGTGTAAACTTTTTAATAATTATTTTTAATTAATATCATAGCACACATTGGGAGAGGCTTAGAATGGAGTCAATTTTAAAATTATACCCATCTTTTGAAATTTCAACATAATAACTAATATAATTATATAAAAATATTAGAAACTGGGGATTTAGAAATAATATAAAAATTGTATTAAAATTGCTCCTATCAAAATTTGTTTAATATATTATAAGTTTTTCTTAGTCCTCTTTTAAATCTGAAAAGATACTACTTTTTAAAGTATCGTCACTTGACGAGAAAAACTACTTGTAAAAAATTTAAATTAGATATTTTGATATCCATAAATTAAAAAAATGCTTTATCTAGTAATAGATATTTAATTTTTTGCGCATAGACAGTTTTTCACGCTAAGAGTCAATACTATACAGTGAGGCTAAATGAATCTTAAATAAATTTAACAATTCGGTTACACCATGTAAAGAGTAATTGTCTTAAGGTTGATTACTAAATTCACCCAAAATAATAACTTTGAAAAAAAAAAAAGTATTTTGTTTAGTTTTATTTTTTCAACTTTAAATTACTATAACTTTTCGAAAAATGTATGGATCAATACAATTAATTTTTCATTAATACTTTATGTTTACTTTTTTATTTGATATACATTTTTTGAAAATCTAACTTTTGACTACAGGGGGATTATTCAAAATAACAATTTTTACACACAAGTTATACTTTATTTAAAATTTATTGGGTATAAAGGTTGATGTTTGTTTACCGAGATATTCCTCAGAAGCGTAGTATTCAGAAATCATTTTAAGAGAGGTATTTAATTTTTTTCTTAATTTGGTAAACATACTAAAGAAAATTTTTTGCTAAAAATCAGTGATGATAAAAAAAAACCCAGCACAGGGGGATCGCGGCACAGTGGTGACGTGGCATAGTTGGATCAAGTGTAATGATATCTGAGTGATTAAAATCACTATAAAAAAAATCGCTTCGATGCAAATCTTTAGATAGTGTTTAATTTTTAAAAATTGGTGGATTATTTCTAAAGCTACATGATCTGCTATTTCCTTATTTATATCCTGATTAACATAAAGTATGTCGAATGAAAAAGAGATATAAATATTATTTCTCATAAAAAAATTGTGTTGATCTGTACACTTTAATAAGTTATAGCATTATAAAGTTAAAAATGTAAAAAATAAAATCGATAATTTTCACACAAAAATAGCATTCGGTAGCCATTTTCATCACGGAGACAAGTTCAGAGGTCAAATTTTTTTTTCCATAATAAAGTACATTACATTAGCATTAATTTAAGATATATATAAGTGTCAGATCTTCCGGAACACTTTCAAAAGTTAAGTTGAAAAAGTTGCCATTTTAAATCCCCCCCTGTAGAAAGGTAAAGGGTTAAATTTATAAAAAAAATATAGCAAATGATAGGTAAAGATATCAAGTATCTATATAAAAAAAAATTATATTGATGTTGATTTTTAAAAAAGTTATAGCAGTTTTTAGTAAAAAAAATTGAACAAATTTCGAAAATTAGCGATTTTTAAATTTGTAATTTTTTTCGAGGTTTTCCCCTTTTATGGGGAACGAGGGAAATTTTTTCAATTTTTGAGGGTAATGTCTTCGACTAAATACAATTTGTGATCTTTTGACGTATCGTTAAAAGAAATCGGTTCAGTGAGAGCTAAATAAAGTAATTTATAAATTTTACTCTTAATAATATATGTTATTAGCTTCGATGCGAAGCTGAGAATGTTCTCAGCTTAACTAATTATAAATTATTGCTAACTGCAATTATTAAGTTTAATTCAAAAGAATTATTAAATCGCATCTTGCGGTATTAATAAACTTTCCGCACTCTAAAATAATACTCTAGTAATAGCTCTAACTCCAAGTGTACATGGCGTTCGTGTTCAAACTCGTCGCTGGAGGCGATAAGCACGTCGTCAATGTAGGCAAATGGGTAATCCAAGTTAAGCAACATTTAATTGATCATTCCTTGAAAAGTCTCGCAAACCGAATCACGTAACTGGAAATTTAAAAAACCTAACGGGTCTAACTTAGCATAAATTATTCGATCGGCTAGATAGGTGGTGAAGTCGTGCAAGTCTAGAAACGGGTAGCGGGCGGCACGAGTAATCGCGTTCAACTGACGATAATTGTCGCATGGTTGAGTTGAACAATCTTTTTTGGCGACGAGTTACAATGAACTTTCCTATGGACTGGTTGACGGGCGGCATAAGCCGTTTGGGTGGTTGGGTTCTAGATGGGCATACAACGGCAGTCCCGTCGTATGAATCCCATGCAATACGTTGTTTGAAAAACGTAGGTACAAGCTAGTTTGGCCGCCCTAAAGTAATGCTTAACGACAGTTCCACAATAATGCCGAGTGTGGAAAAAAAAATAAAAAAGATCGAGTCGTGCGAGACTTGAGGATAATAACAAAGTAGTGCATCGAATTTGCGTAAGCATGATAGGCTTAACACTGGCGCGTTGATGTTTTTAACATAATTTATTTTGATCCAGCTGTGATCTTATCAATGAAAAAATGAATTCATGTAATTTATTAACTGATAAACTAAAATAATCACATTTATAAAAATAAGAAAAATTTAGGTTGTTTAATTAATAAATTAGATAAAATACTCTATGATAATAGGCACTATAGAAACAACAATAATAAATACAAAAAAATTCAATTTTGCAATAAACTATTAATATTAACTAAAAAACTAAAAGACAATAGTAACTAAATCTTTATTTTATAGGTAAATTATTAATATAAAAATGACTAGATAACCATTGAATAAAAAAAAACTACTACATTGAGACTGTTTGTCTTTGTAAATATTATTTAAAATAAATAACTCAATTAAACTACATAATATAAATTTAACTCACAGTTTTACCAGTGGAGAAAAGAAATTGGCCAACTATTCCCCGATAGCTGAAAAACACTCGACTATAAACAATACAATGATATAAATTACAGAAAAAATGTCAATTGAGTGACTGAATTAGTTACATTAAATGCTAATTATGTGACTTCACTGAACGTCTACAAAAATTGTGCTCTGAATAATTACATATTTGATTACACAATAGTAATTATATGAACGGCAAGTCTCGATAACGAACAACACAAATTTCACTGAACCGGTTTAGAACGATTCACCGGGCTAACAGTGTGACCTTGTCGTCCATATGGTACACAACGCCATCTCTGGAGCGTTGTATGCAGAAATTGTTTTTACTTGATCGACTTCTTAAAAGAATCTAATACTAGTGATGGGCATAATCGAATGATTAGTAATCGAGACATTTTCATAGTCGAGTGAATCTCTCGAAGTTAAAATCGTCTGCTCGTATGATAAGAATAATCAACTATTATTATTTATCGAGAGAATCGAAAAATTATTCGAAATATGAATAAATATACCTATAGTAAATAATTATTAATTTAATTTTGCTTTTTTTATTTGTTGGTGTTTATTTATAATTATTATATTAAACTATAATTTAGGAATAATAATAACAGTAATATATTAATAATGCATTATTAATAAGTGCTTTAAATAAAAGACAAGTTGTTATTTTTATTATTTAATAATTATTACCTATATTTTAAAAAAACCGATAACAAATTAAAAAATAAAAACATAAGATAAGGTAGCAATAGCCGGCTTGACCATCATAATTAAAACACCTGATTCCACACCTAATTGATTTTTCATAAATTCACAACTAGTGAGAGAATCAGAACTCAGTAGTTTAGCCAGTTCAGGACAAAACTTTGTTCTAATCGTCACATACTTCCCAAAAATGTGACAGATAAGGTGTGTCATGAGTAGCGATTGAACGAGTTGAAAATAAGAAGACTCGAAGTCAACAATTTAATAATAATTCGACTATAATTTATGCTAAATAAAAACTTAAAAATAGTATTCTCTCGTTTCATCGTTTCATGGACATCATTCGAAATAACTTTTATTCGATTATATACATTTCAAGATCAAGAAATCATTGTTTTTATAATAAACGAGAAATCATTAGAAATAATCACTCGATTATAGAATAATCAATATTATTTAAAAAATCAGAATATTTCGATTATATAATAGATATGATTTCAATAATCGAAATATCTCGAGTATGCCCATCACTATTCAATACACAGTATGATTTGCCGGCCACAAATTTAAAAATAAAACACAATTTAGATTATATGAACATATAATCAGTAACTTAACTATATATATATAATATAAGAAGATATAAAAGGAAACGTGCAACAGATGATATGGGCAGTGGTTTAAACTAGTGATGGGCATTTTCGAATATTTTAAACTATCGAATTGTTTTTATATAAACGAATAGTTTATTTTTAGCATAAACTATGGAATATTTTAAAAACTATTCGAATGGGCTACCGAATGGTTTCAAAAAATATTCGATTAGTTCTACCTAAAATTTTTATTCAGTTCACTTAATAATTATAAGATAATTAACGAATAATTAAAATAAATTATTATACAATTAATAGTAAAAATTAGTGAAGGTCTAATATTTTAAACTATCAATTATCTATTTGAATTGTGTTTATACAACCGAATAGTTTATTTTTAGCATAGACTACCGAATAGTTCGATAGTTACTATTCAATATTTCCCATTACTAGTTTAAACACATTTTCTTCTAACTATTTTCATGAACTTCAATAGATGTAGTTAACATCTATAACAAACATTATCAGTTAACACAACATAAAGTTTCGACCAGTTACAGCTCATATAAATATTATTGGTTCATTCACGTTTTTTAGTTCACTACATGTTCCATTACAACTAGTATCCACCAATTATACTTTTTGACTTTTGACTGGATTCAGAGGTTTAAAATTTATATTATGTAAAACTTAAAGAATAATTATTTTTATACTTTTTTCTTATCATGTTTTGTATATCAATGTGTACAAGTCAATTTAATTAATTTTTATTATTATTAATATTTACATATTATTTATACATATATACATAATTATTTTAATACTTAAACATTATATGATCCAATATATCCATACAAAAATTAACAAGATTATTTGTGCTTTTGATAAAAGATTTATAGACAATTACATTTTTCGTATAGTGACCATATCATTATAGTTAATATAAATGTAATAATTTAAAATAAATTAAGTATTCAAATAATTCATTTTTTTTCTGGTTAATATTTTTACTATAGTATTTAATATGAAATTAATAGATGTTTAGACATTATATACGATAAAAAAAAAAATTCATTATTTTAGTCTTTATTATTTTAAAAATAATTTAGATTTAACTAAATATATTAAGAAATTGTCAAAATTAATATGAACACATATTAAATATTTTTATGAACATCAAAATGTAATTTTGAATCAAGGAATAATTTAAATAATTATATTCACAAATGTATTAAAATTTATAAGATAAATTAGTGTTATTTGTTCAATATAAATGAGGCAAATGGAACGAATCGAATGCATTAATTAATAATTTCATTTCTCATAAGTTATTCTATTGTACATCTATCAAAATGGCAGTAAGAAATTATGAGGAATGTATGTCACTACAATTTACCCAATTACTAAAAATTCTGCCCAATACAAAAATAACTATTTTCTAGTTGCAAATTTAAAAATGTATAGATTAAAAAAATCGGAAGTATTTGAAAGAGTATAATTTCAAAAAAAAAAAAAAAAAAAAAATGGTTATAATAAAAAAAATTATATATACTATTCACAATCTTACTTTGTTATGCAATAACTTATAACTAACAATTGTAACTAGATCTAAATTTCAATCCAATTTTAATTACAAAAAATTGTTCTTATATTACTTATTGTCTTTTAATATGGAACCAATTTTCTTATGTGCATATTCTAAGCATCTTGATAATTCTGGACTACAACCATGCTCTGCAATTGTATTGAAACGATATGTACGAAATACATTGTCTTCAATAAATGTAATTGCATTCATCAAAGGGCATAAAATAAGTTTTGTATGATCGGTAAAATTAATCTATTAAAAAAAGAAAAATTTTGCATTCATTAAGATTCAAATGAAAAATTAGTAATAATTTAATAATAAATATATTTTGTCAAAAAACCTGTAAAGTGCCATTTGTAAGTTGCATTATCACAGATGAAGTAGATCTATACCATTGATACATATAAGGTGTTCGGCTTAACTGATCAGAATCTTTTTCTAGAATATCAGCCCCTGCCTTAATGAGGTGATCATTCATGTAACGTCTAAAATACATGAGTAACTTCATTTTTTTTTCTAGTGTAGAAGGTGTATTATCAGTTGTGTAATATTGCTCAGTCCCATTTCGTTCAATGTAATGAACATCTCTAAGATAAAATTTTATTTAAGAAATGCTTGGTAAAAGTTAAAAAACAAAAGAGAAATCCTACTTGAAATTAGCTAATAGAACAATACGAGTGAAATCATTGAACATAACACCAACACAATCATCAGATAGTTCATAACCAAATCCATATTTATCAGAGTAATCAACCCATTTGCTAACCCATATCATAGGTTTAGCAGCGGGATCAGTATTTTCTTCTGTATAAATATAATAATATTCATATAAATAATATTTTTATTAGAGAATTTCTTATATGTTTTACCCATATTTGTCACTGCTTTCATGAGCGGTTTGTTTTTCAACAAAGAGCCTAATTCTTTTTCAAGTGAAACCATATAATCCTTACATTCTGTTGCAGAAACACCATTACCTCCAGTTACTTTATTAGGCACATTAAACAATGGTAATTTGCCTATTGGATCTTGAGGTTTTGAAACTGCTTTAATAATAGATGCTTTTGGACTATTAAGTTCTAAAGATAATACATAAGATTCAGCAAAATAATTAAATATATAAAACAATAGTTTGAATAAATATTTTTGGAATTAAAATTTTACCATTGAGTGGCTTACGGTTGGAAATAGATTCTCTATAGTTAATTGAATCAAATCGAGGTGCCATAGTAAGGCAAGATGGTGGTAATTTTTTTGGCATATAACCAGTAATAAAAAAATCTGCTTTCATTATATCACTAACTGTAGGACGTTTTTTTGGATCATATTGAAGCATTTTATTAATAAGGAAACTAGCACTTTTGTTTAAATGAGGCGGAACATTGTAGTCACATCGAGTTATTCGAGCATAAGTTTCTTTCAGAGAACTAGTTTCAAATGGTGGTTTTCCAACTAATAAAGTATACCTTAAATTTAAAAATAATTAATAACACAATATTTTTTTTAAATATGATAATTTTGAATACTTCTATTACTTCACAACATATTTCTTAAAATAAAAAAACAATCTCAACTAAACCTAAAATATAATTATAATAAAACAATAACATTTAGTTAAGAATATTTCATTATAATTAAAGTTTAGATTAAGTTGAGATTTTTTTTTAGCTAAAAAAAATGCTTAAAAACTATTTATTTTATAATAAATTAATGAAAAAATGTTTACATTATACATCCTATTGACCATACATCAACTTCAAAACTGTGTCCTGTTTTGCTTAGAATTTCTGGAGCAATATAATTAGGAGTACCACACAAAGTCCTAGTAAAAATCAAAATATTAATATTTTAGTTTTATATTTATTACTATTGTAATTGACATTACTTTTTGCGTTGTCCATCATATTCAATTTTAGCAGCTAATCCAAAATCTCCTAATTTAACTTCCATGTCATCGTTTAAAAATAAATTTCCTAATTTTAAATCACGGTGAATTATACCCTGTTGATGCAGAAAAAGGGTACCTTCTAAAATTTGATATACATAATAACGTGTTTCAGGCTCAGTTAAAGTTTTTCTTCTCCTGTACATAAATAAAACATTTAACTGTCAAAAAATAGCATGATAATTTATTTTTAATAAAATATAGTTAATAATTACATCAGTAACCCTGTTAACAAGGCTTATTTTAAATTAAAAAAAAATTGTATCATTCTTAAAAAATTACATTAAACACCACTTAGCAATGTAATGTGTAATATTTAATTTATTTTATAGATAGAGGCACCTCAATGACAACCAATGTAAGAAATTAATTATCTGTTAAGTGGCATATGTCTATTTCATTAAATTAAATATTATAAAATATGATATATGTTGATCATCAAAATTTTGCCCTTCTACTTAGAGTTAAAAAAAATTTTAAATTAGAATAACCTTAATTTAAGTAAAAACTGTAAGTGATTTAAATTTTGATAACTCAATTTAAAAACTTAATTTCCTAATGAAATAAAAATAAAATAGCAATATAACTAATTTGTATTTTTAAAAATCAANTCTAAAAAAGGAAATTAAAACTAAGTTGGAAAAGCAGCTAAGTTATTAAATAAGTCTCACTTAAAATGCAATTTTTTTTTTAAGTAGTATTACATTATTACAATTTGATGAAATATTTTTCGTTAAAAATTGCATAAAATTATTGCAAATTAAAATAATAAAAAAAAAAACTGCTTTACACACTTTTTGTTTTTAATAATTATTTGTAAGGTCTTCCAAAAAATACTATTAAATTTTCAACAATAAATAGTTTCCTTTATATTTTAATGTATACAACTTTTAATTTAATCATAATTTAAATTTAAACTTGTTTGAATTCTTTTTGTTTTTTCATTAAAATTTTAAATTAGAATAACCTTAATTTAAGTAAAAACTGTAAGTGATTTAAATTTTGATAACTCAATTTAAAAACTTAATTTCCTAATGAAATAAAAATAAAATAGCAATATAACTAATTTGTATTTTTAAAAATCAATATAAGTTATACAATAGGGATGATACTGAATGACACATAAGATTGCATGTCAATAACTCTTAAAAATATTTGACCTATATAATGAAATTAAATTTTAATACTTATTTTATGATATTAATATAATAAATATTGAGTTACATGACTAGTTTGTTTCACAAATAAATATTTAAAACAATTTGATTTAAAATTAAAATGTTTTGGTAAAAATTTATTTAAACTTATATTATGGTATCAATTTGAATACACTGAAAATATTGTTTGCTTTTAAATTAATTTACTAACTTGTGTAACTCCATCATAGATCTTTTGCGGCATAATTCTAAAACTATATAAACAAAGTCTGCATCTTCAAAGAAGCTGTGAAATCCAACTATATTTTTATGCTTTAAACGCTGATGTATATGAATTTCTTGAGTCATTTTATCTTTTTGATTGTGTTTTAATAAATATTTTTTGGAAACTATTTTTCCAGCAAAAACTTCTTTTGTTCGCATGTCAACAATTTCATAGCATTTAGCAAAACCACCCTGAAAATATATTATTTATTTAATAAATATTTACCAAAAATATTAGGTACATAAGAGACCAAGAAAATCAAATTGATATTCTTAGTAAGAATGTCAAAAGTTAAATAAATTAAAATCAAAGTAATAAGCTAAAATTACTAATAAGTTACAATGTTTGAAGAGAGATCTATTAAAAATTTAATTTTAATGAAACTTTAAACATAAAAATTATAGAATGATGTTTAAAACTAAATCAGATTAATTTATATGTTTATTTGGATTAGAATGAGTTAAAATGATTATGGAAGTTTAAGCAAAATCATATAGAAGTAAAATGATAAATTATTAAAAATAATGTTTTTAAATGTTGTATGGATAATGTGCTGATAGATACTCAAGTTACACACATCAATGATACAGGGTGATTAACTAACTATGCTTCACAAATTTTCTTTAAAAATATTAGTGTTATCATATATATAATTATTTTATTTGTTCTATATCTTTCTTGAGCTACTTGACAAGAAAAATAAAGATTCCATCTTCATACCTTAACCCTCAAATCATTTTTTTTTTATTAATTTTGTTTAGCATAAAAAAAATTCTCAAAAAAAAAAAAAAAAAAAAATTTTAATAAATTCTAAAAGAGATATCACTATTTAAAGTTTAGAGGATTTAACAAATAAAACAGTAGTCATTGGGTAAATACAGTAACATTAATATTTAGTAATATTTAGATATAAGAACTATCAATGTATTGTACCGCGATGTATTGTACCGCGATGTAAAATGTGCGACTCTTTTATAAATCAACATAAGTAATAATCACGTTCTCTTAACTTCAATGAATCATAGCTCGCTGATAATTGAATAAAATAAAAAATTAGTTTACGAAAAATGTTTTTAAAACTAAATGTTATCCGATTGAATAAAAAAAAAATAGGGTTACCATTTAAAAATTGAAAGTTGATACTGATTTGAAGCATAAGGGATGATCTTAAAAATATAATTTTACTCATTGAGAATCCCCAGATAGAAACATATTTCATAAAGAAAAAAAAAGATAACTTTTATTATTAGGGATAATTTGTGAGGCATAGTTAATCAATCACCTGTATATTTCTCAATAAAATTTCACTTAAAAGGTACAGCACAATAAACATATATTCCAAAATAATTTTGACCAAATATTGATTGTTTGACATAGAACAAACTAAAAAATGTTAATAGTAAACTAGATACTTTAGGTTTATTTATTTATATAATATTGAGATTATGCTTAAATGTTAAAAAATATAAAAACATATATTTTAAGACATAGTTCCTACACTGAATTTTTTAATTGTATATTGTAATATTTAAATTTCATTACTTTAACTTAGACAATAAATTTAAGCTGTATTAAATAAAACCTAATTTTTAAGGAAACTTTGACCTAAATCACCTTTATAACTTTAACCAATACTTTAAAATTACAGAAAAAGGAAGTTATTTATTTTTCATTTATAACTTTGTGAGGATTAAAGCTTATTACAGGGTATTATATATATTATGGACAAGTTTTTAATTCAATAATAATTAAAGATGAATATTTTGTCCTTAAGTTGATGAGCATTATTCTTCTTTTGATAATCATCAGATATAAATATAAATTCATTACCTTTCCCAAGAAACTGCCTCTTTGATATTTTTTATTAGTTTTATTATCCACAATAATTTCAGGAATTCTAATTTCCTCATCCTTTGATCTAGACGACATTTTTTAAACTTCTTTAACAGTTCCGAATAACTAATTGAGCTATTATAATTAATACTATTATCAGCGACTAATAACAGGGATATGTAGACAAACAATAAAAAAAGTACAAATTTAAAGCTGTTATATTAAAATCATTAATTCAAAGTTAGATAGTGTCTTAGAATATAAAAAAAAATATATTCAAAAACCGACAACATCAGACACGACTAAACAGTATGAACAACACGAACAAAATTAACCGTTAAATTAAATACGTTAAAAAGTAAGCTGCACTATGATTAGTCCTTGCTTCAAAGTAAATTACCTCTCTACTTCATACAGCACGTTGGGCTTACAACAACAGAGTGCGCAACAAGAGAGGGAAACAACAATTTAGTATATGGGTATTTGAATAACCGTTGATCATGGCGTAAACAACTACTAATAAATTTTATTTCTTCCATGATTATTATAACATTTTTACTATGATATCGAACACTATCTTTTACTTCACTAATTTCCTATGAACAAATGTTCATTGGAATTGTCTAAATTAAATGTTCCTTACCTTAAACAATATAACTATCATCATCATCATCTATTAAAGGCAATTCCTTATAGTTAAAACCACTCCTCTCTATTTGACGCCAAATACATTAGTGAAATAAAAGACACAGTTCATGAGTTCTAGGATATTTTCAAATAATGTTTTCTTGGACGTCCTTTTGGTTTCTTCCCAGTTATTTTTCTTTCGAATATAATATTTATTTTAATATAATATAATTATATAACAATAAATATAATTTTCTAAATTTTTTAGAAGGTAGGCATTTTTAAACTTGCTCACTATAAATTAGTAAACAAGAGAGAAAAAATTATTTCTTCTTTTTCCTCACCTTAATCCCAACTATTTGGGGTCGGCTACTCATATCCTAAACTTCTACTTGATAAGATCACCCACATCATCTACGTTTACATCAGTCGTTCTCATATCGCATTCAATTACATCCCTCCATCTCTTTTTTGGTCTTCTTCTACCTCTTCTTCCTTCAACATTCAATTCTTTTACTATTCATACCGCTTCCTCTTTCCTCATACGACGACCAAATCATCAAAGTCTATTTTTTTTCATCTTATCTATGATTGACGCTACACCTATACTCCCTCTTATATGATTGTTCTTTATCCTATCTTCTCCAGTCATTCCACTCTTCCATCTAAGTATTCTTTTCTCTGCTACACTCATTTTCTACTCTACTTTCTTGTCAATTAGTCAACACTCTGAACCATATATAATAGCTGTTCTCACTACAGTCTTATAAAATTTACCTTTTAGGTTCATTGGAATTCTTTTATCACTTAACACACCCGACGTTTCTTTTCATTTCAACCACCCGCATTTAATCCTGTCTCTTACATCTTCGTCAATACAACCGCTGTTTGCACAACTGATCCTAAATACTTAAAACATTCCATCTCTCCTATTAATTTAAAGAAAAAATTATTTCATTATGAGATTTTCTAATTGATTTTTTGTTAATTTTTCTTAGCTTTTATACGATGCTGAAAAGGTATTGATTTTAACATTATATATTTATTTTTTATGTCTATCACTTCTTTTTCTCAGTTCTTACTGAACCGATTTCTTTCAACCAAACATAAAAAGATCACAAATCGTATTTAGTTGAAGACATTTTCCTCGAAAATTAAAGAAATTTCTCTTGTTCCCAGTAAATAGAGAAAATCCCCAATATATGTTACAATTTTTTAAATCGGTAAATTTTGCCATTATCATTCATTTTTTTTAGAAATGTCATGACTTTTTTAAAAATGAATGAATTAAAATATATTATTTTTTATGTTGAAACCTTAGGTATTCCATTTTATTTGTTATAAATTTTTTCAACATCTAACTATTTATTTACTTAGAGGGATTCAAAATAACAATTTCTGAACAAAAATTTAACTTTTTCAACTTAAGTTTTGAAAATGTTCTGGAAATACTCCAAGCTTCAAACATATCTTAAAATAAAACTTATGATATGTACTAAAAGTTCAAAAAAAATCATGATCTATTTTTTTGTGAAAATGGCTGCTGTAGTTTAAAATTATACTATTTTTCTATTCAATTTTTTTTTTTTTGGCTTATTTTAAAATATTTACAAGGATTTGATATTGTAATGAGTCTACCAATTTTTATAAAATTTATGTAAATTTTAATAAATTTAATTTATATTAAATATAAATTTAAACTTAATTAGATTGTTTTGCCTTCTCAAAGTTAAGAAAAGCTGCTTTGAATATTTGAACTAGTTTAAATTGTTATTGTTTGCTTTTATTGTAATGCACGGAAACTCCATCAAATATATTACAATTTTTTATGCTAGGGGTATGAACTGCAAACGCTATAAAGTTCGTTTAATTTTGATCTTATTTAGATTATATAAATTCAATGAATATAAAGGAAAAATAATATTATATTCATATATTTCTTTTTCATTTTATATTATTTTACTATATGGTTATTTTTATCTGTCATTCATTTTTCTCAGCTCTCATGATCAATTTTTTTCAACAATATGTGAATGATCACAGTTAATGTTTAATTAAAGATATTACCCTCAAACTTAGAAAATGATTTCCCCTTTATCAAATAAAAATTTGCTAAAACATTATTCTCCATATAAACAATTAAAATCATTAATTTCCAATGTTTTTAAAGTAACACTGTCGAATGAGGTTTGATATGAATAATACATTTCAACTACAAAGTTGAACAATTTTAATTACATTTGTTAGTTATTTATGAACTCTATTTGTATTTTACTACCATTTTATATTAATGCTAATTTTTTGGTAAACTATTACTGTATAAATAATTTCTAGAAAAAATGATTTTGGGTTTCACCTGAATTTAACAATTGATTTTTACAATTATTATCAATTTTTAGAATACGCTTAATTGAGTATATTTTTAACTTTTTGTTTTTGTATTACTTTTTATGCGATACTAAAATGGTATTGGTTTTAATGGTTTTATAATAATTTATAATTATAACTTTAATATTATATGATTAATATGCAATTATGTTATTATATAATTATCATTTATAGTAAATTTATGAGAAAAGCTCAACATTTCATTAAAATCACTATTTATTTTTATTTTTTAATTTTTGTCGTAATAAATCATTTAAATAGAAGTTTTAGTAATCATTTCAATATATGTAACTCTTGGTGTTTAAAAAAAATTCTACATTTGAAATATTAAAAATTTAATTAATTTTTAATTATTCGAAAATAACCAAAAATATCAAGAATAAAATGAAATTCAATAACAAATCATAGAACGAAATTGTAGGTGAAACTAGGATATGTCCATCTAGGCTATGGCTTGACCTAATACTTAGGTTTTTTATCAGATAATAATCGTAATAATTTGATCAGACGAGGTTACCACAATTATATTATAACAAATTTATTAAACGTAAATTATGATAATATAAGAATTTTATATGAACCATAGAATAACAATAACTATGCAGATAACTAATTAAAGAATGTCACCTCGTGAATCTACGATAAATAGACTTAAATGTAAATATAAAAAGAAATATTGCTAGATTAGGATAATCACATTAATGATATCTCCAAAATAATCATTGTTTAAAACAATAATATAACTATGGTTAGAAAATTATCATAAATTCTAATTTCACATGGCGTAAATGGGAAAGTCTCTAAAAAAATACTTTTTTTAAGTCGATAAAATTGACACGGTATTATATATTTCGCGATACACAAATACCTCGTCTTTGTTATCAGGCGCCTTATTTCATCGCGAGTCAAGCCTGATTAGAGTACTATTAGAGTGCCTAGGCGAGGAGCACATTCTATCTACTTGTCGCAGCCGACCACCGAGCGTAGTAATTTACATTATTACCATGTAAAAATTCTACATTTTTTTAAATTTGTTTACATAAAACTTTAAAATATGAATGAAACAGGCGGAGATTCAAAATAGAAAATCTCGCTTGAAAAGTTAACTATTTCAACTTAAATTTTGAAAATGTTTATATTTTAAGTTAAATGGTAAGGTCATGTAGGAGGGGAGAGAAAATATTGATTTAACTCTATAAGGACATTATTACTATGTATTGTTCATTACCCATAACTTGTATTTACTAAACATTTAAAATATAACTTAAATTTATTGTTGACATAAGTTAAAGAAAAAATTAGATATATAATGCTTAATAATAACATTCTTGTTATGGTCCATTATATTGTTCAACCGTAAAATAAGCATTTTTATTTAATTTTAAAACAGTTCCTTTGTTGTTCTGAATTTACTGCTACACCTTTATCTTCTTTTAATATTGGAGTTTATATTTTTGACACTACCAAAATGTCTGAATAAAATTGTATTTATTTAAGTGATATTAAATGTAAATGTTTTTTATTAAACTATCAAATAATTTAGCTTTCATCTCAATATTGTGTCATTCTGAATCTTAAAATTGTCCTAATTTTAATTTTTATATTAATTGTTTTTTATACAAAATATTATTTTATTTTAAATAATAATTATAATAATATAAATAATTAAAGATTAATTGATTGGCCTTATTAATAAATAACAATTTTTTTTTATAATCAATATTAAATGAGTAAATTTTGAAGAATATATATATATTCTAATAATGTTATATAATATAACATTAATAATGTTATATAATATAACATTATTAGCAACCTTCTTTGTTTTTAGTAAAACATTCTTACAACAATAATTATAATATCATATTGGTTGATTGTTGTAAATATGTTACATAGAGATGTGTTGACATATATTTTATAAGTGTTAGCATTGCTGGACAAATACGGTCCCAGAGACGTTTTTCATACTCTTATGGAACGCAATTTGTAATGTTTCATGTTTCAACAAAACAGCCCAAAAACGTTTGTGGAACAAATTATTGCACAGTTGTCAATATAATATATTATATTGTATATTATAATATATTACTATATATTATATTAATATTATTATACAATGTATATTATATAATACTATAAATATATTGACAATATATGAAAGTTACAAACTGTAATTTAGAGGCCAGACAGTAATGTGAATATAGCGCAACAGACATGCAATGGTATATATGTCGGTAGTTATTATAAAGTAGGGTTCGTCAACGATATATTTCTGAATATTAATATCGTACTGAATTTTAGTGATATTATATCGCAATAATGAAAAAAAATTGATCTTGATATCGCGATATATCGATATCATATGAAAAAATAAATTGATATCGGAAAAAAAATAAATTTAATATTTAAATGCTTTTTTTAAGAATACCGTTAAGTTACCCAACCAAATCAGATAATGATATTAATATCGCAAATATAGATAATATCTCACAACGATTATCAAATATTTTCAAATTAATTTTTACTATGAAGAAATAAGTTTTTTTTTTGTTACAAGACTTAATCATTACATATTGGTCATATTAAATGGATGAAATTGTTTTTTTATGAATAATAGAATTATAGTTTCAGTATTTTGGTTTTAAATAATAACATCAAAAAAGTTTATAAGTGCTGTTTATATTTTTTTATTGCTTTGTCATAACTGAAAACAATTTTTCTTCTTTTGAAAAATACAACTTTTTTAAAATTTTACAAAATAAAACATCATCATCTTCATCACCAGTGTATCCTGAACCAGTGGGAGGTAGGGGTTTGCGTCAAAATACGAGGGGGCAAAAGTATCATTATGCCCCCCAATAGAATTTGACAAAGAAAAATTAAAAAGAATCTTGAAATTAATGTAACACTACCATACTTAATTATTTAGCTATTCAGCTTTTGAGGATTAAAAAGTATTAATGAATTTACCTAACTCCAGTTGAATATTAAAAAACCCAACACAGTGAGGATGTGGCATAGTTGGGTCAAGTATAATGATATCTGACAGTGATTAAAATCACCACCATAAAAAACACTTCGATGCAAATCTGTAGATAGTGTTTAATTTAAAAAAAATGTTGGAATATTCCAAAAGCTACATTATCTGCTATTTCCTTATTTATATCCTGATTAAGATAAAGTATGTCGAATGAAAGAGAGATATAAATACTACTTCTCATGAAAAAATTTTATTGATCCATACATTTTTCAAAAAGTTATAGCATAATAAAGTTAAAAATGTAAAATACAAAATCGAGAATTTTCACACAAAAATAGCATTCGGTAACCATTTTCACCGTGAAGACAAAGTAAAGTCCGAAATTTTTTTTTTTTCATAATAAAGTATATTACATAAGCTTTAGTTTAAGATATATATATAAGTGTCAGTATTTCCGGGACACTACCAAAAGTTCTACTTTCTATATGCATTTTTAAGATTTGAACCCCCCTGTGGGCAGCTAAAGGGTCAGATTTATAAAAAAAATATATCAAATGATAGGTAAAGACATTATGCATCTAAAAAAAAATATATATTGATATAGTCATTATGGAAAAAGTTTTGGCAGTTTTAAGTAAAAAAAATTGAAAAAATATCGAAAATTAGCAATTTTTAAATTTGTAATTTTTTTGGAGATTTTCCCCATTTACGGGAAACAAAGGAAATTTGTTCAATTTTTGAGGGTAATGTCTTCAACTAGATACGATTTGTGTTCTTTTGACGTATCGTTGAAAGAAATCGGTTCGGTGAGAGCTGAGAAAAAGTGGTGACAGACACAAAAAAAAATAAACAAATTATGGTTAAATGAATATCTTCTCAGATTCGCGTCAGAGCTAATAATATGTAATATTAAGAGTAAAATTTATAAATTACTGGAATTTTTAAAATGATCACTAAAATCCACCAAAAAATAGCTTAAACTGCTTTTAAGCTTAGTAATGACCGAAGGAACTGAGATTTAGTCATTAAATTTTTGTCCCCCATATAAATAATAGTTTCGCCCCACTTGTTCATCACTGTCATCAAATAGGGAATTTTTTTTTTTTTAACACGCTTATATTAGTTTCACTTGTATGTTTGTCGTTTGTAAGTTTGTAACTCCACGCGGCACGTGTTATTATGTCGTGTATGACCTTGAGACTAGACTGTCGTAACGCATTCGCCCCACCCCGCTCACCACTCGTAGACAACAATATTTTCCGACCCGTAGACGCGCGCGTGTCATCAATTATATATATGTATAATATATGTATATATATGTCGTTTCGTTATACACGATGCCCCACAACTCAGGCCACCTTTATCAGCTGTCGCCCTATTTTATGAGTATTTGTCTGACCAACACCGCGCGTTTTACGTAGTCTTTTTCTCGTTGTCAAAGTGACAACGTCAACAAACCGATCTGCACTCGCGCACCGTCGTCATCTATGCTGCTAACCTTTTGCCGACCGAGGAGTACGCCGGACATCGCGTCGTCGACGCCAGCGAAAGTGCCNTGTAATATAAAATTTATTATTTGTTGTGAATTGTTATTGTTATATAAATACTATTTGCCAATCTATAATATTAGAACTGTTTTGATTTAAACACTATTATTAATTGAGATACTAACTGGACGAGTATAAAAACAAAATGTTTTAATTTTATCAGACTGAGTGTTATTATAAAATAACTTTTAGTAATTGAGGAGTTAAAATAATTAAAATAATTAAATCATGTTAACTTTGCCATTGTTATAAGTTATGTTGAACATTTAATGAATATTAGTTAAGCATTAGAAATATTTAGTTCTAATACAATTATTGTTATATCAAAACGCTTGTTGATATTCCATTTAAAATATTACAAAAGGTTATTTTTAGAATGGTGAATAAGCGATAATCACTGATAATAAATATTCACCTGACAAAACATCACTGTAAACATAATATTACATGTTCTCTAACCTAGAATTTGTAAATTAATTTAAACTTAAAATCATGATTTCCTATTTTGTTTGCTTTGTTAATTTGGGGCGTAATCATATAAGTTTAAGTATTATAATTTTTAAAATGTGGTAATACAGCAGTTTTACTTTAGTCTTTAGTTTTACTTTACTGGAAATCAGTACTAACTTTATTAAGGTTCTTATATATCATTAACTTGTACATTTTTTAAATTATAGTATTCAACTATTGCTTTTAGTTGTTTTGGCTGTTACATTTTTATTCTAAATACAAATAGGTGATTTTTAAATAATTATAGCTGTCATATGACAGAGTATAAAAATTTGGATGGAATTATCAATGTAGGAAGTGTTTTAAATAGTAATAAAAGTGATGATAGTGTAAATGTGCAAACTAATTCTAATAAATTTTCTTCATATTCATCTCTAACTGAATCAAATTTCAAGTATGGTACTTTGCAGGTAATATACTAATAAAATTTTATTCTTTAAATATGACAAATTATAAAATAATAAATATGTATTACTTTTAGTCTATTATGAGCTTGATGTATTCAACTAATGATGGTCGTTTTATTTTGACTGATGCAAAAGTAAACCATGAACATTTATCTAATGATGCTCAAAATACACTTACGAGACCTAATAAATTATTTATTTAAAGACAAAGCTAGGTAATCTACACTATGTTATTTTAAATATTTTTTATAAATTAAATATGTATGGGTGTAAGTTAAAATAGTTAACATGCATGAAAACTTATAGTTCTTATATAAAATAATCATAGACCTTTAATTTTATACTAATTTAATATTTCTATTTATTAAACTTATGTTATATTAAATATTTGTTTTAGGGGAACTGATTTTTAATTTCGGAAAATTTCTTCAATTGTCATTGAATTACTTCCAAAAAAAACAAGAAGTAGGATATAGGTTTAAAACTATTATATTAATTTACATTTTTTTTTTTAAATTATCATAATCAATTAATAATAATGATAAATGCAAATAAATACATTTTTCAAATACTCATCAATAAATTTAATAATTAAAGCTCTTTTTCAAATTAGAAAAATATTTGATATTTGAATTACCTACCCTTTTAATAACCAATGTATTTTAAATAAAAACAGATTATAATATTTTTAAATTTAACAAATTAGTTCAAAATTAAAAAATGTATGTATATAAAAGTTTTTAATACATGTTACCTCATTATTATTTTATTTACTGATAGCTATTTTTTAAATTTGAATTTAATACTATTAATAGTATATATTAATAAAAAAAAACAGAATTATACATGCTTTTGAACATAAAAAATTAAAAATGAGTTTTAATATTACTATTTTTATCTTATAGAAAGTATATTTTATACTATCAAGTCAAAATAATTCCATGCAAAAGAAGAATTAGTGAAACATTGACAAAATTGTGTACGCCAGTTTTGGAGCATAGGTGCTATTGAAAGTAAACGAAAAAATAAAAACTTCTCTGAAACATTACCAATTTTAACATTTTCTGGTAGTAATATTATCAAACATTTATGTGTTTATATTCATGCTAATACCTCCAATTCATTTATTTATTTAATATAAATATTAAAATAGATGAAGCTGAATCAGCAAAAGTTTGGTTAAGCACAATTGGGTTTTTTCTAACTTTGATGAGATTAAAAAACAATGGAAATAAGAATGGCTGGAATTCGAGGTTTAAAATAGCATTACTGGTCGTCATTTGTCTAAACATTTTAAATCATGGCCTATTTTATGTAGTCCTAAAGGATATAATCTGGTAAGAAAAAAAAATGATAAATATTAGTAATTAATATTATTATCTATGTCTATTTTTTTTATAATATAGTAATCAATGCATGTTTTAATATTTAAATTAAAATTTAGGTAATATTTCTATCAACTCATCAACAACTTTTTTTACTTTTTATTTTCAAATATGATACTGGTTAAAACTATAAAAAAAAGCAATGTGTTGTGACTACTTATTATTTAAATTTTTGTTTTAGGTTTTTTGAAGATTTTTTTATGAAATATCCAGAAACAAAAAACTATTAACATAATTGGCTAAACTTTATTAAAAAGTGGATTTTGTTTTCAAATAACTTATTGAGCTTACATAGAAATTTAGTGAAAGATAATTATGCTAATGACTTATTAAAACAACTTGATACTATACAACTGAATGTAAGTTATTATTGTATAATTATTATTTATCTATCCTGTGAATTGTATGCACCTTTATTTTAAAAGTTAATATTGTAATTTAACCAGAGACATAATTATAAGTCCTGGGATTAAACTAGTCTTTATAAAAAAAATGTTATGTCATTTTATTAACTTATTATAAATAATCCTCAGACTGTGTATTTGAAATACTCATATATAAGTGATAAATATAGTTCACAGCTCTGCTAAGTATTAATTCATTAATTTCAATTGTGTTTTCATTTATATTTTGTATAATCTATATGTTCATTAGTATATTTCCTTACAAAAGTTAATTCANTATATATTTATACAAAATATAAATGAAAACACAATTATATTATATGTTCATTAGTATATTTCCTTACAAAAGTTAATTCATAATATATGTTATTTTACAGGGTATGATTTAATTAAGAAAATTACTTTGGTTAATGATTAATAATAACTTTTAGATTTTGAACTAAAATAAACCAATATTTTTATTTTTTGTTTAATTAAGTAGTGCATGATAAGTGAGTCACTTTAGTTCATCTATTTTAACATGTAAAATTTAAATGTATGAATCTCCAAAATCTATTTTAAATTATTAGTTGTATATTTTAGTTGTTATTACTATTTTAATTTTTGATACAAATCATATTTAAATTAATTTTTATTTAGATACTAGAACAAGCTACGCATTGAAACTTCTATTGATTCCATATCTAGTACTAACTAAATTTCAAATGAAAACAAACAAAAAGTCTGGAAAATCATCGCTAGTTGAATGTGTTTCATCTTTTGTTATAAATGTTTCAGTAGGTTATTATTATAAATATATGAATAGATGCACACCTTTAAGTTCCTAATTCATTAAGTATTTTAGTTTATATAAACTTAAACTTGTGTCACATTTATATGTTGTATTGAAATTATTTATATAAATATTCATTTTCAAAATTTAAATGATTCAGAATTTAAAATAATTTACCTGACTTAACTCCAACTATTAAAAGAGTTTAGGGTACTGGTAAAATCTACGAGACTCTTAAATATATTTTATAACTGTTATATAGTTGTATATTTAAAAATGTATATCTTATTGTTTATTAATAATATACAGTATGACATTAACTTAATTTTATTGTAATTAATTTGTGAATGTATTTTGTACTTACAATTTTAACAAAGTAAATGATTCTATTATGTTATGTAATAATCTATATATCTTAAAATATCTTTACTACCCCCCAATCCAACCTATTATTATTATCTAATAAAGTTTCCTTTTCTATTTTAACTAAATGGATATTTCTATATTAGTATTTCTATGTACAATTTAGTTTATAGATAAGTGATAATTTTGGCTTTGACACCATTCAGAATTAAACAAAATAAGTATTTGTTAAGTGTTGATAATGGTAACATTTTCCGAATACATATCCGCAATTTTTTAATAATTTTTTTGTGGCTTTTGGAGTTAAATATTTTTAATATAGTTTTAATTTTAAATAATATTTGCCATAAGTGATCAATTTTTATTATTAAAAATACCAATTACAAATAAAAAATTTCTTGATGTTGTTTTGATAAGGTGTATAATATTTAGTGTAGGGTATCCACTTAACACCTACTAAGAATGGAGAAAAATATATATTTCTACACAATATGATGCTATAAACTGAGTATTCAAAATCATAAGTGAAATTACACACCAAGTCAACAATATATTATGATATAATATACAATGCATAGATAATATTATCTATGTATGATCATAGGCAAGTTTTTTAATAAAAATCATTTAAATATTGAATATTTGATTAAAAATGTATACTATAATTTTTTAATTTAAATAAAATGTATTGCTTTAAATAAGCTTGAAACTTGTATCACTACTTGATCATATTACTAAAGTTATATATATTTTTATTGTTTTTTATTATTACAATAATCAAATAAATAAAATATAATAAATATGGCTTTGAACATTTAAAAAAAATAATTACTTGTGTGTATATATATATAATATAATAATGTTATCAATATTCAATTTAAATAAGTTATTGATGTTCAAGTGAAATGTGTTTATTTTTAAATAAGGTTGAAATAATGAAAAAAGATAATATGTTAGGTAGGTCGTGGGATCCGTTTCCTGTAGTACTTCTGAGGTGTACTTAGTTTCGGAAGGATTCAAAAATGAACAAAATCCCTGGGAAGAAATTTTGCACTCTTCTAGTGATAGCGTACTACTTAAGGGACTTAAAACTAAAATTGCCACCGCAAACTCGGTGACTCTACGACCAATAGCCACCGCCGAGTAATAAGCTATCCAAATTTTGGGGTAACTTGCTTGAGTACCACTAGTCAGTTGCTACCGGTCCAATCCGGTTTACACGGTTAATGAGTGCACTCCTTTTTTTATTAATTTACTATATGTTTAGAAATGGTATAATTCATTCACTCGTCAACTCAACTTTTTATCGATATTAAAATAATTTGTACTTAATAAATTAATTTACGGTTATCACACTTCTATCTTGAAATATAGTATTATTTTATATCTAAAATATTCAAAATACTACTGGATAGCCTAATAAAGTTCGTTTTAAAATATACGATTACAACTATTATAAGAATAAATTAAAGTAATTAATATGTTGTATTCTTAAAACAAAAATTACCCTAATTAACCATTTAAATTCCTTGAATAGTTTATTTTAAAAGTGACAATTTTTTTCTAACATTGATAACAAATTTATAACATTGACTTAAGTTGTTTTAATTTAATTTCTAAAATTATTAAATAGCTATCCAAGAGGATACAGAATTTTTGAGTATTTTATACTTTGTTCATTAAAAATATACAAAATTTGCTAAAACTGGGTTTGCTAATTTATGATACGACGCTAAGTATATACATTAATAATTAATAATTATACCACATTGTTATTATCTATACATATAAATAAGAGCATTAGTATGCTTGAAATATAGTTATTTCAATAGTATTAATTGTTAAAATGAAAGAATAACAATGAATATTATAATTATGATAACATTTAATTATAATAATTAAATTAAGTATAAATTAAATTTAAATAATTTGTGACATTATATAAATAATTAATTTTTTTATCATTATACTGGACTTGTGCAATGAAGGATTAGGCTAAAATAATTATAATTTTTCGAAAAGGCGTTAATAATAAATTTATATATCAAGAGTCTGGCGGTGAAACGGTCAGCGGCGAAATGGGTCGGCGGCGAAATGTCCTAAACCCGGAACACACATATAATAGGCAGTATAAGTGTAGCGCCAATCATGGATAAGAGGGAAAAAAATAGACTTAGATGGTGAGGAGAGAGGAATTTAAAGCTGTGAAAATAGTTACAGAAATGAATGAAAACTCAGTAACAACCACACAGTGTCGGATTTCCCAGTAAACATAATAATCTAGTGCTTAACACTGCAATTTTTAGAAACGGCAAACTCTCAGTAGTGAATACATACTAATTATATTTTTCTTAATCATAAAAAATACTTATACATAAAAATATACTGAATTTTTAAGAAGCTAATTCAATAAATGTCAGCGTTCAGTGCTGGGTAGTAACTTAACTTAAATTACAAATATTCATGAATATGAATAACAGCTCTTTAGAGTCTAGGACAAGACCTTAAAATCCATTATAACGATAAAAAATAAATAATTTATATAATGTCACAAATTATTTTAATTTAATTATTATAATATTCATTGTTATTGAAGATTAAAATGATTAGTATTAATTTCAAATAATCCCTAAAGAGTTGTATTTAATAATAAATGAAATATAATTTTACTGAACTTATTTGATTGTATTCATTAAAACACATGCATTAGAGAAAGTTATTATACAATATAAATATTTTAATGCTATTACCATTCAGAATATGAAAAATCATTAAAAAATGTGTATAAACAAACTCATATTTGTTTAAATTTTTTTTTGTAATGTTTGAAGTTTTAATTTTATCGAACAAATTATTCATAATAATAATAATGTGTTTTTTCGTTTATTGTGCAAACAATGATTGGTCAAATCGAGTATTTTATATAAAATATTCAAAATTAATAGTCTTGTTAAAACTAAAATATATTTATTCTGTTGACTATATCTTTTTAAACACATTAATAAGAGTTAATAACTAAAGCAATCTTAGTGAACTGACATTAACTGGCTTCTACTTGCTGCCATAATATTATTTGTAGGTTTAAAAACTTGTAACTCTCTAAAACATAGAGAAATATATACTATAAAAAATAACGAAATATTTTTTTTTAAATATATATGTATATGCATTTAAAATTAATAATTTTTAGCTTCAACATTTTTCAACTTCACTTTTGAAAATTTTCCGAAAATACTGACACTTTTATTTATATCTTAAATTAAAGCTTATGTAATATACTTCAATTTGAAAAAAAAAAATTGACCTCTGGCCTTGTTTTCATAGTAAAAATAAGTTCCGTATTCTAAAGTATGCTATTTTTAACACGCTTATATTAGTTTCACATGTATGTTGTTTGTATGTTGTAAGTTTGTAACTCCACGCGGCACGTGTTATTATGTCGCGTATGCCGTCGTCTATGACCTTGAGACTAGACCGTCGTAACGCATTCACCCCACCCCGCTCACCAGTCGGCGACTACACTATTTTTTTTCTGTATAATTTTGAGTATTTGACTGACCAACACCGCGCGTTATACGCCGCGGTGCAAAGTTCAGCAAGTGCCGCACGGCCGACGACGTACCGCCGCTAATGATACCGTAGTATTCTTCCTGTTGTCAAAGTGGCAACGTCAATAAACCGATCTCCACTCGCGCACCGTCGCCATCAACGCTGCTAACCTTTTGACGCCCGAGGATCACGCCGGACATCGCGTCGTCAACGCCAACGAAAGTGCCACGATATTATGCGAAGATTATATATTCTTACCATCGCCGCTAATATTAATATATATATACATATATATATTATTATTTATATATACGTATATGTTAATATTCATTTATATATCCCTACAGCCGACGCCGCTGCCGCCATATATGCCTCGCGCCCCGCCCGCCAACAAAACACAGCTATACCTCGTGCATGATACGTTTACGTACTTAAGTCGCTTTACATGTATATATATATATATTATAATTACTATTAAAACTTATATATTAATACGCTTTATTCTCATTAAGAGATATATAGGGTATTTATTCCGATTACAAAGGATGATTCCCGTATCGTCATTTTACGTCACTACCTCCACGTTGCGCGCCTGCTGCTTTCCTTGGATGTGGTAGCCGTTTCTCAGACTCCCTCTCCGGAATCGAACCCTGATTCCCCTTTACCCGTTACAACCATGATATTGATAGTAACTACTAGAGTAACATGTAACTAAAAAGTGAAAAATAAATATAGTTTAAAAAAACTAAAAAACACGCTTTTAAAGAACATCGAACTAAAAAGTTAAAAATAATTTTTAAAATAAGCGTAAAACAATAATGAACGAAAAGTACTAGTATTATTGTGATAAAAGCGTGGGTGCTTTGTGCTATATTTTTCGTATATTGAGCGCCCGACGCTTTTATCACAATAATACTAGTACTTTTCGTTCATTATTGTTTTACGCTTATTTTAAAAATTATTTTTAACTTTTTAGTTCGATGTTCTTTAAAAGCGTGTTTTTTAGTTTTTTTAAACTATATTTATTGTGTTAAAATTTTCTATTTTATATTAATCAGTAGTTTCCAGTGTGCGGCTATCGGCAGCGGCGGTTCGTGGCTAGGACGACAGGTCGATCGCATCTCCAATTAAAATTAATTAAAAAAAAGAAATTTATATTATATTCTTAATTCTACATTTTTATTAAAAATGCAAATTTTTAAATCGTAAAACAGTTATAATATATTTGTCATGTGTAAACATTAAAGTTGTTTTTCTCAATATATGCGGGTACCCATGCACACATGAGCAGTGTTAGGAATAATATTCTGAAACATAAATTATAAGCTAGGCGCCCTATCGTGTAAGTGCGGGTGTGGTTAAGCCACAATCTTATGTACGGGTTATAGACGACCAACAGCGACATCCTTACGGTAAAAATTAGTATATGAATGACTTGGTGCAAATAAAAGTTCAGTATTCAATTGTTGAAATTTACTATGAGTTTATGTTAATTTAAAGTGAAACTTATTGTGTATACATTTGGAAAGTAAAAACTCAATTTTTTATTGTGATTGTATTTAAAATGTGATAAAGCTTTTATTTTACAACATAAAATACTATGGTATTGAAAATTATTATGTTAAAATTAAAATACATTGCTAGGCATAAACGAGTTTATAAGTTAAAGTTAAGTTATATTTTTTAACTTAACGCAGATAATTATAATTTACGTTAATTTGATATTAACTTAATTTATTTGGTTTCTTTAATTGCGTTTAGTTTAAAGGGTACTTATTAAATTTATTATGTTAAAACGGTAAAATAGTGGGGTCGTGGGATAGTTGGCTCAAGTATAGATGATATTTGATAGTGATTAAAATCACCATCATATGTAATGCTTCCATGTAAATCTGTAGATAGTGTTTAATTTTAAAAAATTGTCGGATTATTCCAAAACCAGAATGAACTTCTATTTTCTTATTTATATCCTGATTACAAGTTTTATGATTTATAAGTGTTAAATATGAATAAATATTTATTATATAAATTAAATATACTATATTGAAATTGATATTTAATAATATAGTATTGTAATTTTTACGAAGAAATCATAAAAAATTATATATCAGTTATTATTTTTATGGCAAACGTGTATAAAAATTGAAGGACTTGTTGCAATAAAAAAAAAACTGTTTGTTATTTATGAATATAATTACTTTTTATATAATATACACATTTAAACCTATTTTTGTGCTGATTTCAAATATACAATTAATTTTTTTCTATCATCTCATACGGGTTACATGGACACTCAAGTACTATTTTTGATATATGCCATACGATTTGAAATTTTATGAGCTTTAATTTGGTATATAATTAATGCCTGGACTCGTCTCGGAACTTTGTCAAAAGTACTGTATAATAAAACATTTTTTTGAACTAAGTGGCGCCCTCTAGCGGTTTACATTCTTGATTAAGAATTGCTAACTTCACACACATTTTATCTTTTGCTTCGACATTAATTTATGCATTATTATTTTTTATGAAATGATGTAGAATTTATAATAATTCAATATCTTGTATGAGTTAAGTATATAAACTTTATAAATAGCAAAAACAGTTTTATTTGAGATGGGTTTTAAGTGTACTGTTCCTCATTGTTCAAACATTAATGGTTCCAGTTTTAAAGTTCCTAGTAATATGTGGAAACAATGGGAAAAAGCTTTAGGGACAAACTTAAAAAAATCATCCAGAGTTTGTTCACTACACTTTAAACAAGGTGATATAATTGATTCTTGGGAGTCTGGCTCAGGATTTAGTAAATATGTAGTAAGTATATAATATCAAAACAAAATTTCAAATATTTTTTATATGTGTAAATCATAGACCAACTATTTAAGGTAATGATCTAAATGAGTTAATCATAGATCCAAAAATATATAGTTTTGTTGAGCTCAAAACCAAAAATCTATTAGAATTATTTATGTTCAAAGCTATACTAATTTGTCTATAAATGAACTGAATTTTCTTACAAAATTAAACATTACAATTTTTTGAAAAATATTAAAGTTAATATTGAACTATTTATACATTTGTTAAATTCGAAATATATGAATTCTTTTTTGAATGTAACAACATTCTTAATATTTTTCTGATTGGTATTGTAAAACAAAGTGTTAGATAATAAAATTAGTTATTCAATGTATTATAATGTAAATGTATACTAGTCACACAATTGATAATAAATGGTTTAGTTAATATATGTCAATAAATAAAATTTATAAATAAAATTATTTACAATTTTAAAGTCATTTTTTTAGTTTTTTCAATATTCTACCTCATCATTTAAAATTTTTTTTAAATATTTATTATTTATTCAAAAATTTCAAACTTTTGATTTCAAATATATTTTACTTTTTTTAAATTATGTTTCTATATAAAAAAAAAAATTAATATTGTGTTTACTGAAGAATTACAAAAATATCTACACTAAAATTACAATTAATATTTCAGATTCAGTTAAAAAAATCACGTCTAAAAAATGGTGTTGTTCCTATATCAATTTCCAATAATAGTAAAATATTAGACAACTCTTCAATTTCTGAATGTTTTGAGGTATGTTTAATAGTTATTATTTGATATTATTAATACATATAATCATACAACTGAAAATCTACCATTTTTCTCTTTTCTAGGTATTAAGTAATGATATAAGAGGTTGTAAAATGATCAAAGATAATCCAACATGTGCTAAGAAAATTGAGGTGGAAAATGGTGTTAGTTATGAGCTTTACTCGCTACAAGAAAAAATGCTGTTAGAAAACAATTATACTGAAATAGTTTTAGTGAGTTTTTTTTAACTTGCCTAGTTGAATAAATAATTTTTGCTTTAAACAAAATATCAATAGTTTTTCATCTATAACATTAAAAATAGTTACACTACCATACTTATGTAATTATTTAATAAAAACTGTATAATTACTAATTTTTTTTTTTTTAAGGAAAATGAAAAATTATTTCAACAAATTTTAAAGAATCGAAGTCTTATTGATATTCCATTAAACTGGAGTTGGAGATTATCAAGAAAAAAAAAAAAAGAACTTGTGATATCTTTTTATAAAATAAGTACTTATTGCTATGATTACATTCAACATATTGAAAAGCAAATATCTATCACTGAAGGTTTATAATTTTTTTTATATTAGTATAAATCATTATTTTACTATACTGTTATTAGTATTATTAAATAGTTTTTAATTTTTTATTAGTAAAATAATTAAATTATCTATTTAAAAATACTGGTTTATAATTTGTAAATCATTATTCAGATTATTTATCTGTTAAAGTATAATTAATAACACATGTCATTCTAACTGTTAAATTTTTTTTTTTCAGTATTGGTAAATCTTTTGTTAGTTCATAGTCTCTATCAAATATTCTTACTTAGAATTAATAATTTAAACTATTATTCATTTTATCTTATAGGATCTGATATATTAATATTTGTTTATGGGAAAAAAATTTCAAATGAACGAATAAGCACTATTATCCCAAACAATATAACGGATTTCCAAAATTTTATTTTGGAATTAGATAAAATTAAAATATGTCATGGATCATCTGATACAATAAAATTTGCTCATGTCAAGCATTTTTTTGGTAATAGTTACGAAGAATACTTTAGCAGAATAAGACACATAAATTGTTCCTTATTAATTGATGATAATGGGTAATGTATTATTGAAGTAACTTTTAATTATAAATGATATACATATCATTAATTTATATTATATTAATAGAGCAATGTGTGTGTGGTGTAAAAAGTTACTGAGTTCTATGCAAAACAAGCATGTCAGATTATTGAATGGAAAAAAATGTCGAGAATATATTTCAACTATTGAAAAAGCGGAAATAGAAAATTTAAGAATTTCTTTAAGGAACACAAACAAAAAATTTAGAAGAGCTAGAAAAAGGATAGAGATATTAAAGTATAGACTTAAAATACTTAGTATGCAGTAAATTTTGTTGTTAATAACAGGACCGTCCTTATGGGGTACTTAGCTTTTAGCTTTGCACTTTTTTGTTAAATAGCGCTTCAGGTATATATGTGGGAAATGCAAACAGGCAATTACAGGAACAGAGCGAAGACGCAATACTATTATTTAATTTATATATTTATAAATTAATACACAAAAACTCTATTAAATGTTAACAAACAAAAATAACACATATATTTAATTACACACGAAAACTCTATATAAAATATTCACACAACACAAAAATATTATATAAAACAGAATACACTTATAAACTAAAGAATATACATAGAGACACGTCTTAGCCGACTCACGACTTGATTTAATCTCCCTCTATATACTTGATACCACTATCTATCTCCAGACCCTGGAAGTGGTGCCATCTAGATACCAATAGTACCCACATATATACATAAAACAAAAGATATATTGTATTACAAATATATTTATTTAGGTTTTGCAAATTTTAAGAACTCAGTTTACAGAGAGAAACTTCCTATGTGTAAAATTGGTAAATGAGATTTTGGTATTTGGCAAGTATAAAATAAATTGAGACTTTATATAGAAAACACTCATATGATATATCTTTCATTTATAATAAAATAACTAAAAAATAGTCTTTATATTAATAGTTAATTTATAAATTATTTTTTTCTATCTCCTAAAAAACTTTATTTAATAAATGCTTATAATATATATATTCAAAACAACAACTTAAAAAAAATATGGATTGACATCCATATTTTTTTTATGTTTAAGTTTAAGAATACTTTTTGGAATGTTAAAGTTATGTTGTTATTGTGACTACAAAGATTTCATTAAAATTTATTTATCTAAAATTTTATATCAGCAAGTTTAATGCCCATAACTCTTTAAAATATTTTGTTAAACATTTTTTTTTGTATTTTGTTCATTTACTTTATTTATGATTACATATTATATAAGTTGTATTGTCATACTTTAATTATTTTTATCATAATCTGAAATAATCTTTATTCCTCCCTATATTTACGCCACTGATAATCTAAGTAATAAAACAATTGTTTCTCACAATATTAACCATTTTTATGTGTGCTAAGAAAAGTTTAAAAAAAATTGTTCTAACATTTTTTTCAAATAACAGTAACTAATGCAAAGTTAGTATTACAGATTAAATAATTTTGTTATCATAATTTCTGTAGTACCAGAAGGTTATGAAAATTGTCAATATTTTCACACAATTTAATGTGTTCAATACATCTGTGTTGGGATTACACAAAAGTTGCTTTTAAGATGTTGGTCACCATGTTTAGTAGGGTGGATCAAAAAAAGTCGATCTTCGAAATTTTAATGAGAACCATTTTAACTTTATTATATACATTAAAATAGCCATTTTGTGAAAATTTGAGATTTTTAAAAAAAAAATTTACTAGTGGCTCAATGTGTTTTCAGTATTTATTTTGACCAAAAAACGGCCTCTGTTATTCAATTTTTGGTCAAATATTATGATTAGTATATCAAAATAGTTTGATTTTTACTGTACAGTACAAATTTTTTAGTTTCAAAATTATTAGTCGAAAATTGATAGCATGGACATCATAATTAGCATCATTATAAGTATATTTCTAGTAGGTCTCAACTTTAAATTTTTTTTATGCAATTTGGCTAATTTGGTAATTGTATTATAAGTAGAAAAAAAATTGTTCACTTATCTTAAAAATTTATACCTTTTTTAAAATTGATGCATAAGCTAAAATATATGATATTCTTGATAATATGAATAAATGACAATTGTCTTTACATACTTTTCATATGTATTTTTTTCATTAAACAATTACTTTTTTTATTAAATATCATACAATAAAAAGGTTAGTTTTTTGATAACATTATAACTGATTTTCTACAGTCTGAGTAATTATTGCGATGCTTTTCTACAACTTGTAGTAAATATTATCTTTGGTCCTCGTCAGTTGTTATGCAATTATTTAATTGCAGCAAATATTACACAATTTTTCCAAAGGTCTTAAGTAATAATTATTTATTGATACTTGATTGAATGTATATATACTGATCGACATTGATAAGGAAATTATTAATCTGTAAAATATACATTCAAATCATACTAATTGGAAAAATAAAATTCAAGACCGTACTAACCTGAAAAATATAATCTAGTATCGTACTTATCTGGAAAATATATTATCAAATGATAATAAACAATTTTTGTTTATAAATTAAAATTAACCCGTTTTATTAAATAATAAAAAAAATTAAATTTAATGAGCAAAAAAAAAAAAAAAGAGTTCATTTTAAATTGAAAAATTGCTATTTCTATAGTCCAAACTAAAATCCATGTTATGAAATTTTGTTACACATTTCTATTAAAGGGACATACTACTATAGCATTAGTGTAACTAGAGTAGTTTATGTTATAATTTCTAAACTTTAATGTTGACTTATGACCTTTAACATAGCAAACATTTATAATTTGTTAATTTAATTCACTAGATGTGAATTTATTTTATGTTATTCGCTAAAATTATACAGGGTGATTTTTTTATCATAACCCACTCAATTAATTGCAGAATAATAATAATTTCAACATTTTTTTTTTCATTATCTTTAGTTACACATTATTCTTGAATTTTTAACTATGTAATACTTTTTAAGTTCATCCCTTATGCCTGATAAGGGTGTCAACTTTGTTTTTTTAAATGGTAACATATATTTTTATTTTAATAAAATGTTTGAGTAAATGGCATTTGAATTTTTAATATAACTTTATTACTTTATTAGACATAAACATTTAAAGTTTCAAAATTTTGAGTTAATATACATGTATAATACACATGGGATTATAAATATAGGTAGCTAATTGGATTTTTATGGCATTGCTGTCTCAGTCACAGATTGTTTATTATCAATTATGATTATCAATAGATATACTTTCTGTATTATCAGTTAGTGTATTTATAAACTCATAACAATGTGCCTTACTACAATTGATAATAACAATGCTGTGTACCTGCTAATATCGATGTTATAAAAATCAAATTAGCTACCTGTATTTACAATCCCATGTGTANCATAAAAATCCAATTAGCTACCTGTATTTACAATCCCATGTGTATTATACATGTATATTAACTCAAAATTTTGAAACTTTAAATGTTTATATCTAATAAGCTAATTAAGTTTCATTAAAAATTCAAATGCCATTTACTATTGAATTAAAAACTCAAACATTTTATTAAATTAAAAATATATGTTACCATTTAAAAAAACAAAGTTGACACCCTTACCAGGCATAAGGGATGAACTTAAAAACACGTTTTGTGTATACCAGGTTACTAGCACAGTTGTGTAGGTAAACTTGATAAAATTAATTCATCGGCGTAAAAGTTAAATTTAAGTAGTGATTTAAATTCTTCAATACTTGGCAAAATTTTTGAATTTCAATATGCTTTTAGGCACTTCTGGTGAATCGTCAACAGATTCCGATATTGCGGACTGTGATCTAGTAAAAACTGCCATCAGAAAGAAAATCTCGTAGCCGCTAAAAGTTTATTACCTCGAAGTGAGCCATGTGACATCACACAAGTTGTTTCTGATAACCCTACTCAGCCGGTATTGAAAAATTATTCACGAACAAAATTTGGGAAAGAATGGAGAAATTTTCATTCCGAGTGGTTTAAATTGTACCCATGTTTTGGAAAATTCGTGTTATTGCTTTCCTTGTCGATTTTTTTCAACTGATCCCTCTGGATCACCGTTTTCTGATTCAGGATTTAAAAATTGGAAAAAAGGTATGGAAAAAAATAGTGGTATAAAGCAGCATGACAAATCAATTTCACATAAATTATGTACGACTAAATGGGAAGAATACAAAATGACTGAAAAAACTGGAAAATCTGTTTTAACTCTTATTAATAGAGAAAATGAAACAGTTATAAAAGAAAATCGTTATTATATTGCAACTGTTGCGGAAATTTTACTTTTTACAGCCTGTCAAAACATTGCTCAACGTGGAGATAATGAAAGTAGCGATAGCATAAATAAAGGTAACTTCTTAGAACTTTTAAATTTTTGTGCTAAAAGAGATACTAGGTTAAAAAAAAAAAAAATTGATGAGTTACCTAAAAATGCAAAATATACATATCACAGTATACAAAATGAATTATTCAGTATTATGAGTCAAATGGTCATAGAATCAATTGCAAATGAGTTGCAAAAATCTAAGTACTTTTCAATTTTGGCTGATGAAACTAAAGATTTAAGTAAAACTGAACAATTATCAGTAATGGTACGTTATTTTTACAATAACACGGTAAATGAACGGTTTTTGGGGTATGTGCCATGTTCTGAACTAAATGCCAAGACGCTGTTTGAATTTATTAAAATAACTTTATCTGCTTGTGGGATTAATATTCAAAATTGTATAACTCAAACNAATATTCAAAATTGTATAGCTCAAACTTACGATGGCGCTTCCGTAATGAGTGGTACTCAAAATGGTGTGCAAGCAATTTTTCAAAAGGAAGTTCCAAAAGCATTATACACACATTGTTATAATCATCGCTTAAATTTAGTGATTGTGGATGTTTGTAAAAACGTACCAGAAATTGAAAAATTTATATCACTTCTTCAACAGTTGTATAACTTCATAAGCAGATCTACAGTACATATGGCTTTCTTAGGTATTCAGAAAGATTTATTTCCTAAAAAAAATACAGTTGAACTTAAAAAGTTATGTGACACGAGGTGGATTTGCCAGATATCTTCATGTATTGCTGTTAGAGAAACATTTTCTGTTATTCTAGTACTTCTAAATAAAATTAGCATTGAATCAAAATGCGAAAAAAGTATGGAAGCAAAATCAATTTTGATTCATATTAATTTTGAATTTATTTTTTGTTTACACCTCTTTTGTGATACATTTAGTCAAATAAAAATTGTTTTTGATTATCTACAACTACCCAAATCAGATTTAGGTATAAGTTGTATAATGGTCGAATCATTGATAGATTATCTTAAACAATTCCGAACAGTTGATAAATTATTTGATTTGCTTTTGGAAAAAGTTGTTTTGTTTGCTGAAATTAATAACATCCCGTTACCGGAAGAAAACACATATAGAAGAACTTTTCGTAAATTGACTGCTAAATTTGTATCATATATTACAGAACTACCGATTTCTGAAAATAGGGAGATTATGAGTAAGAATGATGTAAGGACAATTATATTTTTTCCAGTAATTGATCGAATGATCAATGAATTACAAAGAAGATTTTCTGATAATAATCCAATATTATCTGGTATTAGTTCCTTAAATCCTCAAAATAAATCTTTTTTAGACTTGCAAGTATTATTACCTTTTGCCAAACACTATGAAGTGGATATTGAAAGCTTGGAATCTGAATTGAAGTTAATACCCAAACTCATAGATAGACATCAAAAAGAAAAAGAAAAAAAAACTAAAACTAATACTATACTTGATTTCATATAGTTGCTTGAAAATTACAAATTGGTCTTTTCTGAACTATATTTGTTATGTACTATAGCAATTATCATACCTCCTTCAAGTGCCGGTGTTGAGAGAACATTTTCTAGTCTCCGACAAATTAAAACTTATATGAGAAGTAAAATGATCAACACAAGATTATCAGATATAGCAGTTCTTTCAATAGAGAAAAATATTTACAAAAACCTAGATTTGGAATTCATTGTGGTCAAATTTTCTGCTGCTCATCACAATCGCAGAATGCTTGTTTAAAAAAATCTTATATTTTTCATTGATTGTATTTTCATTTTAAACATTATTAGTGTGTTAAAATTTTATATTATATGCAGTAGGTTATGCAAAATTAATTAGTGTATTATATATAAATCATTACATTTTTTTTTACCAATAGATGTGTTGTGTTCGCTCATTCAAAAAAATTGCTTGCCCTTTACCGCCCCCAAGGAAAATAATTCTGGCGCCGTCCCTGAACATATTTACTTAATATTAACGCTACAAGTTTCTCCTTCAACATATCCTAAAGAGGGAGGGGGTAATGAAACTTAACATAAACTAACCTGTAATGGGTGGGGTGGGGATGAAACCCTTTTTTTTTTTTTTTCTCGACCAGCATAAGTGCGGACCGCCCTGGAACTACCGTTAGGTATTACTTCAAGGCGGTCCACGCCGTCTCTAAAACTCATAACGTGGTGTGGCCTCCCTCGTTAGCCGGATCCCGGAGTGGGATCCGTTGCCCGGGTTGCACCACGTGGAGGTGGGGGCAGGACTTTACGAGGGAGGCAAATAATTCACAAAAACATAAACACGATTACCTAAGGCGCCGGCCTAAACCAGCGCCTTGGGTCCTCCTGTGCCAGGCAGCGTGGCTGCTTCTGTCTCAGGCGTTCCGCTTCCTCCTTCTTTAATAAGACGGATTCGGCGAACGCCTGGACAAGCCTCCACACCTCCCGGCTTCTCAACATCAGGTCCATCATGGACCCGACTCGGAACGTGGACCCTAGTCGAGACTCCAAAGAGTCCTGCTTCTGGGCCCACGCCTCGTACCGGAAGAGGGTGTGCAGAGCGCAGTCGACCTCTCCCGGGCGATCCGAACAGTGGTCGCACGTCGGCGCGGCTGCTTTACGAATACGGTGTAAGTAATCCTTAAAGCAGCCGTGGCGTGGGGATGAAACCTGATGTAAACTAATATACCGCACGTCTATAGATTGTATATAATAGATCATTTTCTAAGAATTTTATCATCGACTACCAGACGCTTAGTTGAGCATATTTCCAACATCAAAGGTACCGCCATATTATAACGTCATAGGCGTCAGCATTTTATTAGAATAATTGCAGCGCCGTCTACGTTTTATCAACATCAAAGTTATCATTTTTTAAGAATTTTATCATCGGTTACCAGACGCTTAAGTAAGCATATTTCCAACATCAAAGATACCGCCATATTATAATGTTCATAGGAGTTAGCATTTTTTGAGAATAATGGCGACGTTTTTTTTCACGTCTACGCATTTTATTATTTGACTATATAACCGATTAAACGCTCTTTATCATGTCACATACGTGTTTCATCAACGTTAACGCACAGTTATCATTTTGAAAACTAAAAATTTATTATTTTACACGCGCAAATAAAAAAATCATGAACCATGAAATAATTTTCTTGGAGTCTGGTGACCGAGTACTATCGTTGAAAAAAAAAATTTTGAAAGTTATTAAACCTCGTCATTAAGGCGACTCTGCGTTCTGCTGGGTCATTTATTACAAATAATGATTCAACTTTATTTTTAGTCTGATTGTAGTTCGAATTTTGAGCCCAAGTGTTGGTTGATCGTTTAAAAATTTGTAAAATGAGAAACAATATCTTGATCATACAATTAACTTTAGCGCTAGATAGAACAAACGTATCTAGCCGTAAAGCCACGTATATTTTGGCGTCTGCTTTAACTTCGTGTGATAAAAAATATTTAAACAAAGTTGCAATAACTCTTTATAGTCATCCCGAGGATGATTTAAATTTAATTTATTTTCACAAAATTTAGAAATTATGTCTCTATCTGGTGCTAATATCTTTAACACAACATCATCTGTCAACATATTACAGTATAGTTTTTTGTCTATATTTTCCCAGCTTTTAGAAAATCTTTTGAATAGAGCTATGTCTGGGCCAGTTGATGGAGGCATTAATTTATCAAAAACTCTACTAATTGTTATTTCATGTATGTGGTGCCTACAAGCAAAACTCAATAATTCCTGACCTAATTTTTTTTCGATTAAAATACATGCACCATTTAGTTTTCCAGTGTTGGAAGCGTTAGTATCAAAACACATCATATTTGTTTGATTAACTAAATTCCAATTAACCAAAAGCTTAATAACGGCACCAGCTTGCGATTGGCCTGTATAATTTAAAAGTTTAGGCACTCCCAAAAGTTTAGTTTTGCCATCACTAGATTTTCAGTGATTCTAAACAAATATCTACTATTAATACATCTCAGACTAATATACCTTATTATATAATATTTTCATTAGATTGAAATAAAAATGTTACATTTATGATCCATAGCGGAGCACAAGCTAGTTTAATTAAAATAGGAGATTTACCTAAAGGACATAGGTATTGGGATAATTCTCTTACTATGTTATAGGGTATTGCTGAAAATACAAACAGTTTAGTGTATACTAAAATCAATTTAAAACAATAACACATGTATTTTACATAGTTCCAAACAATTTTAATATTAAATCTCATTGTATCCTTGGATATGATTTTCTTGAAGATTATGTTAAATTTATTGATTTAAATAAAAAATAACTAAAATTCTATTTCCATGAAAAAATTAACATTATAAACTTTTCTCTTACGAGTAATTAAATGCTTGTCAGAATCTATCATTACAGTGAAAACAACCCATACTAACGACACAACTGGAATTATATATGATCCTATAGCAATTAATGAAAATGTTTTTGTTGGAACTTGTATAAAACAAATTAAAGATAATTATGCGATCGTACCGATTTTAAACACGCCAGAAAAAGATATTTCCAATTCTATGAATACTATTTAATTTGACACTTTATCTGAAAATAATGATAATAATAATAATAAATATAATAGTGATATTTCTTTAAATAATAATAGATTAATGCTTTTAGATCAAAATTTAAGATTAGAACATTTAAAAGACGAAGAAAAGTCGTCTATTGAAGACTTATGTAATAACTTTAATGATATATTAATTTTACCCGATGATAAATTATCTTATACAAATAAAATTGTTCAAAAAATAATTTCTCTTAATGCTCTGTCAATAAATATAATGCAGTATAAATACCCAATGTGTCATAAAGAAAAAGTTGATAAACAATTAAAAAATCTTTTAGAGCAAGGTATCATTGAAAAGTTAAATAGTCCATGGAACTCGCCTTTATGGGTGATCTGGAAAAAATGTGATGTGTCTGTTAAAAATAAATGGCATATAGTCCTAAATTTTCATAAACTAAATTATTTCGATTCTTATAATTTTCCTAGATTATTTCAATATTTAGAAATTTAAAAATATTAAACAAATTTTTATTCCTAAACATAAAAATATTAACTAATTTGGATCAATGCTTAGGTATATTTACAAAAATTCATTATTAAAATTGACAAACAAAAAAAAAATTTTTTTTTAAATAGGTTAACACTATTACTTTTCGTAAATATAAACTAATATTATACTTGCATATAAATAGTTTAACAACTCTTTGCAATTAAATTTAAATTATAAGTCTTCTTTTAGAGCGATGGGGGTGTTACTTTCGATAATATAGATTATTTTCTTTTAGATAATAATTTTAATTAATTTTAGTTATTATTTTTGTCTAGAGATATCAAAATTCCATTAGCTGTAATTAAAATTTTAATAAAATAAAAAAATGTTTACAGAAATCCATAATAATTATTTAATTAATATAAAAAATGTAAATTCAATGTATAAAAATTAATTTAATTATTATTGTCTATAGAATTCTAAATTATAAACATCAAATTTTATATAGGAATATATATTTTGGTTTTGTTTTATACTTTTTTTTATATTCATAAAAATTATGATCTAAATTATTTTTACCATGTCAGAAATATTTATTTACGATACTAGCATGGGCGCACGCAGAACATTTATCAGGGGAGGTCCAAAAAAAATTAAATACCAAAAAGTAACAATAAATAAAGTGTTTATTAACGGAAAATTGCAAAAAATATATATATAATTATTATATATATTCATGAGTCATTACTAAATAAAAATTGAAGTCTTCGCGGTTGTTCTGTTGCAAATCTTGTTATTAACTGTTCAATGAATTGATTTTTGCTTGCTTTAACTTTTTCACGATGTACACTTAACATACATAAACCATTTAATCGGTCTTCACTTGTCGTGGATCGAAGCCAAGTTTTTACTCTTCGTAATGTACTAAAAGTACGTTCTGCAGTGCAGCTTGTAGCTGGTAAAGATAGGAAAATTTCTAATGCAATTGTAATACCAGGGAAAAATATTTCACTATGTTTTAGTAAATCTGTAATGTCCATACTTTGAAAATCTTTTTTTTGCTAATAAACATACCAACTTTTACCTTCAACTAACAAATTTTCAATTTTATAAAAACTATGAATGTTTGTTAAAATTTCAACGTACTCTTCTTTTTTCATTTTTTTAAATAATGCTGGATGAAGGTGTTGTAATGAAAAAGCAACACTATTACCTTTTTCAAATCTTTCCTTGATAGATTGTATTATTGATTCGAGATATAGTACAAAAACCGATACTCTATAATAGTCTTTGGGAGTTTCACTTGGATAGTTGTTTCTATGTAACTGTTTTCCGGTAATTGTGGGACAAGTAATAGTAAGATCTAAATCATTTGCTATAGATTTAGCGTTAATAAATAATAAATTAAAGCTTTCAATTGCATTTATTCTATCACTTTCAAACATTTCCAATAATGTCTCCACATGTTCCCAAACTTTATAAAGTTCTATTAATTCACCTTGTAAAATATTAGTAACAGGTTTCAAGAAAGCGCTGTATTTTGCAATTATAGTCATTGTTATTATAAATAAAAAATTTGAGATTGAGGAATATAAATAAAAAGCACGTTGTCTTGTATTAGCATTTGTCATATCATTTATGGATAAAGATTGTAGACTTTGAATTATTGTAATAAAATTTTCAGAAAATACTCTAATACTTTTATACTTTGAAGACCAACGTGTTTCACAAAATAGTGGTATGTTAGGTATTAGTTTTCTTCGAAGTGTACTTTCACGATAAAATTTAATAATTTCTTTAATTGTGTCTGTAGTATTACCATTTTTTACCAAATTACCATAATTTTGTTTA